ATAGGTAATAAAATAAAGTACTTTATAAAGTGTAAATACTTTATTATTACTTTTACTAATTTATAGTTAATTAAATTAACTACTAATTAGTGTTAAATAGGCTCTAACAGCTAGCTGCTTATAGTATAAGCACTTAAGTAGCAAGAGTAAGAGTGGTGTATAGTGTGCACAGTATATAAAGTAGGTAAAGTAAGGGCAACATGTTTCTAGTTCTATTACTCTTGTCTTTTCTTTATATAGAGGAAAAGGGGGATATCTAGATGTTCGCGCACAGAGGTTCGCGCACAAGCATCATGTGACATAGATACGTGATCCTGCTCGTGCGCGATCGTTTGTATCCAGGCCGCGACGCTGCTGCTGCGTACGGACAGTTTTAGAAGATATAACTATGCTTACTACACTTAAAGTATTAACTTTTCTTCTTATAATTTTTACACTTTCTAGAACTAACTAGAGCATAATTTAAATTAATTTTTATTATGTTAGGGTCCTTATTTGCAACTGCGCTAGTTTAGGGGCGTATTAGGGCTTGTATAGGGAGGAACCTTATGTTATTATTATAGGTAGCAATTAGGTTCGCATACACGTTAAGGTTGTTTAGAAGGGGTTCTCCTACTATAGCGCGTTGCAGTTTAGTTAAAAGGGAGTTATATAAGGCTGTAATTAGACCTATTTTATTTAGGCCTATATTAAATGTAAGTTAGTAGAACTTAGTAAAGTGTAAAGTAAAGCTTTTTTTTTTTTATTATAAAGTGTTTAAGTAACTTAGGGCTATTAACTCTTTATTTAGGTCTTTATAGGTTGCTTACAGAAACACTATAAATTAATCTAAGTTAATAATATCTTTATTTATTAGTAAGTTAATTAAGGCTGTTATGTTATAGTTAAGTTAAGAGTAGGCATATAGTAACTAGAAGTGTTTAGAGGGGAATTAGTCTATGTTTCTTTTAAGTTTGTATTAAAGCTTATATAGAAAAGAAGGTAAGTCTTTTTATTTTTTATTAAACAGCAGAGGATTAGAGAGTTAGTTAGATTTTATTACTAAGTTAAAAAAGTTACAGGTTGTAGGCAGTGTTAGGCAGAAGGAAGTTAAGCTATCTCTAAACTTCTAGGTAAGCTTTAAGGCTAGTAAGTTCTTAGTTCCTACTACTATAACAGAAGTTAAGGCAGAAATAAACTACTTAATAATATAAAGCTATTCTTTAAAGTCTTTTTAAAAAGCTTTAAAGCTTATAACATAGCAGCTTTTCTATAAAGTAAGTGCTTTTTAAAAGGCTTTTTAGCTTACTTTAATAGCTTAGAGTTATATAAGTACTAAGCTTATTAGATTAAATTTAGAAGCTATTCTTAGCTAAAGTTTTAACACAACATAATGTTATAATTATGCACAAGTAAGGTTATAAAGCTTTACAGAAGTCTAGTTTAATTACTATGTAAAGTATTATAGTAGGTATAAGACATTATGTAAAGAATAGAAAAGTTTAAAAGAAAATTAGTAATTAAATACTTAGCTTAGAAGTTTAAGCGCTTTAAGTATAAATTAAGCCTATTCTAGGTTTAGTTAGTGTTAAGGCAGTTTGTGCTTAAGTTTATGTCTGTGTTGTGTTATGTTTATGTTAGACGTGCACTAATAATACTCTAGTACGCGTCTAATACAGTTATGTCTAGGATCTGGGGAGGATACCGTGACAGTGCTTTAGATTAACTAGAGTAATATGTCTACTACTTTTCTTTAAAAGCGTTATATATATACCTCTGCTTCCTGCACCCCTAGGCTTACCTAGGTTATTAGAATCTTACCTCTATATCCTTTAGCTTATGCGTGTAGCTAGTCCTTAGCTTTTTTTATTATATGCATGCTTAAAGAGTGCCTTACCTGCTTCAACTAAAGCTACAAAAGATAATATTTTAGTGTAAAAGGTAAAAGTTAATTTTTTAATTAGTAAGTTAGCTATTTAACTTAATAAGCTTAGTGTATTTAATTTTTTAGTTAAGTGCACTTTTTAAAAATTATTAGTATGCTTATGCCTACCTTATATAGAGCGTGTTGTAGAGCTATCTGTAAGCTCTAGCTTAGAAGTTAGCTCTAGAGTAATAAGTGCTATATATTTATTAAAAACTATGTAAATCTTTAGTAACTTACTTATTATACTTATTACCTACATAGTTACTTCTACCTCTAAGTGCTAATTCTTTAGCTAGCTAACTTAAGTTTTAATAAGCTTTTTAGTTTCTACACTTTTAAGCTTACACTTTTAAAGCCTTTAAATTAGTATATCACTTTACTACCTATCTAACTTTTAAAGTAAAAGCTTAAAAGCTTTTTTTATATTATAAATTTTACTTTACTTATTAAGGATTTTAATAATCTTAAAGGCTTCTTTCTAAAGAATTAGTTTATTATTTTTATTTTTATAAAAGTGTGTCTTATTAAAAGCTATATTTTTATAGTAATTACTTAGTTAAGTAATAAGACTTATATTCTATAAATATTTAAAGCTCTATAGCCTACAAGATATTCTATGTAGCCTTATAAAGTTACTTTAAAGCTTTGCTTTTAACTCCTAGCTACTTACTCTCTATTAAGTAGGTAGGTATAACAGCTATATGCGTATATCCTGCTCTAATTAGGCCTTAAATTAGCTGTAGCACTTCTTACCTACTCTAGCTTATAGTATTTAAAGTATTTAGTAAACTATGTGTTTAAGACTTTATTTAGTAAGCGTAAGTTATATGCGTGTGACAGGCTTATATTATACAGCTATGTTGCTGCGTCTACTACTTCTAGCTAGAGCTTCTTAGAGAGTCCTGCGCTGCTTTTTATTTTAATAGACTTTATAATTATTTTTTATCTAGCTCTTTCTACAGCTTTATTTAGCTTATAAGTGTATAGTAAAAAGCTTTTAATATTAATGCTAGATTTTTTTACTTAAAGCTTATACTTTAACTTTCTATGCTAAGAGAGCGTAGTAGTGTTATTGTCTTACTGTATTTTACTAATCTAAAGCTTATATTAATTAGACACTATACTTTTAAAGTTTTTTATTACTTTTTAGATTTCTAAAAGTGTTTTTACTTAAAAAAAAGTATAAAAAGATTTTACTGCTAACTATATTTATTCTTAATAATTATTATTTATAAAGCTCTACTGCGCTCTAATAGCATGGAAGGTTTCTTTTTATCAACAATCGTATGCGCCGGCCGCACTGACACTATCTATTTTTAGTTAGGCAGATATCAAGGTGGGGGTGCCAGACCCATTCCAGAGCACTAGGAAGATAAAGTGGTGATGATGCATCCTAAGTTGATTGAAAATGCATTGGAAGACACGTTTGACGTGTAAAAGTCGACAAGATGAGGGCATGGAACGAACCTTTGATATTGTCTAGATCTAGGAGGCTTCCGGGCCTATATATCTAATCCGCAGTCGACTAGATGACTAGAAGGCCGTTCTGATGCCTCATTCCATTGTTCTTTCCTTCCACTCGATGAATTACCCCAGTTCAGTCTAAGTAGGCATCAACCATCAGCTTTTATTCACCTCCATAATGTCTAGAATATCTGCCAATTTGAATTGCAAAGCTAGCACACAATTGGTCTTGAGCGTGATGTCGCCAATCTTGTCTTGTTGATATCATCTAATCTTGTCTTTATTTGCCTAGGTTTGCATGAAGCCGAAGATTCCTTGGCGCAAGGAATAGCTCAGCCACGTTGGTCGATAATACCTAAGCTGGCTGCTCCTGATGTTCTTGGGGCTCCAAACTTGGGCTTCTGATCGGGAGACGACATCAATATCAAGGATTCTAAGTACCACGCGCTTGCCTGCCAGCCTATACACTATATTTAGCTTTCAGTATGTCGTGGAGAAAGTTATAGTATATCGATGTTAGTGAACTTGGGCCAGCGATTCTAATGCTCCGAACCGCATTGGAGCAAGTATCCAGACCACCCACTTGTTTGAAAATGAACGCGAAGTCGGTGCACCGTGTCTGACAGTACAGGAACCCGTTTCCAAGTCGCCAAGAAGAATCCTTCTTCTAGTAATTCTAGGTCGAGGTAGTACTGCGTGCTTTGTCCGGGGAGCCTACTTAGAGCCCCCTGGTTCTCGGCATAAGGCTGTGTATTCGTCAAAAGGGGTGGCGACGCGCTGTTGAAAATTGTTTGGATAATGAGTCTAGCAGGGGAGGGTTTCCGTAGTATGAAACGCTTCATCAAACTCTATCTCTCTCTGAGCTGCAATTTCTCCGTTCCGCGTGCATGGAGGTTGCTGGGGGAAAGGAGGACATAAACGAGTATCTCATCGCACGATTCACGCGGTATTTCGAGGAGATGAAGCATTCGAAATGGGCAACTAAAAGGACCTAAATAACGATTTCGATGACGATTGTTTCGCTGTGCCTTGGGCGGCGTCGGTGCAACATCAGCGCACGGCGGAGTGGAGTGGCAGAATAATTATTTTCCATTAGCACGTGACTAAGCCTCTTCGTCTCCACTTTGCCGGCCAATAAAGCGAGGGAAATTTAATGTTTAGCTTCTCTTAAAACTCCGCCCAGCAAAACCAAGAAACACGGGGGTGTTGACGACGGTCATTTCCCCATATTTAAACTGCTGTAGATCCTGGGTACTGACTACAGGTGAGACCTGCTGACACCAATGCCCGCTGTACCACAGGGTAGATAAAATCCCGATCGAATCTACACCTCCGATTCTTCAAACGACGTGTTTCAAGTCCCCCGTCATCCCCGTCAGCTCTATTCTAAGCTTTGCACACCGTGGCTTGCAATTCTGCTGCGCTTTCTGTTAAAATGCGGCACGTTAAATCATGGCTCGTATATCTACCCGGAATAGACGCCACTTCTCGGCGTAGGATCTTGGCTTACCCTCATGGCAATCACGTTTCCTGAGATTCTTGCATTTCTATATTCATTCTAGCTCCTTTGAGGCGCTCTATCCGAATTCCCTTCTCCGACCGCGTCGATTCCGTCGTCTGAAATCTTACTATGGCAATGGCGACTCTTATATTCATCCCCGGGCACTGGAATACACCGGCCTGCTACGATGCTTTAATCACAGCCCTTTTCGCATATGGATACAACTCAGCGACGGTGCTTCTTCCTAGCGTGGACTGCGACGCTGCGACATACAGCCTTACTCACGAACTAGACGCTCTCAAAGCGACACTGGCAGCCCTCGCAAGAATACGGAGAGATGTCATCCTCATCCTACACCCATCCTTAAAATATCAAAGACCATCAATGAAAGGATATGGAGAGAAGAAGCGAGCCGAACGAAGTTTGAAAACCGGCGTAGTGAGGATGATCTTCTTCATGGCTTTCATCGGACCGGAAGGCTTTAATGCAACGAAATGCGGAGATGCGGAGGTGATGAGGGACTTTGCGAAATTCGAGCTGGAGGTGAGCTTCTTCTTTCATTACCCACAAATTGCCATTCCTTGCTCTGACTAACACACGCTAGAGGGGGATCGTTGCCGTCGATAGGGCAGATTCTATGAACGTGTTCTTCCAATATTTACCTGCATCAGAAGCCCAGCACTGGGCCGCGAGGCTTCTACCACAGAGTGTGGGCGTTTTTTGGAGTGCATCGAATTACACCGGTTGGCGGAACATCCCGTCAACTTACATGCTTTTCTCGGATGATCGGTTGTTTCGGGTGCCATATGCGCATTACAAGATTGAGAATACTAGACGATTGAGTGGTGTATGTTAGGGGTTTACAAGTGTTGGGGTCAATCAAAACTATTAGAAAATGAGGGATTAACTCGAAAAGTGAGAGCGGGTGAAAGATGAGGGAAGACAGACTGTCCCCGAAACAATCCATGATTTCAAAGAACCCGGATAGAGAAGGTGATTTTCTTCATCAGTATCACATTCATACCATACTCGCGACTGGATTCGATTTTTACCGAAACCACCACCATATTTGTAACTACTCTTCACTACCAAACCCTTCCCAAGTGTATACCATACTTCCTCAGCTCATTCTTTGCCGTCTTAGATCAGAACTCAACTTTAATCACGAGTTCCCCGCCCGTTTTGCTTCTTCGCACACGCACCCGCCTTCCTCGGCTGACAAACGCCACATCGCTCATTGGTTCCCCTTTTGCACAAGCATTTCGGGACTCCCGCGCACGTTTTCTTGTCCAACCTTGTCATTGCTTGTCATTCCATCTCCTCATGTTCACGTTGTCTTGTATATGCTTGTACTTGCTCAGAATCCCTCCCCCACTTTCCAGATTCTGTCCAGATGCGTTCATGGTAGTAGTGAACTGCGTCGAGGAGGCTATTGTGTCTGACACAGCAGGGTTGTTGTTGGATGACTCAATCGTTGTCGCTTATTGTTGAAGAAGACGGAAGTATGTCTATGCAGGAACTGAGGCCCGAGAGGTCACTCCGTTGCTGTTCTTGGCCAAGGCCGAGGCGATGGAAGGCGATGATGTCGAGCTATCGGACGAAGCGTCTGAAGTGGGGAGGTAGCTTGAGCTCTACAAGAGCTACGAGAGCTATATAAAGCTCTTCCATTGTAACATCCCGGAGGCACCAGCCTTCCTCTCAGGGCCGAAGCCTGCGAATTTATCAAAATGAAAAACTGCAACTCCATCCTCCTCTTTTCTCTAGCAGGCCAAGCCATTGGCTCTCCACTTCTCCCCCGCAAAGACGGCGTCGACGTCAAGCACGTGGCCGTCTTCAGCATCGATGGCCTCCACAACAGCGACATTGATAAGTGGCTAGCACTCGGTCCTTCCAATATTTCCAAGCTCTTGGGTACAGGTTACAGATACACCAACGCTTGGGCTACATTCCCTTCCGACTCTTTTCCTGGCACATTGGCTCCATATACTGGTGCTACGCCGAGGACGACGGGAGTGTGGTATGATGATATTTGGGACCGATCATTCTTTGCGCCAGGGAGTGGATGTAAAGGTTCCCTAGGAGCCGAGTGCGAGTACCCCCAATCGACCATGAGGGCTTCAATGCTAACCTTTGCTTAGTGGTATACGACGAAGGCGTCGACGTCGACTCAACAAAGCTCTTCACCACAATAGACCCCGCCAAGCTCCCACAAGCACTCATTAAAGGGCAATGCACCAACATCTATCCTCACATGCGACCACGCGTCAACACTGCTTTCGAGGTAGTAGTAGGAAAAGGGCTGAAGACTGCCTACACCGACAAACACCCTTCTTATGACCTTGTGCGTGGGCCGAGCGGCAAGGGCCTCTCCACAGGGTACTTCCCTGAGATCGCGAGCACGGCTGGTGGTGTTGATGCCACGACTGCGTATGATCAGTTACATGTCAATGCATGGCTAAACTGGATCGAGGGGAAGGACATTGCAAATGCAGAGGGGAGTTTAGGTGGGAAGGTTCCGACCCTATTTGGCGGCAATTTCCAAGCCGGTAAGTCCCATATCTAACCACCATGTCAGATTATAATGAAAGCCTCATATCATGCAGTATCGGTTGGCCAGAAGACGGCAGGCTACGTCAAAGGCAGTCTCGCTTTCACGGATGGCCTCAAGAAGGCTATCAAATTCGTCGACGACTCGCTTGGCCTCATAATCAAGAAACTCGAAGACAAGGACATGCTTACAAAGACCATGATTGTCATTGCACCTAAGCACGGTCAATCTCCCATCAATCCTGATAAATTCGGTGAGGTTGACCCCAAGCTTGTCACTGCTGCCACCGGCGTTCCGGTGGTTTGGCAAACCGTAAGCGTTCCCACTCCTCTCTTTCATTGCATCTTGCTAAATGGAGCATAGAGCGATTCCATCGCTCTTATCTTTCTTAAAGACCAAAAAGACCTCGCGAAAGCAGTCGCAGGCCTCCAATCGCAAGCCACGGCTCTTAAAATCTCCGACATCATTTACGGCGACCGTCTCATTAAAGAGTTTGGCGATCCCTCTAAGGACCCTGCTGTCCCTGACATTGTCGTTGCGCCGATCCCCGGTATCATTTACTCGACCTCCAAGAAGAAGATTTCCGAGCATGGAGGTTTGTCGGAGGAAGACCGGCATGTAGGCGTCCTTGTCAGCCATCCCAAGTTGAAGAAGGCTGTCTTTGAAGACAAAGTGTTTACGACTCAAGTTGCGCCGACCATTTTAGAAGCATTAGATTTGGAGGCGGAGGAGTTGGTGGGGGTGAAGGCTGAGGGAACGAAGGCTTTGCCTGGCTTTGATGATTGAGGTAGTGTCCTATGTTGTGGCGTACACTAAATATATGGCAGGCGTAAAGTCCTGCATTTAGAACTAGCCGGCATCAATTTCGAAAAGATTGCTTTAGAATTTCATCCCGGAAACTTAAACTGGAAATGCCAGACTATGATTCTATACCAATTTGACACAACGTAAGCTCATAGTGACGGCAATGATATAACAGTTGTAGCAATCTTAGCTTCCATATATATTCTAAACTTAACGTGCTAGTGTAGTACTGTCGGTAGTATGCGTGCTTGCTATAAGCAAAGGAGTACAATATGTTATCACGTAACTTGATCAAATTTAAGATAGAGTCCTTCTGTTAAACTCTATGTAATAATAAGATAAAATATTAATAAGATTTAAATTCCTATCCTGAATTAACCCAGCCATGTTCTCCATTAGGTGACAGGATGTAGTATACCCCCACCACCTAACTCCCTTCATGATTATGCTACTGTTCCTAGCTCACATTGCATTGCTATTTCCAGCAAACTCTTGCAACCACAGTCCACAACACATCTCACTCCCTTCCTCATCAGCTCTTCTTAGAGGTGCTAGACTTCTTCCTTGACGCGAACTTCATCCTATCCCAAAGGCTTGCGTCCTGCTTGCGGGGCCTGGGGTGTTGTGCTACTGTTCGCATCTGCGGTTGTTTGGATGGAGGCATCCTCCGCACCGTAGAGGACTCCGCCGCAAAGCACGGGAAGATCCTCGAATATATTGATCTCGATGCAGGCGGCAGGGCGGATTTCTGGACAGGCTTTGGGACCGCTCTTCTGGCTACTAAAGTTATTGCGTCTTTCTCGCGGTGCTCGGGGCATTTGCGCGGCATGCCTCGTCCCTGTGACTCGGAGAAGAATTCAGAGACTTCGAACTCGTGGTGCGGTCCCGGAGCGATGCAAATCCACTTGACCACTGATGAGCATAGCTGTGGCCAGCACCCGTCGCACCAGTGGTATCCTGGGAAATTGTCTGACTCCTTGGCGCTGACAAGGCTCACGATCCTGCCGCATAGCTTATTCGAACAGCACACAGTGTTATCAATGCTGGGCCACTTCTCCTTGAACGTGTAATTGCCAGACATGAGCATCGAGGCGTTGCTCTCCAGCCCTAACTTCCGGCAGATGTCATTGCACACGTGCGTGGCGAAGAAGAACTTGAAGCCCTCTTTGCCAAGGTTAGTGTCGGACAGCTTGAACCGCTCGGGATCAAGGGTATGAATAGCCGGGTCTGTCAATCGATGGCCAACGCCCTGCAAGTCGCTGACCAAAAAGCAACCCCGCGAGCGCTCGAATGTGAAGTGTGAGAAGGCTTGCGCAGCTTGATTGAAGCGATCAGAGGGGTCGTCTTCATTGACGTAGCCGCAGTTGTTATTATACTTGACGTAGGTGCCCTCAATGAAGGGTTCGAGGGACATGCACTCATCGTCTGAGCCCATGCCCAACATTCCTTTCAAGCACGTCGTCACGATGAAATCGATCCCGTGGTCCTCTCCGGACAGGGCATTGAACTCGAGCGTGAAGGCCTTGCAGAGGGCTTGGCACCGCATGTCCTCGGCTAAGTGGGCGAGCCGCTTCCTACCCCGCTTGAACGACTTGACCACAAAACGGTTCGTGGACGCAGCGGTGCGGGCGTAAAACGCCACACGCATGGCACCTTGGGCAAACGGGCGTGACCGCTTGTGGATGGTGAGTTCGGTGATGCTCATCAGAATGTTGTCGTCGTGGGCCATCATGTCGTCGAGCGTGTTGTCGCCGTGCACTACCACGTCAGGGGAGAACCCCTCCACCATCAGCGTGTCGTTGAACCAGCTGAGTCTGTCCCACTGGGGGGGCGTGGTCTCTAGCCGTGCATGGCCGACGTCGTCCTCGTCTTCGTTGATGGCTGCAAGATGCATGTCCAGCTTTTTGTCCGTCAGTTTCCCAGTACTCGATCGGGTCGTCGAGCGGACTGCGGTACGGGAAGCCGAAGTGGTAACCATCTTGACCACCAAATGCCGGAGCGCGCTAAATGTTGTGCCGAGTTCAGCTTCCTCGAACAATGGGCCGCTTTTGGCGGCGCTGCGCTTGGAATTTCCGCTCTGGGTTTTCGCCGCCAAACTACGAGCTTCATTGTAAAACATGTTGGACTTGTGCAGCGAACAGTCTGCTGAAGCCGCAGCGTACGCTTGCAAGAAGGTAAAAGCCATTTGGTCTGTGGTAGAGTTGATACGGAGCAGAGCATAGTTGATCTTGAGCTCGACCATCTGCTTGAGCAGCGTTTCATGTTTGAGGCGGTGCGGCTCGCTTCCAGGTTTGGGGTAAGAATCTCCTCCGATAGGCGAGTTTTGTAAGGAGTGGCCGTGCGGTGGAGCGTCCGCGATGTGGATGATGCATCGCGTTTGTTGCTTCCACGATGCGTTGAGCGCTTGTCGAATCCCACCGAGGACGTCTTCGGGTTCGTCGCCTCCACCATAAGCCGTCAGCCCATTGAGGAATGCGCGCACTCGATCGGCATCCGTAAAGTCAAGGAACTGGATATTAGGATTGTCCGAGTGGTCCCTGTATGCTACCACGGCGATGCGCACGTTAGCTTCGTTGAGGAAGGTCACTTCGATGTCGTTCACGATACTCTTGACTTGCTCCTTGGCCGCGTTAATGTGACCCGCCATAGAGCCCGTAGTGTCGATGAGGAACAGCAAGTCGGTGGAGCAGACCTTCTTAAACAGCCCCACTGAGGAACGCTTTGGTGACTCAACACCTGCCGCCTGCATATCCTGTTTGAGCTGGAGGACGCGGAGCTTGGCTTCTGTTACAGACAGCTGGACTCCAGACTTGGCCCCCTCATGCTTCAATCTATCGGCGATTGCACGTTCCTCCTCTGCATTCGCCTTTACTTCCTCAACGGTGCGGCACAACTCGTCGCGGTCCAACTCAGCCAAGCGAAATCGTTCGCAGATATGTGAGGCAGAAGCCAAGGTTGACGATCCTGAGCTATGCCCGCCACCTTGGGCGATTGACGAGTCGGGCCCGACGCTGGCTCGTTCCTCAGTAGAGGCATGTGGTGAGCTGGATTGGTGGAGCGTGGTGGCCGTCGACGAAGGTGACGAGGCATCGTAGGAGAGCAAAGAGGGCAACCTTGCTTCTGATTCTACTACTAAGCCAATGCCATCAGGTGAGGTGCGTGAGGGGGACGTAGAAACGGCGAGCGGCTCGGAAGGAACTGAGGCCATGTTAGAGTAGTGGTGATGCACAGAGGAGGCTGAGGTGACATCAACTCCAGGGAGAGGAGGCGGGAGCTTGGTTGATGGATGGGTCCTCTATATGAGACCCGAGTCGTCCCATGCTGCTGATATGGTTGTGAGGCTATTAGCCCAAGGCCGCTGCGCTAGCTCTCAATGAGATGCTGTCGAACAAGCCCCCGCCTTTTGGGGAACCAATCACTACCCTAGCCATGGCCGCCAATAGGCAACTCTTCGTGAAACAAATCTCCATTAGTCTGCCTTGCTGGCTGCCTAGTTGAAGGTGTGGATCTAGCTGAGCTTTTCTGAACAAAAATGCCGCTTAAACTCCTGTGGCGTAGCTAGGAACCAAGGGCGGGTTAGGAGTAGTAGCAAGTAATAGGAAGCTATATCAGCAGAGCAACAACTGCTGATTAACGGTGAAAACCATACTGGCGTAGCTTGGATATCAAGGTGAAAGAATATTAGCCTTGTGATCATCCGCTCGGGTCTCGGCAAGATATACGCACACAAGGAGTCAGCCCAGACTACATGGGCAAGGTGCAAGACTGGGACGATAACGGGGCCCTTTCAAACTCATCTGCAGGGCGGGGTGATAGCTGCGCCAAGAAAGCCTGCAGATTGTGACTAACGCTGACTGGTCGGATGACTGTGAAGATAATCGAAGGTTTCGTGGTATCTGCCTATTCGAAGAACAAGGTAATAGCACTCCCAATCTGAGTCGAATGCGAAGAGCTGAATATGTGACTCGTTAGGTGTGCTGCAGATTAATGACATGACGTTACGAATCTTGGCGTGGTGAGAGTTGGTCCTTGCTGAAGTTGATTACTTAAGTAGATGGTCACAAACCAGCTTGGTCTCAAGAGCACTCATCCTCTTGTTCATGGACTCCTAGAGTAGAGTGTGATACACGGATATATACCAAGGATCCATATTGGCGAGAACAGTTTCTGGAGGAGCTCTGAAGTTCGCAAAAAATTTCCACTCGGCCTCCTCGTTCTGCGGGAATTGCACAGCCTCACTGGGCTTGGCTACTAACCGTTTTCAGCGTGCTGCATGTGCTTCTCACTCTCGTTATCACGATTCGTCTTTGTGTCCTGTAACCAGGCCAAATCAATATCTACTAGTGCCTATATCTCTCTATGTATCATAGCTGCCATAGAGGCTCTACACCAAGACAACACTCTTCCGATGCATCAGGCTTACATATCCTGTTTTCATCGACGCTACGTTCCACGGCACATATCTGGCGCCGTCATGTGAAAGCGTGGCTCGGCTGGAGGCTTTGAGATTCGACCGCATGGTTGTGAAGGAGTGGGTTTAGATTTAACATGACAATCTAGTTTAGGACAGAGATTTGCATGCTGTTAGCACTCTCAATTCTAGCAAGTGGCTTAGCAGATAGAATCTCCCCTTTTCATATTGTGCCTTTATGCGATAACTTGCAGTAAGTGAGTTGTATTTGTTTCTGTGTTGCTTTTGATTATTTTGGTGCTGGTTTGCTGTCAGGTGATAGCTGCCAACTATGCAAACAAAACCATTTGAGAGGGACGGCTCAACTAGAAGGACCCATCTCTCAAGCTCAACCATCTCATTTTTCTCCCCTCATCAGTACTCGGAGCCCATGCCCCTGCGCAGCCACTCCTCTAACTTTTTAAGCTCCAACTTCCACCCTCCCCCATTCTTCACACAATCTATGCCCTTACTCGCCGCCAATATCTCTACATCCACGTCCCTACTATTTTCAAGCTTGCACCAATAGTTCTGACGCATAGTCATCGTCTTCCACTCCCCAGAATTCACATGCTCACACTTCGTCGTCTCGCCTTCATTCACAATCGGCATGGTCGTCGCTAGATCTAGGTGCATGAAGAATGCTGTATTGTATCTAGTCGTCAGTGTGATGTGATTAGTGCCCTGACTGTTTAGGTGTAGTGTTGGAGATAGACCTGTACTACAACAGGCTCACTAATAAGCTAACGCTAATTGACTAGCACACGTTTCGCTGAGCAAGGGATTGTAAATTGATTGGTTGATTGATAACTTAATGCTAAGGAGACTAGATGTAGTACATATTTGTCGCATACAGCTATCCGTCTATATATATCCTTCTGCTGTGCTAGCTGGGAGGTTGACCTTTTAGCGAACGCAACAATATTATAAAGCGTTCATATCCTAGCTGATTCTAACATGTATCGCACGTGTCTTACAGATACTATACCTATGTACTGAACCATTCACTAATTGGGACTAGCTCCTTTCTCGTGCAGTATTCTGAGGCGCTTCAGCAGCGACTGCAGTGCTGTTGCGGCGACGCTTAGGGCCCATACGGACGATCTCACTAGATGCAGGCCATCATGGCTCCAGAACGCCTTTCGCCATAAATTTTTTAATCGAGTTGATCAAAATTCTGAGCGCAGTTTGACTTGATTGCTAATATACTAGGGCGATGATTGGCTTGATTGAATTGACAACAAGAAATTAAAACAAGCAAAAGCTATGAAGCTTCTTCCTTGTTGACAAATCTGTGCCTCCATCTCCTCAGTGAAAATAGGATGCTGAATCTGGCCATCTGAGAAAATCTTGAATATATCTTCTACGTATGAAGGAAATTCCTCCATTGAGTGGAAGTAATTCTGGAAGCTACTCAAGCCTCATTCTCGTTTGTCTTGGGAAACATTGGAAGACGAATCTAGGATCATTTGATATTTTCCCCTAAATTGACAATGAGTATAAGGTCCTAGAGTCTCCAAGGTAGCGTTTCCTACGTTTTACAGAGCACAAACTGAATAGTGAAGAGCAGACACTTATAAGAGTTGTCGACATTGCCGAGCGCTCCTTGATGCGAAGGTAGTCAAGTGGGTTTTAATGCTGCTTGATATGGAGGTGGAGGAGAGTCTGATCGGCGGGACTGGGTTTGGTGGAACACGTTATGCGATGACTCAGCAGGCTAAAGCTCGGGTAATTCGTCACAGTCAGCCTCAGCCACTCAGCGCGCCCACCGCCCTTTTGCGTCCACCAACAACGCCAAGTCAAGCCAGAACTTCGTGTTGAAGAGCCTATCGTCATGCCTACACATTTTGCACTCCCATATGCTAATAAATAGGCATTCTTAAGAGCAAAATACATCTTTCAGTGCTAGTTCTCTGAAAACTGAAAGTTCAAAAGAGCGGGTCGCACAGGCATACACTGCAATGTTTAGCGTCTATGGAGCGTGACCTTGACGGGCAAATGCGTTGTTACTCACCCTTTTATACTCAATCCTCGACAGCAATATGCCAGATGCTTATGAGAAATGTAGACCCGCCTGTCACTCCGAATAAAAGGCAAGACGAGCCTATTACTACTCGACTGAGAGCTAATGAGAGCAGTGCGATTGAGTGGTGCCTTTCTGCACAAAATGCACAGAAGCATGTACCTCCCGTGAGTGCGAGAACCACAATATTTCCCTCCTCTTCATGGGGAAGGCTATGGAAGTTGAAGCTAAAATCGTACAACTAGAACGAGCGCCACCTTAGCCGTTATCACTCCAGTGCCCCATGCCAGCTTGCCTCACGAAAGTCCATCGAGACTGGTTCGCATGAGACCATGGCCAAGTTGATAGAGGGCATCAGCAGGGTTTCGCTATCTGCCACTACGAAAAAGGTTCTAGTTTCTTCCCTTCGCACGACATACTCACAACACTCGCCCTGGATGATGTCTTTTCGGTGGGCTTATCGTATATCTATACATGTTTGTCTAGTCTCCCTCCCAGAGACACGTGGACAATATTCTCTACACATATCTACTAGGGTTCCGGCCGGTCATTCCATATCTAGGTTAGGATGTTTCCCTCTCGTACTATGACACCGTATACACAGAGGGGTAAGATAGCCAGTACTCCGCTTTTCTTACGGGACTATCGTTGCTACTACCGCCGTGTCCATGTTCCCGGAATCGCTATCTGGTACTCTGCAGCTTTAACACTTCAGCATCTAGCGCCTTGAAATGGCATTAAGCACCAAGTCAATCGACTCTCTTCGCGAGCTTGAAGCGGTAAGAGTTCTTACATGTTTCATCCAAGTCTTTGAGGTTACCCAACACCTAGGAGACTTAGATTAGGATATCTCCTGTGTAACTCCTAGCTTCTGGAATTTGGGCAGCATCGCAATTCGCCTAGTAGTGAATCATGGCCTCTATCAGTCTGCAAAGAAGTTACGCGAGCGATCGCTCTTCGGTGTAGCATTGCCTTTAAAAATAGAGGCAGAAAAAAAGAAACTCGATCGGCCTACGGAATTTCTGAGGCGTTCGTGTATCCATAAAGGTAGCTTTTTGCTACTTAGGTACACTCCCCCTATCCACCGAACCCCAATTGTTGAACTGTTGGAGAGGAAGGGTTAAGCCTCGTGGTAGTGTTCAATGGTTGATGGAACGAATGTCCGCTTATTGCCTAATTCGAATACCCCAAGTGCTTGAACTTCAGAAGCCCCTCTCGAATTAACCCTACATACAACTAACAAGACTTACCCTACCATATTTCCTTCGATATAGTTTCCCCACAGTCACTTCGAAGGCTTCGGGGAGGCAACCGCGCGAAAATCGTGTGAGGCCAGCCTCCTCAAAGATCGAACCCTCTCTCTCGCCGTTGGTTATTGTTGGAATTTTGCGCTATATCCTGTAAGAACTGCTGCGTTTCATGGATGAGGTCTAATGCACTCAGGATATCTCTACACTTTTTTGTTGGATCTCCCTATGCCCCTGTTTCATCTCCCCGAGAAATTATGGCAGATCAGTCCCTGGGTTCTAACTAGATTGTGTACTTGTGTTTGCGTGTAGGTAATGAAATTGATTCGTCCACATATAATAGGCAATGACCTCTCCACTCCCAAATTCCTGATACAACGGAGTTCAACTTACAAAACTATTAGCCATTTTGGATACGATGTACATTGGCGCGACAATCTTTAGTTAGTGTAGAATGTCTACCTTAGCGCATATCATATAATATGAGACGGATGCACCTTGTGTATCAACTCAGATAATATATAAACAAACCTAGAGGGGAATATCTCGACATTTTGCAATGCGCTTTATCCGACGAGAAGAAACATATATAATGAGACTCCAGCCAAGCATGTGGTATCTTCCGCACCCCCCTTTCCGAAATCAACACTGGCGGGGTAGCTAAATTAGGAAATGTGGATACTACAAAGGTTACTATATCACTACACTTGTGTGGAAGCCTTGAAGCGTATTCGACGGCTTATCATGATGAGAGGGTGAAGATCATTATGCTGTTTGATATTACGATCTTTCAGGATGAGAAGAGGTATTTCCTACAGGAGATTAAGGTCCGGGTTGCCTGGGTTATTGAGGATCAGGGGCAGAAGGAAATTGGTATTCTACTGTATGCAGAGGACATGTATTCAGAAATGGGGAATCGAAGGTGAGGGCTGCAGTCATAATCCGAGATTTTTCATACAAATATACGAGCACCTCGCCACCAAATATTGTAGAACCGCCTCTTTCCAATCTTTCTCTCTTTCTTACCCTGCCAACGCTCCTGGCGAACAAGCACTCATCATCGGTTTCTCCGCGCACGGTCTCAAAATCGCCCACAAATGCCTCCCATAATCATACCCCGTATCATCCTGATAATATCCCCAACCACTCGGTACCCCTTTCCATCCCCCGGTCCCGCTTTTCCCTGTCGTCACCGCCCCTCCACATTGACTCGCAATACTTTCGACTGCCCACGCAAGACTCTTCCCATCCAAGGAAAGGTCGTGGTCGCAGCTCCAATTCTGCATGAGCAGTTCGACACAGGTGCCGTTTTGGGAGGCGCGGAATCGTTGAGCACCCATGTTGCGGGAGACGAGGATGGGTGTTTTCAGGGCGCGGAGCGTGGTTTCGAGGGTAGTTATGGCAGAAGGGACAACTGTTAGATTATCGTAAGGCGCATTGAGGCATTCTCGGATTTTTATTTGCTTGGGGGTTGACTGCGCGGAAGGAATTGGGGTGGCTGTTGGGGAGGAGTCGCAGTGTATGAGAGGCGCCAGGAGTGGGAGTGGGAGGAGGAAAGGGAGGATGAAGGTGCGCATTGTATGAATCTCGTAGTGAACTCGATTCGTGTCTATGAAGACTGCTGTTTCGAATCCAGGAGTCGATCTCGATCTTTAGAAACCGCGTTTTAAAACGTCCAAACAAATTATCACAGCCTTAAGCATGTCTCTAGCCAAGACTAAAGGCGTCACTCTCAGACTTAAATCTTCCTCAGTCCTGAATATAAAGGCCTACGTAACCCCAAGCGAAATTCAATGTTTCATATAAAACCCCATCGGAAGCGTTTCTGTATTCGGAATATTTCTCGCATCCCAGAATCTGGTTCAGGCTGATTGATGTCGCAATATGTGGTGATGGGGCTGATTGGAGGGCTTGGCAGAGCGTTAATTCTTCTTATAAGAAAAGGTAAAGTTTATAAAGTAAACAATTTTTAGCTATAAAGTCTACGGTATATCCATGCGCGGCGGAAAACCACATGTGTTGGAATGAATCCATTGTTTAGTTAACGCAACACTCTTCCCCGCCCTTCTATCATGCAGTTTAATACATTGCTCCCTGGAAAGGTATCGCGCGGCTTGAGAATACAACGCTCTTAGTTAAACCGTTCATTGTTCTTTTCAGAGCATCTGGAACTATTTTGCCTTGCACCTCTGCTCTACTACAACTTATTATAGAATATTTTATTTAGTAGTTACCTTAACACAGTACTTCTAACATAAGAAGAAAAGAATAGCTTAAATATTTAAATACGCTTAGCCTTTGTAAAGTATGTACTAAAAAGTTTCCCTGTGCTATAGTAGGCTTAGTGCATTGGCGCAGGAATTTAGCGTGCTTATATAATGTAATATTAGGCAATTGTATTGTATTCTACGTCTTAGTAAGATAATTTAGTTGCACCGTATACCTCCACAAGCTTCCTTATTCGTTGTTTTTAGCAATAAGCGTATGTGGTCATTGTTGGCTGTCCAATATTCCGTCCACATTATCACTACACCACCAAAATAGATGTAGGCAGAATGCTGCAGGAACAGGTGGTTTCATTGGTGCTAAAGAACACAGTGGAGTGGATGAGCGAGGTCGAGCCAGTGAAAGCTCTATTTCTATGGGGGCCCACGGTGGCGAAAATGTATTAGGACAGTGGTATTGCTTAAAGTTGATCTTACTGTATGCTGGGAATTGGGCAGATTGTATAGTCGGTTGCAGAACTGGGTTCACTAGGTAAGGAGCCTTGCACGTATTCAGCTCTACGTAATTAGGCGCTAAATTATTGCACTGGGCATCTGCACACCACTATGCAGAAAGGAGGTGTGTTGGCTAGTTACATAAAGCTGTCTTCAGCTGCCCAATTTAATTTGATCATCCGCCTTATAGAGACCTTTCTTTAAATCATCCTCCACCCACAAAGTAGAATATAACGAGCCCCGACGTATTGCGCTTGTGCACTGTGTGCAACAAAACCAATGCGTGACTCTGCAACCGATGCAAGAGCGCCTTCTACTGCTCGACGACATGCCAACATGCCAATTGGCCTATTTGCAAACTTCTCTGTGCAGCCTTCTCCAATTTCGACATTTCGAGCCGACCAGCCGACAAACGCCTCCAAGCGACCTCTTTCCAGTTGATAAAGAGAATCCAATAGTCATCTGGCTTCATTGTAAGTGGCAAAATGTTGACGACAACGAAGACGAAGACAGCCAGCATCAGAGCCCTGAGGCCGAGACATTTTTAGGTCCTAATAGTTTTCCTAAGCATTGGCCAATCCAGTATAATCCGATTCTGAAGAGAAGACTGTCAAACGCAGTTCACGTCTGCTGTCGTGACACATTCCTTGTCGATGGCTCAAAACCCAACAACAGCATTGCAGCTATCACCGCTACCAAATCCGGACAATACCATGACTAGCGAGATCCGATTACCACCTACAGCAAGATGGGGCTAGGCATCAATAAGACCACTTGTAAAGACCTCGACATGAATGACTTCCGACACATGACCGACTACTTTCTCTCGTATGGTCACAAACCTTCACCGGACACCCAACTACCCACCGACAAAAAGTTCAAAGGTGTTAGAATCAGTTGCATCAGTGACCAGAAGATGTTCAGCAATCCGCACTTCGAAGCGGTCGAGGGTCCCTCGACCGACCCTATCTTCTCCCAGCCTGACCCCTCTGACATTGCGAAACGCATCGGACTATCCATTTTCACACGAAACTGCCCTCGAAACTCGAAGTAGGCAGATGACCATGATAATGAGATCTTCGAACACCAAAGCCCTTTCAACAACTAGGACGCTACAAACCTACTCTACAAACCACATACTGTATTGCTAGAACCTCCTGGAGAAATGCGGGGTACAATAGGATTCCGATCCCTGTACCCGTTTCTAAGCTTGTTCACCTGACAACGTGGTGGATGACTCAAGCAACATACACGCACAAATGGCGCGATAGCCTTATGTAGCGGAAACATCTTCACCAGAAAGACCTCGTCTCATTCCCTTTTGCTCGTCAACGTATATTTTCAATAGGTAGTAGCCTCACCCTGTCGCTGCACCCCCTCCCACTATCACCATGTCGCACTGCGATCAAGCCATTGGCCCTCGCGTTGACCCATCATGCCGCTCCTTTGACTTTACCCTCTACTTTCAGGATCTCTTCTTTACCATAACACCAAACGCCGCCCTCCTTATCCTCCTGGTCCTGCCAGGCGTACGTCTCCTCAAAGCCCAGGATGTCGTTAGACGCACAAAATCAGCCGCAGTCAAGGCAGTAAGTAAACAGGCATATCCCGCCTCATCCTCATCCTGCTCCTATACCCTGAAACTAATGATCTTCAAAAACCCAGGCTCTGTATGTCGTACTATTTACATGTCAGACAATCTTTCTGGCCCTCAGATCTCGGCAACCGCAGCTGCACACCCCTGCCTCTGTCGCCGCCGAAGTGTTCGCCGTCGTGACCACCCTCGCCGTCGCCAGCATCTCATGGCTCCAGCACCACCGCTCCGAGCAGCCCTCAGCATTACTCGCCATCTTCTTTGCCCTCATCTCCCTGCTCAATGTCGCACGCGTTAGGAGCCTGTGGCTCATACCGCATTCGACGGGACCGGCAGTCTTGCAGACTCTTGTCCTGCTCCAGGGCGTTAGTGTCTTGTTCGCAGAGTCTCTTGGCAAGAAGAACGCCCTGAGGTTCCCCGAAAAGTTTCACTCTTCTGGTCCGGAGCCATTTACGGGATTCTGGAATCTCGTCGGTTTTTCTTGGCTCCTCGGGACCCTGAGCCGCGGATATCACAGCATTCTCTCCGTAGACGACCTCCCAGACCTCGATTACCGCCTCCACTCGGAGGCTCTGCGAGAAAAGCTGGCCAGTACCTGGTCCAAGTGCAAGTCCAGCCCCTGAATTTGTTTTGGACGAAAAGCAGGATTGCTCACTTACCTCACTACAGATGACAAGACTCAGAAACGCAGTCTACTGGTGGCATGCCTCCGCGCCTATGCCCCTTCTTTCCTGTCGGCGATCATCCCGCGCCTCATCCTAAGCGCCCTTAAGTTCACACAGCCCTTCATGATCACCAAGCTCATCCACTTCGTAGGCGAAAAGGGCATGCCAGACGACTTTGGCCGAGGCCTGATAGGTGCCTATACACTCGTCTATCTCGGCATGGCTGTAAGAAAGCTGCCATCTTTCGTACGCAAGTCGTACATTGAGCTGACCACTATAGGTATCGACGGCACTATACGGGTACATGACGTTTCGATTCCTCATACGTCTGAGGGGTGGCCTCATAGCTCTCATCTACCAGCAAACCGTCGAGGCACGAGCCGTTGACCTCAGCAGCATCAGCGGCCTCACCCTCATGGGTACCGATGTGGAGCGCATCGTCCTTAACTTTCAAACAATACACGAGGTCTGGGCATCGCTCGTAGATATTTCCATTGCCATCTTCTTGCTGCAAAGGCAGATGTTTCTCGCATGCCTTGTCCCGGGAGTCGTTACTTTCAGTGAGATCTCCACTGTCATCATTGATGTTTGGTGCCACTTTGTGCTAACATATTGCCTCGCAGTATTCGTGCTGGCCACATTCAAGTTTTCGGCCTGGGCTAAGGCTGCCCAACGAGTGTGGATTGAAAACGTCGAAAGGCGACTGGGCATCACCACCGTCGTGATTGGGGCCATGAGGACCGTGAAAATGCTTGGGCTCAGCGAAAAGATGTCCAAAATCATCAGCAACTTTCGCACAGTCGAAATTGACAGCTCCTCGAGATACCGCAAGATTCTCATCGGCATCATCTTCTTCTGTGAGTTCTAACCAACAACCTCCCTCACCAAATCTGTACAAGTGATAACTGACTTTTCGCGCGCGCAGCCGTCTTGCCACAGAATCTTGCACCAATGCTCACATTTGCTGTATTTTACGCCATAGCTGCCGCGAGGGATGACAATTCGATTCTTGCAGGACAGGCATTCGCATCACTCTCTCTCATCGCTCTTGTCACATTGCCAGCTCTGACATTTATAAAAGCCATCCCGGCCCTCATCCAGTGCTTTAGTAGCTTTGACCGGATTCAAGAGTACTGCAGCCAGCCTGTTCGACCTCGTCATCTACTGGAGAACCCCAGCTCTCACCAAGCACCATTGGGAGACGACAAAATAGGATCCGAAGTGGAACTGGCCATAATGCAGCCGAGTTGTCTTCAGACAACTGTCGACCAGCCCCTTATCCGTTTCCGCAACCAGGATATTGCGTGGGAAAAAGCTGGTCCTGCAATCCTCAAAACCCTCAGAGCTAACATCCATGAACGGCGATTCACAGTCGTCCTCGGACCAACAGGGAGCGGCAAATCGACTCTTTTGGAAAGCATACTTGACGAGGCAATCTCATTGGGGGGTGATACAGACCGACGCTTCTCCACGGCTGCATACTGTGCCCAAGTGCCATGGTTGATCAATGGCAGCGTCCGAGACAACATTGTAGCCGACGCCTCAGGCCTAGTAGATGAAAAGTGGTACGCGACAGTTCTTTGGACCTGTGGACTGGAGAGCGATATTGCCACTCTCGGACAAAGGGACCGTACTCCAGTTGGGAACGGCGGCAGCAATTTGAGCGGTGGTCAAAGGCAGCGCGTCGTGAGTGACAATAATCTGTGGCTGTTATCAATCATTAAATCAGTCTCTAATCTGCATGCGAATAGTCTCTGGCGCGGGCCGTCTATTCGAGGAAGAAGCTTATTCTCCTAGACGACGTCTTGAGCGGCGTCGATGCCCGCAATGCTGCTCTTATATCGGAACGGCTTCTCGGACGTCAGGGGCTTCTTCGCAGAGGGCTGTCTACCGTAGTGCTCGTTACTCATGCCCGTAAGTGGGTATTCTGTCTCAAGCGACAGTGAAGCAGGCCTTAACTGACAGTCGTGTAGCGTCCCTCATATCCCTTGCTGACGATGCCATCATTGTGGGAAACGGCACCATCACCGAGTTTGGTAGCATAGACCTATTGAGAGCGTCGGGCGGATATGTCGCCGGCCTCCAACTCAAGTCACAGTCAGAGTCGGGTGGGATAGAGACATCTTCATCCGATGAGGAACCTTCGCACCCCGCGAATAATGTAGCCGCAACTGCCACAGAAGCACTCATGGAGCTTAACGTGGAAGCGCATGATCTGAAGCGTCAGACTGGTGACTTTTCCGTCTACAGCTATTATTCCAGAGCTGGGGGTCATGGGACTGTCGCCACGATGCTGATCATAGTGGCTTTGTGGGTGTTCTGCACCGAATTCTCCGGTACGTTTGCTTGAAAATTGACCCTAGTGCTGGTATCGGTCGCAATGCTCACACTCACAACGCGTAGTCGTCGTCGTCGATTGGTGGTCCGCCGCCAATGCAAAGAGTCAGGACCGTAGCAACAATAGGCTGTACCTGGGCGTATACGTCGGGATGGGCTTCCTCGGAGCAGGCTTCCTGCTCAGTGAGTTGTGGTCAGTTCACTACTCAAAGATTCCGACAAAGCATCACAACATGACTTACCCCTTTAGGCTCATATTTGTCACCATCATATCCAGAACCGCTAAGCACCTCCATGAAGATCTTCTCAAGACGACAATGAGGTGAGTCGAAACAAAACAAAACACCCTGGGACCAAAAACTGACTCGACCAATAGCGCCCCCTTACGCTTCTTTCAGGAAACTGACGTTGGCTCTATCACTAACCGGCAAGTTGAAAGGTACTCTTTGCTCATTACCACGACTGACATCTTGAAGCTTCAGTCAGGATATGGAGCTAATTGGCCTGGATCTTCCCACTATCGCTGCTAATTATATTATCGGTGAGTCTGATATGCTCAACTAACCGTGCACAAAGTGGCCTAGACACGGCTAACTGAATCAAAGCTTTGTTCGAATGCGTCGCCAAGGTCATCCTTCTCGCCGTCTTTGCCAAGTATCTATCAGCAACACTCCCTTTGATTGCGGGAAGCGTCTTCTTCGTGCAGCGGTTTTATCTGCGGACGTCTCGTCAGGTGCGACTACTTGATATTGAGGCAAAAGGCCCCGTGTATCTGCACTTTCTCGAGACAACTAATGGGGCCAACACGGTCCGGGCATTCGGATGGCAACGTGCATTCAGGCAGAAGCTTCATACTCTGCTTGACCATTCGCAGAAACCAGTGTATCTACTCTATTGCATTCAACAATGGCTTGCCCTAGCATTGGATCTCATCGTGGCAGTACTCGCGGCCGTCCTTGTTACGATTCTGGTGGTTTGGAGGGACTCATTCGATCCGGGAGCCGTCGGCGTCTCGCTCGTCACGGTAATGACTTTCAACCAAGTCCTGGCCCTACTCGTCAAATCCTGGACCGCGCTCGAGACCTCGATCGGTGCAGTCGGAAGGGTCAAATCATTTGTGGAGAAGACGATATCGGAGGAAAAAGAGTTGGGAATAGGCCAGCCTCTAGTTGCGCCCGACAACTGGCCGACGAGAGGTGCAATTTGCTTTCAGAACGTGACGGCAACCTACAAGTAAGTAGACCTGTGCAGCTAACGCCTTCTTTCGTGACTGACTTGATCGTAGATCTGGCGGTCACCCGGTCCTAAGAAATCTTTCTATTTCCATCGCCGCTGGTGAGAAGGTGGCGATTTGTGGGCGTTCGGGTAGCGGAAAGACCTCGTTCATATTGAGCATACTTCATATGATCAATTTCACCGGTTCCATCTCAATAGACGGAGTAGAGACGCAGAGCTTGATCCCATCGGATCTCCGTTCGCGCATCAACGTTGTGCCGCAGGAGCCTTTCCTGATGCCTAGATCAATACGGTTCAACATTGACCCTCTAGGTCAAGTACGAGACGAGGCCATAATCTCGACTCTGCGGCGCCTGAAGATCTGGGATAGAGTAATGGATTGTGGCGGCCTTGATGCGCAGACGTCACTATCCTTGTGGTCTGTGGGGGAGAGGCAGCTGTTGTGTTTAGCAAGGGCCATGGTTCGGAAAAGTCAGATCTTGATACTAGACGAGGCCACAAGCAGGTAAGTTTGCTGAATTCTAACCTGCCTCAGCCTGCAGGTGGGTTTTAACTGACCCAAACCGTAGCGTCGATGCCTTGACAGAGTCTGTGATGCAGGATGCTGTGGATGGCGAGGTCTCCACCCGAACTGTTCTAGCCGTCGTCCATCGGCTGCGATACATTGAAAGATTCGACAAAGTTGCAGTCTTAGATGGAGGCGTACTCGTCGAGTTTGACAAGCCCAGCACACTGCTGGCGGGAACGTCACTGCTGGCTGACATGTACAAGGCCGGAAAGCAAGATAGAAACTCGGAGTAGACGGGACCTCTCCGTACTAGAAATCATCCAAACCATGAACGGGAGTTTCGAAGTGGAGTCGGTGAATAAACTGCAGATGTACCAGTGAGCTGCGAATGTTATATCCTCAGTAGAGACAAGAAGGCCCTTTCAGTGAGGAGCCGTAAGCCAGCGTTCCCGCTCTACCGGTTTCTGCACTGCTATATGTGTGACGAACTCATTCCGGACCATCCGGCACTCTGTCAGGTCATACGTAGAAGAACAATGAAGGACTCCACGTGCCCAAATTATGATCGCCTGGGTGTACTTTATACTGCATGCAGAGACATGCAAGGTGCCAGAAGAGGAAGCCTTGGTGTCTGACCTCCCAAATCCACTAGCTCCGCGCTGAGTACTCACTGCGGAATTCATGATTATTGGAGCGGGACTTGCGAGATGCAAATTTCTGGATATGTAGTGAACGGGGGAATCGGTCTAGATATACCACCTTAACCAGTTAAATCGTAGAGTCAGGAGCAGCCCAGAGCTCATACATGAAAAGTCTGTGAGCACATTCAACCGTAACCTTATCTCTGAGCGTACTCGCAAACCGTGACTTCTTCTTTCTGACCCCATACGAAGAATATGGGTGAGATTGCGTAAATTAAGGAGGCTGCAAGACTGTGCTAGCTCTAATATGGGCCGGAGAAAGCATTTGATAATGGTGGTAGGTATAGAGGTTGTCACCAAGTACGCTATAAGATTGATCAGACGCAGGCAACATAAGTAACATAGTAGAGCTACATCTATCTAAATGTAAGCTTGGGCAAGTTACTTAATACCTTGTCTACCTATTTAGAGGTGTTGACTAAAATAATTCATGGGAGAGAAGCCTCGTTTCTACCAAGCCTTAGGGGTCCATCCGCCTTAGGCTCTAGAGGATTTATAGTGGCTGTTCAGCGTCTGGAACAATAAAGGCGACGCAATACGTAGCTCTAATGTATTCGCACCACGATTCATAACAGTAGGCGCGCGAGAAAAGCTAGAAATCAGACATATCCGCCGCTGGACTTTAAGGGGAAGACGGTGTTCTGTATCCGGCGCATGTTTGGTATACCGCATCTGTTGGTTAGATATGTATCTTGGTACTTATCTACGCCATAATCCTTGGACCCACATGCATCTACATGTAGTTTCTTACTGAGTATCCACCTTTGACACAACTAAGCATCACTTTCGTCCTCCTTCATCTCCTTATTGTACTGTTGTAAGAGCATCTGTATAGATGGGCAAGCAGGCCATCCTTAGTTATGGCACCAATGCACCGCCACGACCTCATTCATGCGTCCCTTCTGTGGCTAGCCATTTAGTGACTTAGAGGATGGATTTAGTTCCACTTGCATGGTATGGAGCTGGGCTTGAATTAGTCAGTGCGCAAGGCGATTAACTGAAGCGGATATAAACCCCCTCCTAGTTGCAATGGAATTGTGACAAGTTATTGTATTTAGCATGGCTAACAGTCTTCTTATTACTGCCATTATTTGATTTTTATTTTTATTCTTATTAGACTGACGCTCAGCGCCTTATCACCTACTGCGACCATTCAGCTCTTAGGCAAAGACAGCACTACCGACAAGCAGGCTAAATGAAAGATCTAGATAAGACCTGGCATCTAAGAGGCATCCTATACCGCTGATAAATATTATTTATGCAAGCTAAACCCTTGCTAATTCAGCTTGTGCATTCCTTTTAGCTGTCGCCATTCCTTACCCTGCTGCCTTGAGTGGATGCTACGTGGACGATGTGATTGCAGTGCAGCATGCCCGGTTGTGCGCACATAAGCCGGAACACGTCTCAAATCCAGTCTCTGAAAAGAAAAATGGGCCAGAACCGCCCTCCCATAAATGTGCTCAGGCACGTCACAATGGGTAACCTGCGCTTAACGTAGCACCACCTCAAACTCAAACGGCTCTGTTAGGAGGCTATACTTGTCCAACGTTCTTGGTCCGCAACTGCCACTACCCAACCCATGATGCTGCCAATCCAACCTCAAGACCACTTCTTCTCTTTTAAACTTTCTCAATTCGTATGGATGTCCCACATTCGCCACATCATACATCCTATAGTGCGAAGCCTGGAAGTCGAAGCTCTTCAATTCACGGCCAGTACTCGAGAGTTCTGCGAATTGAACAAACAAGGAGGAACCCCCATTCTCGAGCTTCAATCAGCGAGTATCGGTGCGGTTGGAGCTCTCTTGCGGGACTTCGTACTCAGTCCATAGTTCCTCGATACTGGAAACTTTGTATGTGCCGATCAGCTGCGAAAGCTTGCTGTCACGGTAGCATTCTCCAGGCCCACGACCAAACCATTGGACTTGCTGCCATTCTTTCGGCATTTCCATAACGAATCCAATACGTGGGAGGGTACGGGGTAGATTCTGGCCTTGCGGGGTGCCGGTTGCGTGGACAGTCAAAGACCCGTCCGCTAGGAAATGATACGCTAAGACGCAGTCGATAGACCATGAAAAGACCGGAGGTGCAACTCGCTGGTGTACGGTTATGGTGAACTCGCTGCTGCTAGCCTGCGACCATTCAACTTTTCGAGTCGAGACTTTTGCAAGGTGGAGAAGCTTGTCCTTCCAGTCCCAGCCATCTTGTGGAATGTCGTTGTCAGTTGGAGCACGGAAGAAGTTGATCTCTGGTGACTTCGAGACAAGCTCCTTTGAGTCCTTGACCCAGGATGTGAGATTGCCGTGCAGAGTATTGAATGTCCACGCCGAGTTTCCGCCTTTGATTTGAAGAGAATTCAGAGTAGAAAAAAGGACTTGTACTTCCGGCCCGGCAGAAGAAGGAGCTTTCCGAAGGGGATCTAGTCCAGTAAGTGAAATTTGGGCCGTCGAAACCTCGAAACCAGCTTCCAAGAAAGGTGTGGCATCGCTTAAGCGGAACGAGAAGTTGACAAGCGTCTCACCTCTTATATCCGATAAATTGGGCATCTCAAGCTCAAAAGTTTGCCCCGGATCCACGCCAGGCGGTAGTTCAATGGAGCCTGAATCGGTACGCTCTGGGTCAGAGGCAATGGTCCACTCACATTTGAGGTGATTCAGCGCTATGAAATCGTAACGGTTGACAAACTTGGCCTTGTTCGAGATCACCTCGAGAAACTGTACCGGTTCAATTGCTTTCTTATATTCGATCAAGCCAGGATTTGGTGTGTGGTCCGAATTCACTAGTCCGTCCATCACGAAAGTCCCGTCATGAGGAATCTCACCGAAATCGCCTCCGTAGGCAAAGTATTGATCTTTTGTCTCCTTGTCTTGCGTCAGGAGGCCATGGTTAGCCCATTCCCAAGCAAAGCCCCCCTGAAGTTTGGGATACGTGTAGAATGCATCGATGTATTCCTTGATATTACCCGGACCGTTGCCCATTGCATGGACCTGTGGCATTTAGTCGCTCCTATACGAGAGCGGAGGGACGAGTGAAGGGCTTACGAATTCACATAGCACTAATGGCTTTTTTTTGCTGTCATCTTTCCCGAACTTTACAATCTCGTTAACAGGTGGATACATTCGCGAAAACATATCTACTGTCTCGGCACAAATGTCCGCTTCATAGTGAACAGGCCTACTGTCGTCGAAAGTTTTAATCCATTCATACATCGCCGTAAAATTCCGGCCAAAGAATGCTTCATTTCCAAGACTCCACACAATGATGGAAGGATGTAGTTGATCTCGCTTCACGAGATGCTGTGCTCTGTCGACATACGCGTGGGTCCAATCAGGATTGTCAGTGGTCCACTTTGCGGCCGCCCTTCTGGTAAGGACCTGGCGTTGGCGAAAAGGCATTTTACGGTCTTCAGCAGATAGCGCACTGTCTGCAATCGACTCGAAACCATGGCACTCTAAGTCGGCTTCATCCATAACCCAGAATCCCATCTCATCAGCCAGGTCGTACAGTCGTGGATCATTGAGTTGATGAGATGTGCGAATAGCATTAATGTTGTGACGTTTCATGTTTATAAGGTCCTGTTTGAGGAATTCTATGGGCACAGCGCGACCAAATTTGGGATGGTGTTCGTGGCGATTTACCCCGCGGAATACGATGCGTTTTCCATTGACTTTAATCAGTCCGTCTATCATTTGTACCTGACGGAAGCCGATGCGATGCGAAACATACTGCTCGGAGTTGACAGACACAACTAGGTGGTACAAGTACGGAGATTCAGCAGTCCATTTGGTCGGGTTTTTGATCGGGAACGAGATATTAAGGAACGGTTCGTTCGAGAACTCGGTGAATACTCTAGCAACAGTCTGGCGTTCAGCGTTGAGAAGCTTGACCCTGAGGTTGCCGGATCCTGTTAAGCTAACCTTTACCATGAGCTCGGCATCACGGTATTCCCAGTCAAAGAAAGTTTGGACATAGAGGTCTTCAATCCTTGACTCTCGGGGAAAGCTAATTAAAAATACGTCACGGAAGCTAGCATCGTCAGTCATAAGACATAGCCAATATGACTAGGATAGTCTCACATGCCACTCAGCCACCACTGATCCTAGAGATTGTTAGCACTGGGGGAAGAGCTGTATGAGACACTTACCTGATCCTCTATGTACGTTCCGTCGCAAAGTTGATACACTCTCACGGCCACCGTATTTTCTCCTTGCTCGTCAACAAGATGGGTCACATCAAACTCATCGGGATTTCTGCTCCCCTGGGAGTAGCCGACTTCCTTACCATTCACCCAGACATGAAATGAAGAGTCTACCCCTTCGAATCGAAGGCGAATCTGAGACCCCTTCATCTCCTGAGGGATGGTAAACTTCCTCACATACGACCCAGTCTCATTTTCGGTAAATGAAACATTTGGAGGGTCGACCGGGATATGAAAGTGGACGTTTGTATAATGAGGCCCCTTGCCGAAGCCTTGGAGTTGCCACATGCCAGGCACGGCGATATCGCTCCATGATGTAGTGTCAAACGATGGGGCTTGAAAGCCTTCGGGGGCTTCAAATGGTGAGAGTGAATGCTGGAATTTCCACGCTCCTGACAAACAGAGGGACTTTGCTTTCCCAGCATCGTAAGTGAGGGCATCCGATTCAGAGGGAAAGACGTTAAAGTATGCTCGCGGTGGAAGTGTGTTTTTATGAAGAACATTGAGATTATTCCAATCAGGTACTGCAGCCGGATGGACACCAGAAACAGCAGCCATCTGAAACCAATTGATGAAGTTAATTGAGAGCTAGAGGTTGAGATCTTTCCCTTTCTCTCAGAAAGTTGTCCACTCACTATATCAAGTAGGAGCTCGAAGTTGGCCTCGCCACGTCAGTAGAAGGGATAGCATAGAGGAGAAAATCGGGCATGCTGAACGGTCTTATTGAAACGCCGAAATGTACGTTGTTTGGCTTGAGGGAGGGTGGAGGTCGGGTCAATTATGCTGCGGCGGGGATCCCTGCAAACTCTCGGCAACCATGCCCAAGTCGGCTTCACGTGCTTGGGTGGCCTTAGCCTCCACGCTTTCTCCACGAAACTCCTCACAATGTTGAGCCGCGTCTATAGAACTGAACTTATGTCTCTGTAAACTACCAAAAGTCCCCTCCATCGACTCATGGGAGACTATTTAGCTTCACACGCGAGATTCGAATGGCCGCATCCTGTATTGAAGTGCACCCCCACCAGTCCACTCGGGGACTCGATCCGCCACTGCTTTCGATCTACCCTTCAGAATTCTCGCAGGAAGTATGAATCCGGTATTTAAAAGCTCGCCATAGCAGCCTGTTCTTGAAAACAGGTTGCGTCGCTCAATGCCAGGCTGGCTTGAGCCAATTATTGCCATCTGGAAAGATATCCTCGGAAGAATTACTTACGCCTCGGAGTGCTCCCAATGGAGTTCAAAGCCTTGATTGCAAAGAGTGCGTACCCTAGTCAGGGATATAAGTTCACCTAAGTCCCGACCCTGCAGTGACCGAACAATAGGAGACTGCTTTTACCCCATCCATCTTCTACTATCTTTCGGTGCATTAGTTTGGGTTGTGCATTGGCTCTGAACCTCTTTCAACATGGGGAAGGAGGACAATAACTATGCCAAGCAGCAGCTAATTGTTGTTAACGACGTGCACAAGCCCAGCTATGCTATTCGAACGAATGTGGCGTCGGTCGCCTTGGGTAGGTACGATTTCCAAGTATAAATCTCTGGAATGAAATGATGAAATGTCATTCATTATTTGCGTATTCGCGCCTGCCACCAAGAGTTGACAGGGGGTTCCGAATTTCCTGAGGCTGTAGTTGGAATGGACGAGGGTTTTAGGAGGTCTTAGAACTCTGCTATACTTCCGGCCTTGCCACGTTCCGTTCCATGTACCATCCTTTACTCTCGCACTTTACACTGAAGACACTAATTCATTATAGCCGCCGCCATCGAGGCATAGAAGCCTAAGCCGCTCTCTCCGAACATGCTCAAGCTTTATGCAATCATGGGCATTGGCTACCTGGTGTCAACCATGAACGGCTTCGATAATTCAGTGATGGGTTAAATCAACGCCATGACCACTTACCAGAAGACCTTTGGCCTCTACGGAGAGGGATCCACCACTGGCATTATATTTATAATCTACAAACTCGGCCGGATTGCTGCATTTCCATTTTGTGGTTTCTTTGCTGATGGCTATGGACGTCGTGTGTGCATCTTTGTGGGATGTCTGCTAATTCTTGTTGGAACAGCTGTGCAAGCTAGTGCCCGCGGAATGGGCCAGTTCATTGGTGGGGGGTTCGTGCTCGGGTGTGGAGCATCCATTGCTTCCGCTGCTGGACCTGCATACACGGTAGAGCTTGCTCATCCGGCATATCGGGGAACTATGGCGAGAATGTATAACAGCTTCTGGTGGCTAGGGAATATCTTGGCTGGGTGGACCACCGTACGTTGTTTTAACTCATCGATTTGATGGATTTTCTCTAACATGTCTAGTACGGCACAAACCTCCACCTGGAGTCGTCATCTTGGGCTTGGCGTCTCCCCTCCGTTGTTTTGGCCCTTGTGTTGTTCTTCCCCGAATCACCTCGCTGGCTAATTTCGAAAGACCGACACGAAGAAGCTATCGTAGTCTTGGCAAAGTACCACGGCGATGACAATCCCGAAGCACCCATCGTCCAACTCCAGGTCCGCGAGATCTGCGATGACTTCGCTGTCACCCATAACGAAAATCCCTGGTGGGACTTCCGCGAGCTTGGAAACACCAAAGCTGCACGATACCGACTTGCAATGGTTATCGCGATGGCCGTTTATGGTCAGTGGTCGGGAAATAACGTTGTTTCGTACTCTATGCCAGCTATGATTAAGAACGCAGAGATTACGGATACAAATAGGCAACTTCTCATCAACGCCATCAATCCCATTTTCAGTATGCTTGGTGCGATCAACGGAGCCACCCTTCTAGATAAACTTGGGAGACGAAAGATGTTGATGGGTGGTCTTATTGGCGGCCTCTTTTCATACTGTCTTCTCACTGCCTTCACGGCAACGGCCAAACCGTCGAATGACCTTGCGTACGGAACTATTGTGTCTATCTATCTCTTTGGGATTTTCTTCGCCTGGGGCTGGACGCCGCTACAGACTCTGTACGCCATTGAATGTCTCGAGAACCCCACACGAGCCAAAGGATCTAGGCTGAATTTCCTGTTCTTGAATGTTGCTATGGTGATTAATACGTATGGTATCTCAATTGGTATTGAGAAGATTGGGTGGAAGCTGTATCTGGTGTATATCGCTTGGATATGTGTTGAGATTTCCGCTATTTACTGGTAAGTGACTTCCACGTAGAGGTGGCCTCGAGAGTTTTCGGGATGTGATTATGCGGTCTAGGTTCTTTGTGGAGATAGCTGGTAAAACGCCAGAAGAACTGAGAGAGATCTTTGAGGCCCCAAATCCACGTAAAGCGTCTAATAAGCGCATTAAAATAGAGATGGATGAGCGGGGACAAGTTCTTCATGTTGAGGATCGCGGGGTTTGAATTGTGTTGGAAATGGGTTCTCCTATAGTCTTGCACATGGCTGCTTTGTATTAGAAACAAGGAAGAGTCCTATTGAATTCTCATTAGAGGAACTTAGCCTACCGGGGCATGCCATTTGTGTCACTTCCGAATTAGGAAACCTGTTCATATGGGCTTATCAACTCGTGGAGTTCGTCACGCTCACCACGAAACTCGGACGCGAACTAGGCAGCGGAACTAAAAGGGCTATTCTGACTTTAAACCCCATCAATTGACGCCTGTTGCTTCCATCCTGTCTAAACTATTTACCCATGTCAAAGCCACAAAGACGCTAGCCACCAAGCACCCAGGAATTGCCCAGCGACCAAGCTGGAGAAGTACAATTATATTACAATTACCGTCTCTAATCAATACACTAGTCTTGTTCCCGAGATATCCACCTAGGGCGGCAAACCTCACTACTTACCAAACCTCCATCCACGCAACCCTGTCTTTGCTTTCTCTTCCTGTCTCTCGCACGGCTCTCTTCCTTCTAAAACATCCCGACCGTCGAGCACACCACTACATTGCTCCCACTCCGGCTCTATGAAATGAAATCGCATCGGAGATTTAAGCTCGTTCCATCCAAGGTTCTCTGGCATCCTTCTTGTATTGCCATATCCGAATCGGGATTCTGTACCCGGTATCAGTTCGCTAGTCTGAATATGATATGGCGAGTTCCTCCGGTGCCTGTTATTTCTCCTCTGCGTCGATTTTTGAGAAAGCGATGATATAGGAAGTGGAGGAGGAGTGCGGGGGAACAGATATGATGGTGTTATGAGCGGAGAGGCCGGAGCGTCGGGCTCGATATATGAAAGCGGCGGGACGGGTGGAATATTAAGGGGTGGGTCGTGTATGGTGTCGAAAGTTGGCTTGCCGGGTGTTGGTGGGCGGGGAGCACGCCATTGAAAGTTGTGCGGGTTCGGGATTGGGATTGTGAGGGTTGAAGGGTGGGTGCGGGTTGATGGGTAGTGCTGGCTCATTTGGCTGTGGTTGATTTGGTGCCGGTTTTCGGGTTGGGGTCGGGAGGAACGTGGCATAGGGTGATTCTGGATGAGGTGGTAGTTTGTTTAGCTGGCACACTGCTGTTTTGTCGTTGGCGATTTCGGTTGGGCTCGAAAAGACAACGATGGACGGAAAATATCTTCAATACCTCGAGCGATGAGATTGCCTCCCTCAAATAGCTTTTTGCATTTTTCACACTTATCGCCTACCTTCCCCTGGCAATGTATTAGCAGACACATCATTCTTGCGCAAGTGCCAAGTCGCGTGAGCCAATGACGGAATACGAGGTGCGGATGTGCATCCGGTGAACGGTGCGCGGACGCCTGCCTTGCCAAATGAGCCGAGATTTGTTTTGTTTCGTCGTAGGGCTGCGATGGCGCCTGTGCATTGGGCACCATGGAGTTAGGGCTTCGCGACCTCAAACGATGGGTGAACGCAACAGTAAGATGGGATGACTACGTTTCAAGTGATGTGGAGGGAGTCCTGTATCATGTTTCATCACAGAGTTCCAAGGCTGATCAAACACATGACGTTATTAGTCGGATTGGGGTAGCGCATTCCAAATGGTTTAGAGAGAGTACAGGAGAAAATATCGTGGATGAAAAAGGACAGTAGAATCTTGGAAGTACGGATTGACTGGAGAGAGTATATACGAGGGCTAAGAGCGACGGATGCCGTGATAGTGGTTCATAATAATTCAGAGGTAAAAGGTAACCAGGAAGAAAAAGGAAGGTCGAATGCAGAAAGAAAGACAACTCACGTGATCTTTGAGGAGATCTTAGGTAACAAATTTTATTGCTTAGCATTGCTCACCTCCAGACCGACACGCATTTCACGTCTCATCAACCACCACTCATCCTGATCTTTAAGTTGTCGCATGTAGCAACGGCCCCATGCTGTGTGCAGATAAGGCAATGTCCAATAATATCGTTCTTTCACCACTATTTACCTGTTCAGGCAGTTCGCAAGACTTGCCGCCCAGCAAGCTTCTTTCCGCCCCCCCTGGTGGCAGCCAAGTCCCGCCGAGGCTGGCATGGCATTTCTTGAAGAAGGCAGACACCATATCGATGGCGCAGAAAACAGCTTCGCATCAACCGGATTTCCCTCTATCCTCTTCAAGCTTCAATTTCCGCCCCAGCAACCGGGTATCACCACTCTGGCGTGTCACATCCACCCCGCCGGTCGGAGCTCCACTCGCCAAGACACTCCGCCACGCATGCCAATGCCCCCCAGATCCCACGATAGGGAGGTCCAAGAGCCGTCTAAGAGCCGCCGTGGCGCTAAAAATGAGTGATTGACCAGAGGAACCTCTTAGGCCCTATTTGGCAAACAGGAATTGCCGACATATCCACGGTGCAGCCAACCAGGACTCTCTTTCAATCCGTCAATCAACTGCCAGCCCGCTCAGAGGACACGCCGAAGCTGTGCCAAGCTGTTGTCCGTACCCTTTTGGATGCCGCCAGTCGGGCGCGCCGCGAGATCTGTAGAGATAGATTGAACCCCTCCGCTGATCACCTCCGTCTATTTAAGAACCCTTTCGTCCCAGAGTCCTGGTTTACCTTGTCTTATCTCTTCGTCTTCCAAGAGACCACCTCGCTACACCATGGATGACAAGTACGTCCTTCCTGAGGAGAAGGTTGGCATCACGTCTCCTCCCCACCGTGATCCCCATGAGCAGGGCCAATGGCGCGAGACTGAGGATTTCTGGACTAGAAATGGCCTGAACATCAAGTCCTTCCAACGGCGTGAGGTTGGCCCCAAGATCGTGGAGCTGGACAAATCTATGAAGACTCGCCATTTGCATATGATTGCTATTGGTGGCTCTATTGGAGCTGGTTTCTTCGTCGGTTCAGGCAGTGCTCTCAGTCGTGGAGTAAGAATCCCAGAATTAGTCTCACGTCACGCGCTCACACTTTTCAGGGACCTGGAACACTACTGATTGATTTTCTCATCATGGGTGTCATGATTTTCAATGTCGGTATGTGTGATTTTGTGGAACCCCTAACTTGTGTATGTGGTATTAAGAAGCTTCATAGTATACGCTCTCGGTGAACTCGCCGTCATGTATCCAATCTCGGGTGGCTTCTACACATACTCCACCCGATTTATCGATCCCTCTTGGGGTTTTGCCATGGGGTGGAACTACGTCTTCCAATGGGCTATCGTCTTGCCGCTCGAGTTGACTGTCGCTGGTTTCACGGTCGAGTATTGGCAGGCAGGAGTGAACGTTGGTGTTTGGATCACCATCTTCTACCTATTCATCATCATCATCAACGTGTTCGGAACCCTAGGATACGCCGAAGAAGAATTTTGGTCGTCCATGCTCAAACTCTCTGCTACTGTCATATTCATGATTATCGCGTTTGTCCTCGTTCTTGGCGGCGGACCTTCCTCCGGCAGATATGATGAGTACTGGGGGGCGCGCCTATGGTACGATCCGGGGGCATTTAACAATGGATTCAAGGGTTTCTGTTCGGTTTTTGTCACTGCCGCCTTTGCATTCTCTGGAACTGAGCTTGTTGGCTTGGCCGCAGCTGAGACGAAGAATCCTCTCAAGTCTCTGCCTGGTGCTATTCGACAAGTTTTCTGGCGAATTACATTGTGAGCACCACCTTCTCATCCCCGAGCCCACAACGTACCATTCGCCTCCTCAGGTGCAACTAACATTTGAACAGGTTTTATGTCCTCGGCCTCTTCTTCGTTGGTCTGCTCATCCGATACGATGACGACAACCTTCTTGGTGCAAACCCCTATGTCAACGTCAATGCGTCTCCATTCGTGCTTGTTGGAAAGTACGCCGGCCTTAAAGGTTTCGACAGTTTTATGAACGTGGTCATCCTGGTCTCCGTCATCTCCATTGGTGTCTCTGGAGTATATGGTGGGTCACGTACTCTTACCGCTCTCGGCGAACAAGGATACGCACCCAAGTTCTTTACCTACATTGATCGCTCTGGGCGGCCCCTATGGTCTGTTCTCGCTATCCTAATCTTTGGCGCTCTCGCATATGTCAACTTAGACGCCGATGGCCCGACAGTCTTTGACTGGCTTTTGGCTCTGTCAGGTCTTGCTGCTTTGTTCACTTGGGGCTCCATATGCCTTGCCCATATCCGATTCCGCAAGGCTTGGGCATATCATGGGCATACTCTTGACGAAATCCCCTTCAAAGCGGTTGGTAGTGTCTATGGATCCTGGCTTGGCCTTTTCATCATTTTCCTTGTGCTTTGCGCCCAGGTTCGTCTCCAAGATATAGGTCATCTATACCATTACTAATTCTGCCACAGTTTTATACCGCTCTCTCCCCCATTGGTGAAGATATCGGCACCGCAGAAGGTTTCTTCAAATCTTACCTCGCCCTCCCCGTTGTAATATTCTTCTGGCTTTGCGGCTATCTTTGGAAGCGCCAGGCTTGGTTGAGAACATCCAATATTGACGTTGATTCTGGTAGGAGAGAGCTCGACTGGGACTACATCAATGCTCAGAGGGCGGAGATGGCGACTTGGCCTGCTTGGAGGAGAATCTCTGCCGTTATATTCTAATATCTTCATTCAAGTGTCATCGTGTGCAAGAATGAGTATCGGGAGCATGACGGCAGCTAAGACGCGTCATAGCTGTACTTGTAGAAGATACCTAGTGCTTTTTATGAAAACTGCTTGTTCGCTTCCTGTGTTTGCTTAATACAGAACCTGATAGATTAATCTAGCTATCACATTTTCCTATTCCACCCGTCATCATTTTCAATTGCTTTTCCCTTTCTATACAATCAATCCGATACTCTCGCTTTCCGTCCACCTCACTCCACAGGATCAACCTCCGAAATCCTCGGTGCGTCGCCCACAAGCTCTGCCTCAATCATCTTTCTCCCGCCTATATGTCCCAACTGCCTTTCCGAGTCATGTCCAGAACCCCCCGTTCTTATTACTTCCCCTTGATGCCTTTTCCCGACATTCTTCTCCAACGAAGCAAGAAGCCGCATTTGAGTACCTTCGCTTTGCTATCTCGCAGACTGCTTTGCTGAGTTTCTCCTCACGGTTACGACACGCTTCTTCCATGAGCGAATCTCTATAAACAAAAAGATCTTCTTGCTCTGTCTTATTTCCTAACTGTTCCCTTGAATTTCGGTTAGAATTCAAGACCGTAAACGGATTCTCAAACACAAAAGTAAACTGCGCAAGATTCATCCCCTGAAACGGTGGTGGCAACTCCGTGTAGAGCTGTTCCGCCGAGGGAATCAACAGCCCACGGTTCCTTCCCTTCATCGGTTTTGCATAAGGAAGTGTTATATTTGGCTTTTGATAGACATGTAGTCGAAGGGTGAGGGGCTAATAAGCCATTGTCCTAAGAGAAATACGATGAAGGTAAGGAGGAGGATTCAGAATTCGCGTTGGATTCTGCGTTCATAGTGGATGAGGGTACGGTTTTGGGATTTTAGGGTAATATTGGCGTATTCGAGTTCCAGGTCAGGCGAGGGAGATGGCGGAGAGCCGATGGCGTGGTTGACGGAGGGATATCGGGTCATTTTCGAAGGGTGATGGGTCGAAAGTAACTTTTAAAGGGTTTGCGCTATTTGAGTTGGGGATGCAGGCTGTTTTTATTATGACGCGGCTTTGTTTCCAGAAACGATGCGTTGATCCCATGGCCGCAATCGTCGGTGATTCGTCTTTCTTTGTTGCCTCGAAGTCAAACCTTATACCTGAGCTTCGTTACATATCTGTTGACACACTTAAGTAAATTACAGACCGATCTAAAGCACTAGACCTCAGTTCTAGACCAATCTGTAATTTGGTAACCTGAATGGTACCTAGGTAGGATAGTCATGCGGCTCAATCCTCACTTCAGGCGCTATCTGTCGGGAGTATCTACTGAGCGCTTATGATTTTGGAACCATGCATTTGTATGATACTAAGCATTGACTGCTTTGATAACCCTCGGGCTTTTTGATCCGCACCTAATTTATGATACTTACGGAAGCTTCACTCAAGCGAGATTGTTCAGCCGCATACGAAAATACCATCAGCGCAAAGAACATGAGTCAATTTCTATATAACATTGGTTTATACGAAAGCGGTGTTCGCATTGAAGTTGCAGGAATCATGCATGTGGAATACATTTTTGCTGTGACCCACTCTCAACCCTTGCCCGACACCGAGCCCTCCAATTTGCACCTTGATCTATAAGAGGTTAGCTCCGTCACATGATTGACCGAGGAGACCTCTTAATTGTACGATGGAAATTTCCACTCAGCCATATTTCTCAATCGCTTTGCGCACCGTTCGCCACAGTGGATGTAGCCCAGCCTAATATATTCCCGTGGGAGATTGCTTCCCGGTCTCGCTCCGACCGACTCTTTGGAGGCTCACTTCAAAGTTCACTTGGTGCCGTACCACTCATCTCACATTAGAGCTTCCTGATTTTCCGACGGAGTCTGAAACTTCTGATATTGGTGCCAGCCCCCTGTCGGAATATTCCATCCTGTTGAACCCCATTTTGCCGCACGTGAAAGCGCGCCTTAGTCCAGACCAGACTTGGCAACAAACAAGTTAACTTAATAACTTAACTTAATTAACTTAATTAACAGCTATTAATTAAGTTAATTAGCTAGGCAAAATTTACTAAGTTAATTAAGTAAATTATGCCTACTTAATTAACTTAATTAACAGACTTAAATCCCCTAGATCCCTAGAGATTTACTGTAGAATACAGGATCCTCTAGTGCGTGGGAGGTAGGAGTAGTAAATCTAGGATAAGGCAATTTAGAGTTAACAGAGATAAAAGTTATAATAGTTGCCTAATAGAGCTTAGCGCTGTATATCTAAGATTCTTTAACTTCTGCCTATCTAACCTACTAACTTACACTAACTCTCTTACCCTACTAACGCCCCTCTCTATTAATATAACGTCCCCTAATTATCTAGAGGGTATAAATAGTGCCCTATCTTATGTCTTTAGCTAGCAGCTTAAAAGCGCAGCTTTATAAACCCCCCCTAATAAGGGCGCTACTAATATAGCTACTAACACGCTGTTAGAGCTTAACATTAATAAAAGCTCTATAAAAGGGACCCCCTCTACAACTAACTAAGACAAAGATAATAACAACACATATAATAGCATTAATTAGACGCGTCTACTTAATTATTATAAGCTAGCTTGTACAGCAAAGTGTAGTTAAAAGAGCTAGGTTTAGCAGTACAGCTATTGCCTATAGCACTACAAGCAGCTGTCACGGTATCCTCCCCAGATCCCAGACATAACCGTATTAGACGTGTACTAGAGTATTATTAGTGCACGTCTAACATAAACACAACATAACACAGACATAAACTTAAGCATAAACTGCTTTAACACTAACTAAACCTAGAATAAGCTTAATTTATACTTAAAGCACTTAGACTTTTAAGCTAAGTATTTAATTACTAATTTCCTTTTAAACTTTTCTATTCTTTACATAACATCTTATACTTACTATAATACCTTACATAGTAATTAAACTAGACCTCTGTAAAGCTCTATAACCTTACTTATGCATAATTATAACATTATGTTATGTTAAAATTTTAGCTAAGAATAGCTTCTAAATTTAATCTAATAAGCTTAGTACTTACACAACTTTAAGCTATTAAAGTAAGCTAAAAAGCTTTTTAAAAAGCACTTACTTTATAAAAAAGCTACTACATTATAAGCTTTAAAGCTTTTTAAAAAGACTTTAAAGAATAGCTTTATATTATTAAGTAGTCTATTTCTACTTTAACTTTTATTATAGTAGTAAGAACTAAGAACTTACTAGCCTTAAAGCTTACTTAGAAGTCTAAAGATAGCTTAACTCTTTTCTACCTAACACTGCCTATAACTTATAACTTTTTTAACTTAGTAATAAAATCTAACTAACTTCTTAATCCTCTACTGTTTAATAGAAAATAAAAAGACCTACCTTTCTTTCTATATAAGCTTTAATATAAACTTAAAAAAAATATAAACTAATTTCTCTTTAAACACTTCTAGTTACTATATGCTTACTTTTAACTTAACTATAATATAACAGCCTTAATTAACTTACTAATAAATAAAGATATTATTAACTTAGATTAATTTATAGTGTTTTTATAAGTAACTTATAAAAACCTAAATAAAAAGTTAACAGCTTTAAGTTACCTAAACACTTTATAATAAAAAAAAAAGCTTTACTTTACACTTTACTAAGTTCTGCTAACTTACATTTAATATAGGCCTAAATAAGATAAGTCTAATTATAGCCTTACATAACTTCCTCTTAACTAAACTGTAACATGCTATAGTAGAAGAACCCCTTTTAAACAACCTTAATATGTATGCAAACCTAATTACTACTTATAATAATAATATAAAGTTTCTCTTTATATAAGCTCTAATACACCTCTAAACTAGCGCAGTTATAAATAAAGACCTTAATATAATAAAAATTAATTTAAATTATGCTCTAGTTAGTTCTAAAAAGTGTAAAAATTATAAAAAGAAAAATTAATACTTTAAGTGTAGTAAGCATAGTTATATCTTTTAAAACTGCTTTATTCTTTTTTCTTAAGTTTATGTAAGTAGCACTACTAGCACTTATTAAAAATTTTTACTATTTTAATTTTATTTTTATAAGGGCTCTAACTTATATTTAAGCTTTAATTTCTCTTACTACTCTTAACATAGCTGCAGCTATAGCAGTAGAAGCCTGTAAAAAGGCTTGTTCTAGAGCTAAGTTGCCCTCTAGAACTAATTTAACACTAGATTTTTACTAACTTATAGGCTAAGTCCTCTACTAATAACTAAAAGTACTAAGTTAATATTTTTATATATTTATAATAAAAAACTATATTAGCTTTAATATAAGCTCTTATTAACTTAGAAGTAAATAGCATAGGTTACATTAATAAAAAACTAGCATATAAACTAAATCTTTAATTAACACTACTTACCTAAATAATTTACCTAACTAAATTTAATAAAAAATAACTTAAAAAAGGTTTTATTTTTTGTACTATAACTATTATAATTACCTACTAATACTATAAAGAGTAGATTAAGCTCTATATAATAAACATAGAATATTATAACCTAATTCTAGAACAACTATAGCTATATTAGCATAAGGTTACCTTTAATTACTAAGAGTAAGTTCTAAACTTTAACTTTTTTTAATGCTAAAATATATGCTTACACTTACACCTAAACAACACCTAAATAGCACTTAATATAAAAGGTCTCTAAACTTACTTTTTAATAACTTAAAAAAGAACTACCTAAGTAAGGCTAATAAGCTAGGCCTTTTACTAAAATAAGCTATATAAAATAATTTAATAACTGCTTAAACCTAAAGAAGAGAAAGCTTTTAAAAAACTTTTACTTACCTAATTTAAACATAAACTAGGACTTAAACAGTAGATAGACATCTACTATATAAGACCTGCTTTATTTATAACTCTAGCTTAATAACTAGATTATAAAATCTACATAGTTATAATTTCTAATATAAACTAAGCTTTAGCTTTTTAAAAACACACTAACTTAAAAATAATAGTCCTTTAAAACTACTATAACTTATTACATGTCTTTTTTTAAGACAAGTCTAATAAGCTTTTAATATAATGTTTATATAATTACTAAATAACTTTTAAGCCTAGTAAACAACCTAGTTATAGGCTACTATATAGAATGTTACTAAATAAATTAAAAGTGCTCTAAAAATACTTTAATAAGAACCTAAAAAAAGAGTTTATTTAAGCTAGCTTCTTACTAGTAGTGTTACTTATACTATTTATAAAAAAACCTAGAGGTAGGCTTTAATTCTATGTTAACTACTAAAGACTAAACACTATTACTATTAAAAACTAATACTTAATTTTTTTTTTATAGAAAACTCTAAGCTAACTAAGTAAAGCAAAGTATTTTATAAAGTTAAATATTATTACTGCCTTTAATAAGCTAAGAATAGTAAAAAGTAATAAGTAGCTAACAGTGTTTTAGACCTAATATAGACTATTTAAGTACCTAGTAATGCCCTTTAGCTTAGCTAACATGCCTAGTACTTTTTAATATTTTATAAACAACTTACTTTAACCCTACCTAGACGTGTTCTACACTATATATATTAATAATATTCTAATCTATAGTAATAGCCTTTTAGAGTATAAATAGCATATACGCCTAGTGCTAAAGGCTATAGAAAAAGCAGGTCTATAACTTAATATAAATAAATGCAAGTTTTACTAATTAAAGGTTATATATTTAGAATATGTAATCTTTACAGATAGCATCTAAATAGACCTTATTAAAGTTTAGACTATGCTAGATTAGTAATACTTAAAGAACATAAAAGATATTTAAGCCTTTATAAAATTTACTAACTTTTACTAATAATTTATTAATAACTTTTTGCAGCTAGTAAGCTTTATAATTACACTTACTAAAAAAAAAGTTTAATTTAACTTTAACTTAAATTACTAATAGTTCTTTAACTAGCTAAAAAAAGCCTTTACTAAAGCTTTAATACTCTGCTACTTTAACTTTAAACTACTAATACTTATAGAAGCTAATGCCTTAGACTATGTAGTAGTAGAAGTTTTTTTCTAGACTAAGCTAAACAGGACTATTAAGCCTATTATATACTTTTTAAAAAGAATAAGTCCTGTAGAAGGTAATTATAAGATTTATAATAAAAAATTACTTACTATAGTATACTACTTTAAATAATAGCAACTTAAACTAGAAGGTGCAGCGCATCTAATATAAGTCCTATTTAACTATAAGAACTTATAGTACTTTATAACTATAAAATAACTTAGCTACTAATAAGCCTATTAGTTTAAATACCTGTCTTATTTTAATTTTAAGATTACTTATTATTCTAGTTAAAATAAAAGAAAACTAGATGCCTTTATAAAGTAATCCTAAAACATCTTTGCTTAAAAAAAAGTGTAAAAGGTTTAATACTAAACTCTACTTTAACTTAAGCTATTTTTAGACCTTAACTTAAACAAAATAAATTAAATAATTAATTAAATTATTACTAATAAGTATTTAAATAATAAATTTATCTAAGAAACTTTAAACCTGCTCTAAAATAGCGCTAGTTAGTTAAAGAAAGTAACACTAGCTAACTATAAAAACTAAAATAGTAAGCTATATTACTATAACTAACTTATAATCTCTAATTCTAATAAACTAAGAATTAAACTACTCTAAATTATACATAACTTGCCTGTTAAAGGACACCTAGGCAGAGAAAAGACTTTTAACCTACTACAGAGAGAGTACTACTAGCCCTGCATGTTCTATACTGTACGCTAATACATATTATGTTGCTATACTTACTATAAAGTAAAGGCCTTTTAAAAAAGGTATAATAGCCTACTTAAACTACTTCTAATCTTTAAATAAGCTTAGAAAGACATATTAATTAATTTTATTATAAACCTACTTTTATCTAAAAAGTACATAAATATTATAGTAGTTGTTAATTACTTAACTAAGTATTAACACTTAATACTATGTTCTTTTATAACTGCCTCTAATATAGCCTAGTTATTCTACTAATACATATAGGTTTACTATAGCCTGCCTAACACAATTATATTAGACAGAGGTACACAGTTTGTCTTAGCTTTTTAGGACAAACTTTATAAATAGCTCTAAATTGTCCTCTATCTATCTACAGCTTTTTACTTAAAGACTAACAGCTAAACTAAAAATATAAACACTATAATAAAATAAGTCTTATAAGTGTACACAAACTACTAGTAAAATAACTAGGTAAAATAGTTAGCTATAGCATAGTTTAAAGCTAATAACATAACATTTAAATTAATATAAGTATCTTTGTTCTTAGTAAACTACAGATACTACCTCTAAATAAGATTTAAACTACTTATAAATACCCTCTAACTAACTTATTAATTTATATAAGTAATAGATGTAAATAGACTTATTAATAAAATCTAAAATATATTTAAATATATTTATAAAAAGCTTACATAGGCTTAAGCTTTTTAATAAGAGTACATAAACTAATTCTAAACCTCTGCCCTTGTGTATGTAGCTAGTAAGAAGGTCTAGCTAGACGCTAGAAATATCTAAATAAACTAATAATTAAAAAAACTTAATTAAAAGAACTTTAGCCTTTTTATAGTAGCCTATATAGTCTTATTGCACACTTACTAATTAATCCTACCTAACAGCATAAAGATACACCCTGTGTTCTATGTATTATTGCTGCGCTAAGTAGCTTCTAAATTTAACTATCTACTTAGACAGCTAAACCTACTACCTAAACTTATTATTATAAACAACAAACTAGAATATGTTGTAAAAGATGTTAAATAAATCTAGTTTAATAAAAAAAAATATATCTATAAATACTTTATAAAATAGACTAGATATAACAAACTGTTATAAGAACTTGCAGAAGCTCTATAAGAGAACTCTATAGTAACTTAATTCTACGCTTAATACCTATCTAAACTAAACCTATACTCTAATAAAGACAACCTAATGCTAGAACTACTAATGTAAAGGATTCCCTTCCTAATAAGGGGGGGGGGGGTACTGTTATAGTATCCTCTCTAGATCCTAGACATAACTATATTAGACGTGTACTAAAGTATTATTAGTGCACGTCTAACATAAACATAACATAATATAGACATAAACTTAAGCATAAACTGCTTTAACACTAACTAAACTTAGAATAGGCTTAATTTATACCTAAAGTGCTTAGACTTTTAAGCTAAGTATTTAATTACTAATTTCCTTCTAAACTTTTCTATTCCTTACACAACGTCTTGTACCTACTATAATACCTCACGTAGTAATTAAACTAGACCTCTGTGAAGCTCTATAACCTTACTCGTGCACAATCGTGACAGCAGCAGCGCCTGTACTAGCTCTGCTACTATTGCTACTATTATAAGCACCCTAATAGGTTCTATTAAGCAGATCTATTAACTATGTTAATTATGCACTATCTTGCTAAGCGTAAGGCTAGCCACAGTGTTAATAAGAATAGCTAAAAATCTACTTCCTGCGTTACAACGCCCACCTCCTAGCAGTCCTCCCTGCTTGCCTACATTTACTATAAAGGCCTTAAAGTATCTTAAGGTGTTACTAACCTTATTATAAAAAGCTTCTTACGCTTACGCTTTTTATAATTAGTGCTTAACTAGGTAGTAGCTAATAACTAGGCACTCTTAGTAATTAAGAGCGCTGCTTTTTAAGCTATGTTAAAGCAGGCTAACCTGCTAGCTAAGGCAGAGCTCTAGAGGTCCCACAATACGCTACAAGCTTATATAATTGCAGAGTACAAGTTGTACATGCCTGCTATTATTAATTATCTTTATAACGTGTAATTAGTAATCTACGTCTCCTTTAATAACTAGATGTTAATAGGTAGTAAATAGGTGTTAATAGGTATCTGCGTCTACTATCTTAATTATAATAGTACGCCTTATAATTACGTCTTAGGCCTGCCCTTATTAATAGGCTAACATGTAGGCGTTAATATTGCTACTGTTATTAACGCTACACTTAAGAGCTTTAAGATCTTTACTTATAACTTAGGTTACTTTATCTTTAATAACACTATAAATAATAACTTTATAATTAACGCCTTAGCTATTAAATATAACTTTAACGCTTACTATTAACACTTATGCTGCGCCTGCTATATAATTAACTTTACTACCTAGCAAATTATTTTTAGTAAAGATTATAAAGCATTTAATAACATAAAAAAGCATCTTAACAAAGAAAAGGCGTTCCTTAATAAGTAGTGTTATGCTAGCCCTCTAGGTGTTTTAATTAATGTTATTACTTTTATCTGCACTTTACAAGCTTAACAGCTTTTTAAATAGTGCTAGACAACTTATAATGCTTAATTAGAGGGCAATTGTAAGGTTAAAACACTAAAAATTATTAAGCTAGTAAAGATAAAGTAAAATAGCTATTATAATTACTTTACACATACACTTAAGCTTTATATGCCTTTTAATAATTATATTAACTATAAGCTTATAAAGTTTTGTTACTAAGGCACTTATTAACACTTTTAATTACTTAATTTTAAGAAGTGTTAGTTTATTAAAGAAGACAGCCTTACTGCTAAAGACTAAGTAATAATTATAAAGTACTAATAGATCTTTTAGCTCTTTAAAGAAGCTACTACCTGCATAGAGGGCAGGGGTGTAGCTAGCACGTTAGGCGCTATTTAGAAGGTCCTTTTTACGCTTAATTAGCTTATAACAACACTTAATAAAATGCTTATTTAGTATAATAACATTAACTTTAATAATATTAACACTTTAAAGAATTATGTCTAAGCTACTTATAATATAGCTTATAGTAAGATTATTAATTATCTACATAAGTTAAAAAACACTCTAGTGTATTACACTACTTACTATCTCTACCTACGCATAAAAGGTTACATAGATAAGGTCTAAATAGTGCTTCTTAATTATAATAAGAAGCTTTATAAAAGGCCTTATATATATAAAGGCTAGCTAGACAATTACTATGTTAGCTTTTAATACTTATAGTTAGAGTTTAAAGATGCTACCTCTTTTATTAGTACTCTAAAGCCTCTGCTAAAAAAGGCATGTACTAGGCTAGCCTTAAGCTAGTTAGAGTTTATAAGAGCTGCCCTATAAAGTAATAACACTTGTCTAGCCTATTATTATAATAAGTTTAAGCACTAGATAATTAAGCTACTTATGCCTAAAAACTTTTTATTTACACGTAACCTAATTATTTATTAGATAAGAAAAGCTAATAACTACCTTATCTTATTACACTTTACCTTTACAATTTTAAGCATCTTTGTAGTAGCTACTAATTATAAGAGGACGTTCTTAGAGCTTAGTAATCTATTAGAGATAAAATGTCTTTGCAGCAAAGCAGACCTCCTCTCTGCTCTCTAGAGTCTTTATAGCTAGAAGCGCCTTAGCTTAAAGCCTATAATAAGATTATAAAGTCTACGTAGTAAGACTATTTCTTCTAAAGAGCTAGAGACAATCTATAAGATCTACAACACTTAATTTACTACACTATACGCTGTACGCTGTTGTTGTACTATAGGAACTAGTTTTATACAGTACACTTATTAATTAAGTTAATTAAGTTAACAAGTTAAGCCTTATTTTGCCTATTAAGTTAATTAAGTTAAACAAAAGACACTAGATCTGTTAATTAAACAAGCAATTCACCCCAACTTGATTGACTTAATTGTTGACATCTCTGGTCCAGACCTTACACTAGCGCTTAATTTACCCAGTTTGGTTCTCATCACCTAATTCAATACTGAGTTCTTGGAATTGACTTCATCTACTTAGATTACTCAATTGACCTTGGCTCTATCCTCAGTCTGCCATGCGCAGTCTTTCAACCCGTATCTCCCCACTCCCTCGAGATGAACCAATCCGTAATGGAGCTCGTGAATATTGCCAGAACATAACCTTATCGAAAGCGTTCAAGAGGCAGGTCCGTCTGGGCCTTTATCTACTCCTCGAGCTCCATCGTGGTACACAACAGCCGCAACCCTAAGGACAATGCGATGGAATATCTTTCCGTCCGAAAGTATTCATAATGGCCAGAGTTCTATTCACATTCCAAGGTCATCGCTGAAGAGATCGACTTAGCCGCGATTCGAGAAAATTGTGGCATATTGGATTTGTCCGGCCACAGTGTACATCATGACAACGAATACTACGAAGAGAACTCTAGCTAGGAAGGCAGATATCTCGGTCCGAAATAAGAATTCAGCTATATCAGGAACTGCTCATAAGCACATATTCCTGCCACTAAGAGACATACCAACGACGCAAGTTCTGGCCCACTTTTAAAAGGCTCACGAAGAGAGGGTTGGGCATTTTTGGTTACGAATGCCCGAGGTCATCATTCTCAACAAACAACAGTTTTCATAAACACTTCTACATTTACGGATCTGCCCCAGCGTTGACATGAATCAGCTTTTTAAAATCAAAAGCAGAAAAATTCCTCATATTGAGACAATACGGCTCACTCACCATGGCCCCCTGAAAGACAAAGAGAGTCAAAGACTTCCACATGATGGCCCCTGCCACCCAACTCCAAAAGCCCGATTCTGATCAGCGCTGTAGTCAGATGGAACAAGCATGGCATCCACTGGGCTGCCGAATCCACCCGCAACATCCCCATTATTTAAGATCTTGTGCTCTTTACAGTGCCACTCCCAACTGATCGGCTCGATCCCTAAATAAGCAAGTGAAGGATTTTTTGATGTTCGTGTGCAAAATTCTTATACCAGATACTCCAAAGCGCACAGCAAGTCTGATCATTACATTCAGGCGTATGCAGGAACCCACGATGTCGGGATGATTCGGCTGTCTATCCGGATCTGGAAAAGTCCGAATGCCGAAGTCGGCTTGAGGATATCGGATGCCGATGGCGTGCGTTTGTTCAGTGACTCAGCAAGCCGAAGTGAAGGATCATCGATTCAATCTGGGCGAGTGGCTTCGATTTCCTTCTGTACATAAATTTGTTGGTGTAGGCCACTGTTTGAAAGTCCTCCCCACACCTGGCATGGCTTCCGCATACTCCCCAGAACAGATATCCACCTACTTGAAACACATCAAACTCCCGCAAAAGTACCATGCTGAGAACCAGGCGTCGTATCCGCATAATCTTGCATTTCTCGCAGCTCTGCACGTCCACACTATATCAACGATTCCCTACGAGAACCTCTCCATACATTATTCTTCGAATCGCAAGATCTCGCTTGATCCACAGCATCTATTCCAGAAGATTGTCGGCGGTGGGCGCGGACGTGGAGGATATTGCATGGAAAACAGCATCCTCTTTAACCATATTCTGAGGGGTCTTGGCTTCGAGGTGTATACTGCTGGTGTGAGGGTTCGCCTTCGGGAGAACGGTGTACCGAGCGGCACCTATATTGGCTGGTTCGTATCTCCTTGTTATTTGAAAGCCACTAGCCACATCTAACCTTGTCACAGGGTGCACATCGTAAATATAGTCACTCTACCTTGCGGTGCAAAATACATGCTTGATGTTGGTTTTGGTGGTGATGGTGCAATAAACCCTGTCCCTCTCATCCCCGGACACGTGGTACCCAATATTGGTCAGCAAGACGTCCGCCTCATTCGCGACCACATCCCACAACAAGTGGATAAATCTGAGAAGACAAAACTCTGGATCTATCAGTATCGGAATGGGAACAACAAAGCATGGAACTCCTTCTATGCGTTTCCGGAGGTTGAATTCCTGGAGGAGGACTTCAAGGTCATGAACTGGTATACCGGTAACTCGCCAATGTCTTTTCAGACGTATACCATCTTGATTGTGAAGTTCTTGCGCCGGCTAAAGGACGATTCTGGAGAGGAAGAGGTATATGGGAAGCGGATGCTGGTCAATGGGACTGTAAAAGAGAATCTTGGGGGAAGCACTAAGGTTGTAGAGGAGTGCCAGACGGAGAATGAAAGGGTGCAGGCATTGAGGAAGTGGTTCGGGATCACGTTGACAGAGGAAGAGAAGCGAAGCATTGTTGGACATTGCACGGAGCTTAAGGTCCCGATCCTTAATGGAATGCCTAAAGGCAATGGTGGGACTTGATAGAGGGTATTCTGGAAAGATGCATCACAATCTCGCAACAAAGCCAGTGCAACCCTGGCGCGGTTCGCCTGACACCACGTCGCACTGCGAAGACGATAAATTCGCGCCGAGACGTTTATTCCTCCAACTACTCGTTTCCATCTACACTTTCCACCTCTTCTCCTCCATGCGTTTTCATCCACGCATTCATCAACCCTCATCTCACTCCGTGGGAAAGTGAAAGAGAGAACTGTGCCACTACTATAGCGATTCCAATCGCCGCAAGAAGGCTCGGAAGTCAACAAACGCTGTTTTGATGATAATTTCAGGATCCACGCGTCGCCTTCAGTTTATTGAAACACGCTCACTGTGGTCCATTCGCCTAAATCCAATTCTCTCTCAAATAGCAGATTTCGGCCTTTCATGACGGGCTCCCCTGCTCAGCGATATCGGAACTACTAGGCTCTAACGATGTGATCCGCTAGAACTTAGAGGGCGGAGCGCAAGGGCCTTGCTGCGTTTCTTTGAGCTCTTGAGCTGTGCGTGTGGTGCTACTGCATAGATTCTGATTGCCATAACTCGATGTAAGCATATAGACGCGGTGCCCCGTCGCATTTCTGATTGGTTTCAATATTAAACACATTACAGATCGCAGGAACTCAAAAAAAAAAAAGTGATCCTACTGCCGTCCACCATACCCTGGTTTGCTCCAGGGGTTGTTCGAAAATGTTCGTCTCAGGAGGATCTATCCGATAAACTGTCGTTGCTAGAGGAGATCTCGGAAGAAATTTCATGGTCTTCTTTTGATACACGTTCTGGGAAGACGGTCTCACACTCTTGTGGTGATAACGCCGGTCCTTTTTGTGAGAAATTATGAGATTGGGCCGATATTGAGTTTATCTATTCAGAATGAATGCTAATGATATGTTTCATTATAATGGGGACCTGACTTTGCTCCTGGGGTGTACGTATTAACTCGTTTTACTTCGAAATTTCCCTTACTTATCGTATGTTCTTCATGGCCCTTTTTCAATTGATTCCTAGGCTAATTTCGGTATGTTTGGGCTGTCTTCTGTAGAGGCCTGGTCGGACGCTGGGGCAAAGGATGTTGTGGTGGAAGGTCTTGAGGAGGGGGCTCTGTGGTGTCCCAATCGTATCGACGACCTGCAATGACTGCCACAATAAGAAACTATAGATTAGCCGTTTGCCAGATAGTATATAACTAGTAGTGAGATAAACCTCTGTGATTGATAAATAGAGTTCAGTATCTGAGTAGAAGCTCTTGAGTAGCCATCGACGTGACGGAGACGCTGTTTACCTCTGCATTTCTAGAAACTTAACAAGGCGAATTCGAACAACGGCGTCCTGGCGGTGGTGGAGATAGAGAGCTAGTTAAATTGGATTTCAGTTCTGCGCTAAGGGGTCGGACGCGTCTGACGCGTCTGAGAACTTAGCCTGACCTCTCCAAAGAGGCCTAAATTTCTTACGCGCCGCGCATGTAGAACTTTCACCACCAGGGACTTCTTCATACTTTCATGCCGTCAGTAATCAAGCACTAACTTTAATTAGAACTATAGAGAGCATTTAGAGCTACCACATGAGCACTACGTGGTCTAGTCCTCTGCTATGGATCCCCGAATCACTTCGCTTTGACGTCTAGCTACCTAGCATATATGGATATCAGTACGCCCAGATTTTCTTTTCATCGACGGAGTGCCCCATTTTAAACTTACTAAGGCAGGGCGGGAGCGGTTCCCTGTGGCGTGATTGGTAGCCAGCAATATCGCAAACCTTCAGTTGGAGTGAAAGCACCTGTCACGTGCGTTTTTGGCAATGTCTCTCCCTGCGTTGCCCCTCCAACCTCCCCTCCTTTCACCTTCTCTACCTCGCTGTACTGATCTGAGTCTTCTCGTTAATTCGACCTGTCAGTTCTCTTTACCTGTTATAACGTGGCGTCGTCGCGTAACGTTAAACATCTACACCAGCAGTCAATCTGACCGGTTCGCTTCTATTTCTTTTCATTTGGGAGCAAGTTTGCTGACTTCGGGAAGCTGCTACACGTTGCATGGACCGCGCCATCCCTCCATTTGAGTCTCAATCACTAGTTGTTCCTGCATCTCATCGCAACCTCGCCCAAGTGCCAGGAATCTTGCGATCGCTCTTCAGCGCATCCAACAATCATGCCGCCCAATGGTCTCTACACCATTCCGCGTCACCATGGGTACGGGTATAACGTATCGCAGTCGCGCCAGACGTTCAGCACTACGGATTTCGACGACGACGGTAATGACAAGGATGACTTTTCTACAGTAACCAATTCAACGAAGAAACATTCGCGTAGGAAAGATCGAAATTTTTGGAAAGAGCGAAGTGAAAAGAAGAAGCATAAAAGCGAGAAGAAATACCGCAAGCGAGAAATCGCAGTCTCAGCCACTGGGGACAAGTCTGAAAAGGGACGCGAACTAATCGGAACTAGTTTGGTCGACCAGGCTTCTCCGTCTGTCGCAGCTACTCCTACGAAGAGCGATAAGAAGACGGACAACATTAGTAATAACCTACAAGTCTCGATAAAGAAGCGAAAGCGGGCTTCAACAGTTGCCCCTGAGACAAAGTCACATGTAAAGGGTGGGAGCACAGGAGGATTCTTGGTTGGGGCTCACATGGTTGAGGATATGAAGAAGAGCATGAACGAATTTGGCGGTGGATTGCTCTCTGTGTCTCAGCCGGACTCGTCCGATGCACCTACAAATCGGCTAATTATGATGGAAGCCCTTAGAAACCACAGTTACATGCCTGAAGAGACAAGAGCAAGCCCCAGCGTTGGTACCGGTAAGGTTGAGGTAGGTTTCTAGGTCCGAGCTGCTCTTACGTCAGAACATGAGCTAACGATTGTGGTTGTAAAGGTAGGAGGGTTAAGAGGAAAGAAACCTAAGAGGAAGAGCGAAGAACTTACCAAAGGCAAGACGACTGGTGTTACACTAAACGCCAACGGTATTGGAGGCTCCCCCAATCTCAAGATTCCTCGCAAGTCGCCGATTCCCCTTCTTTCCTCATCACATATTTCCTCATTCAATATCGTAGCAAAGGCCGAGAAAAAGCGCAATACTGCCCATGACGTATCGGATGTATTGGTGCCTGAGACACCCCCGACCTCAATTGGCAAAGGGGTGCTTCCAAATTTTCGAAAGACTCCCGTACCATTCCCGTCACTTCTTCAAACTGGGAATTCCGCCCCAAAGAAGATCGAAGACCCACGGCTGAAGGATAAACATCACTCATTTACTCTTGAGGAGAACACCAATCTATCATCACATACCTCTGTTAAGACGCCGAAGCCTCATAAAGTACGTCGAAAGTCTGAGGCGCCATTTCCTTTCACCCCAACGACGCTTGACAGAATGATCAAACCTCTCTCTGGGAGTGAGCCGAGACCGAGACTGCACTCGAAACAATCCTCCCGAGCATCTTCGGCCATAGCTTCGCTTCCATCTTCGTCCGAGTCGTCTGTCGACCTCCCGAATGGATATGAGCGCGTTGGTAAGCCTTATGCTCGATCTGGAGCCGGAATCGATGCATTCGTGAAACCTGAGAAGAGGAGAAGAAAAGCCCGCGAGTCCCATGAAGAGGCGCCATTCAACGTCTTCGCACAGAAGTTTGCAGAGGTGCAAATTGCTGTGAACTTTTCTGAAGAGCAAGAATATCTCCACGATTATATGGCCTGGCACCAAGCTAACATCGCCGACGTGCCTCTTCCGTGCCTAGGTACTGCCAGCGGTTGCACGCCGAAGAAAGAGGAAATCGTCCGTATTGGAAAAGAGAAGAATCTCAACGTATTGGCTCTCCTTGAGAAGGACCATGAAGAAAATTCCTTAGGCGAAGCAACCAAACGCGTCAGACAGGCTGAAGGCTTCTTGAAAACAACTATCCTTGCCAAGGTGCCAGTGCCTGTTGGTAGGATCGAGGGGGTCTGGGCTTTGTATTGCCCCCAATATGCAGAGCACCACTTTGATCGTTACGGCTATGGCATGCGCACCTTTCACATCTCTACTATCGCTGGCTTCAAGAACCAGAATGTGTTCACCGCGCGTCTTAGCATTCCTCCACGACCGACGTCGTTTTCCTTACTCAGCTTTTCGCCGCCGCCGCATGCGTCGTTCCGCACGATGACCATTCGGACAGCTGCAGAGGAATACAAGATGGAGCTTACATTCCTAGGCAATGGTTACTTGCAGCTAAGAGTTGACTTAAACTTGCTGCTGCGCGGGAAGCCAACGGAAATGGTAGGTGGGAAGAAAGTGTGGATGGAGTTTATGGGAGTGCATGAGAAGGCGCTACAGTGGGCTGAGAAAAGGGATGAGCTTGAGGAGGCAGGCAGGAAGTATTTCGCCAAGTATGGAGGTGTGGATGATGATTGAAGAATCGGAGTGGGGGCCGGGTTGTCTGAAAGGCAACTCGCATAAGGATTTATTGTTGGTCGCTTGGCGTATGCTCTGGACGCTATAGTTGGCACGTACTCATCCTGCAATGTGGGAAATCAGATCTCATTCCTTTTCACGCCCAAGCACCTTTTGGCTGAACCTGGCCTGTTATCCAACCATAGGAACGCATGTAATCCAAAACCGTCACCTTACAGCCCCTGTAGGATATTAAAAACGGCTAGGTAAGCATTGTACGTTGAGGCAATGTTCTCAATTCAGACGTCTCATACATGTCTCAGAATACGGATGCGCATTCAGGGGCATAGCATGCCGGATTTGGAAAATCGCTCCATTCCTTGATGTTTTTGCTACGAACTGATACGCCCACGAACTTATTGAAGATATTCCTCCTGCAGGTGCGATGTAGGGCTCGAATCATTACAAATTCCCCGAGCAGCCGTGCAGGGTGGTACCCTAGTTGGTGTGGTCATCTTTCAAGTTTCTGCGCTTAGCCCCAAATTTGAAGTTCTCATTATATGGCTCACTCTTTACTTTTTCAGTTGCTTGATCCAAGCCACATTCTGAAGCGCTTCGCAAGATTTCCGTATGGAGCTTTGGTTGTCACAGCTTTGGCCCCCAAAGGATCCACCACGTTCGTGGGGGCTAAATTCGCAACCTTCACCGACCGTGTCTGGGCAAACGACGCATGTGGTTATTAAAGACTGATTCCAGGATGTTTTTACAACCTGCATTGCCCTTGTTTTCTCTATAACTCTACGTACAGTTTTGGTGAGAGAGATTCATTTATCTGTAGATTGGTTTAGGTACCGTTTCAGAATACTGAGATACTATCGTTAGGTCAAGCAAGATTCAAGAGCGCTCTGTCTCCTAGCGCCCGTTAATCTTTTTAAACGAACACCCCACCCGTTCACACAACGATAACAACGCCCACCAACAACCTTCACACTTCTCCAACCCACTCCACCATGGCCCTCCGCTTTATCCTCACCACCCTCCCCACCCTGGCTATCGCCGGCCGCATTGAATCCGGCTTCTGCCCCGCCGACGTAAACTCACTCATCCACTCCCCCTTCAAACCATACTTCAGATGGTGGACCAAAAGTGACGTCCAAGCGTGCTGGGGTGCCGCCGACTGTCTTTTCGAAGCCGCCGGCGAATCCCGAAAGCAGCAGTTCGCCGCTACCGCACTCATCATGGGGCTAGTCCCGCTCACATTAAAGGACATAGCGTGGCCGGAGCGCAGGATAATATACGTGACAGACACCTTGAATCCGATTGTTGAGATCTTAGTTCTCGCGTTGGGACTTGTGCCCGTGGAGACAGGAACGAGCGAAGAGACAAAGAAAAGAATTGGCGGGATTAACACGATGGCGGAGGCGGCGTGGGATCAGACCCGGTTTGTGACCGGGCTTTGGGTGGCCCTTTCGGCAGTCGTGATGTTGGCTTCATATGCTGGGCTCGCAGTTATGGAAATATATTCAAAGCGCAGCGCACTAGGTTGTCCGTACCCGGTATTTGTGGCGACGTGGTATGTGGTCGCGCTTGTTCCAGCGGCGATTCATATGGTGTTTGCGGGACTAAGGAGGAGGAAAATTAAGAGTGAAAAGTCTGAGAGGATTCAAGCCCAAGGCGCGGATGCGGGTGCCCGTGTGAAGACGAATGGGTATGGGCTGCAGATTCGTGAATGCGATGAAAGAGATCCAGAGCGGAAAAGGAGTATTATTTCGGCGGTGCAGGGTGCAGATGAGGCATGGCCGGTGCAGTTGGCTTGGGGAATATATTATATTGCAGGGACATTGGTGTTTACATCTATCATGGCAGTAACGGTGATTGAGTTGGTTGTGTGGGTGGGATTGGGGCTCGCCGTCACTGGGAGCAGTAAGCTGTTGGCGTTCTTTTTGTGCTTAGTATTTGAGAGGAGGGGAGTTGAGGTAGAGCCTGGGAGGAGGGGCGAGAGGGAGGCTTAGATGATGGTTTGACTCTCATATTCAGCTCGACCTCACTCGCTCTTCGCGAGCACGCGAATCTGCTTAGATGGACGCGGAATGCATGGGCGAGAGCTGCGATTTCATGATTCTATGAGTTATTTCGGCTTCCCGAATCGGAAGGCCTTCGTTCCGAAGAAATTCTCCGTCGTGCCATGGGACGTGGCTCGCCGAGATAGCGTTATCAGACACGGACCTCGTGCCGCGTTTCACTATTGGGACACGTGCGCGGAAACGGATTCCCGCACGGACGCCGCTTTTCATGAGGCTCCGCCCTTCATCCAGGTACAGTTTTGACTGGTAGATTGTTAGTTAGACCATTTTTAGTCTTTTTGGAGAGTTAATGCGCAAAACCGAGCAACTACCCCGCTCTCATGCTGTTTTAACTTCCTTCCCCACGACTATCTCCATCGACCGGACCTTCCTCCTCCACACTCGATTAATTTGACAAGCACACAAAAGATGGATCTAGGACACATAGACTCGGAGTTTCAGAGAGCGGCATGGTAACTTCAACGCTTTCATGTTAAGTTTGACGCCGGAGGATCCGAGTTGTAAGGCCAATGGGTCCTTGACAGCGACATCCCCACTAGAATCAAATAGAGAGATCTACCAGCTGAGGGCGTTCAAGACTGAATTGGAGGAGCTTCGAGCAGAGATTGAACGCGGGGGCGTCGTGCTAACAGGTCGAAGGCGAGAAGGTCGGCTTGAAACTAGCCCCTGAGAATAGAGCTGTCTTATCGCAACATCTGACCGACTAGCTGAATATCATTGTCTTGGGACTAATGTCAATTCCTTAAAGGGACGAAGTATTCCTGGCAACGAAAGACTTTGGAAGGCAAAAGCCCAGTTACCTGAGCTCTTTGTTCGCCACCCTGTCATCGTCCATCACAGGGCTTCCAACGAGGCGTAGTACTGTACGATTGGGCGATTTTAAGGCCTGTACGGGTGAGATTTTGTGTACGTTTGTACAACAGGGAGGAGGAGAGGTAGGTGTACGTATTATAACTGTTACAGCTCACGTAATCTGTACAAGTAGTACAATTTAATTAAAGTACACTGTACTCTAGTTAAAACAGCTAAGACTATAAGTTTCTAAAGATGTAAAATTAAGGTCTAATTAACTATAAAATAACTAGTTCTCCCTAGTAACAAGAGCAGATAGGACTAGATAAGGCCTATAAGGCAGTAAAAGGCGTAGATAGATAACTCTATAATAGAAAATAGTCTGTAATAGGCATTCTTAAGACAACAGACTGCAGATAGATAGGTTAAACCCCTTAAAAAGAGATTTAAGCGCCTATAGGCCTCTTACTTGCTAGAGCCCTCCTACCCCTCTAGAACCCCTATATAAACTTCCTAAAAGGGTAATACAATCTGTACTATGTACTGTACCTAGGGCATTATTAATTGTACAGTATGGCTCACAAACTTAGTACATTTGTACTAAACACGTGACCGTTACGGTTCACTTTGTACGGACCGTAGTACGGCCCGTTGGAAGCCCTGGTCCATCAGCTCGCTGGCCGGATTCAGGAACTCGTGGACTCACAATGGAATCTCTATGGCTTCTGCAACTGTCTTCCCAGTTGGCTTTCCAGGAATCCCCTATAATCAAGGATATCGGAACACCGGCTGCCGTTTGGGCGGACATCTCTTTTTACCATGGCCTGGACCTTTTCTAAGCCCTTTATTACACCATTATATCCGTTCCCATGTCCCTTGCGGCCCTTCAAGGTCACCGAGATTCCTTGTTTATTTCACTTCCTTCGGAAATAGCTGCATAAAACGAGGGGTTCAAGTGGGTGTGCTTTAATAAGCGATACAGGAGGTACTACATTAGCCGTTTGCCTCAAATCTCGACATTATTTCAAACTACCGTACAGGGGTCTACAAAGCCTCAACGGCTACTTCTGTCATTACCGTTACTGCATCATCCCAGCCAACGCACGCTGGAAGCCAAGCTGGCCCTCGGCACTCATGAGCTTCCTCCAGTGATGATCTCCTCCGTGGAATCCCTCTCGTCGCAGCCTCTTCCTTTCCTTTTCCTGATAGCTCCATACTGCACACGACTGCGGGAGCCGGAAAACGAACATAAGGACACCGTATACGGCGCCTGCCGCAGCTGCCGCATTATTGGGGCATACGTAAAACCCTTGACCATGTCAATTACTGGTTACAGATGGAAAATTCGAATCGGCATACCATGGTTCAAAGAAACTCTCGCGAAGGTGTATCCAGCGAGTGTGTCGAATGCGGCTCCGAGCGGTAGAGAGGAAAAGTTGGCCGCTTTAGCGAATTAACTGAAGTAAGTGATACCGTCATCGAAAGAGGACTTACCTCCAGCCTGTGCGATTCCGCTGCCGAGAAGGAGAGGGGCGCCAGCAGCTATGGCTCCGACAAGCATGGCATTCGGCGCTTTAACATTGTCAATAATACGTCTCTACTCTCAACAAAGACACCTACTGGACCCAAGAACCTTATCACCCATCAGCAGAGTAACGATAAACGCATTCCCGAAAGTTGTGATTGCAAAGGCTAGGCCCAGGACAACAACACTCGACCCAGTCAAAGCCACCAGAAGACTGTAGTTTAGAATTCCAGAGGACATAACGCCACCAAGAGCACCTAATTGAACTATTCGGGTGGTCACTAGACTTCCTGCAACGTGCGCGCCTGTTGCCGCCGCTGCTGCCCCTGCTGCTGCACAGAACGCAAAATCGAACGCGGCTTCGATCATGCGCATTAGGGCTGCTGGATCTTTAGCATCTTGGACTCGGCGTCACTTGCGCCAGATTTACTTACGTATTCCAAAGAATACCGCTAATTGGAACTTGAACTCCCAACCTGAACCACGTTAACAAACTGGTTGCTTAAAAGTTTTCCAGATTTCTTACCGTCATCATCCTGATTTCCGTCCTTAAAAAAAGCCGAAACAAACTCAATCAAAGGCCCCAACAACATCATCATTGCCAAAATCTGCCCAAATGACCAGTCACTCCCATCAGATGTCGTATTGTTTCTCTTAATCATGAGTTCGAGCATAGCAATTAAATAGCACCTCCCAGCAACGTCACTCATCACACGGATCCCAGCAAACTCTTCCTCATCCGAACAATATCGCTCTTTTCTCGCCGACCAGACCAGATACGAAACCGGCAATCCAACGAGCATCAAGGCAAAGTTTGCGAGAAAGAGCGCCCGGAACGTCGGGTTAATCGCCGAGACATTCACGCCAAACATCACATACATAACCCCATCATTGCACTGAGGCTTCGGACCAAAACTCTTTGCGCGTGCAAACACGGAGATCATGAAAATAAGTAATCCTAATGTTCCACCCAAATACACGACTTCGAAAATTGCTTGCGTGATTTGCTTTTGACGCACATCCCTCTTCGGTCGGATAGAAACGCCAGCCAAACCGACCAAATGGAAAATGCAGAGTGCATGGAACAAATCAAGGGTTTTCTCCCCAGAGTAGACGAAAGTGGTGAGTAAGACTGCGAGGCCAGTTAGGCCCATGGAGGTTTCAATTGAGCGGAGGAGGGCGTCGGACGCGGAGAATAGGGACAGGATGGGGCCGGCGAGGGAGAGGATGTAGAGAGATATGCGGACCTGTGCGTAATATTAAGTTAGGTGCGTTTAGGGGTAGAGGATGGAGGAGGAAGTACACCGATGCCGATGATGTCCGGGTTGATTTGGATGTCGCATTGATTTGACATTTTCGTTAATCTTTGTGAGATGACCACTATGGCTGATGTGTTTAGATCAGACGAGAAATTATAACACCCATATATGTCTTACTAGATCTAGCTTCATGGGCTATTCTACGGATCCAGATCTACGCCGTGAGTCTTCTGGAGCATAAGGTGGAAGCATCTCACCACCGCTTCATGATCCCACCTCGCATCTCAGCTCCTGTAGCTAACATACGACGGACTGTTTGTGGCTGAGGCCAAGAGTAGCTAGCGGAGTTTTAAAGCCACGCGACCAGGGGATGCGACTCGTGAACCTCACCTGGGCTCCCGTGGACACCTCAACAGACTTCGCCTACGTTGAAAAAGCAAGCAAGAAAAGATAATGTGATCAAATTTAACCCATACCATACCAGCTCTAAGATCGATATTCAGTGAAGTTGCCAAGAAAAGTCCTCGCGGAGTGGCAACGTAATTCCGGCCAAATCTGAATCATGTCAAATTTCCCACTTAACTATAAAGTCGCGCAAAAAAATAATCCTTGCTCTAGTTCTATGCCACCTTTTTGACTCCGAAAACCCTTCATTTACGCCAATTTTTACCAGCCCCTCCATCTAGTGCTGACCCAAGACGTTTCGACAACACTCGCAATGTATTTGATGGGAACTTCGGATACCTATTGATTCTGTCCGTAGCCTTTGGATATGAATGTTACCGCATATTGTCTCCCCTGTCGGATATCTTCAAGATTCACCTACATAACCGCCGAAGGCTTTCGATCTATTTTGTCAATAAGGAGCTCGGTTTCTTGTTTGCCAGCCTCCTAAGTAACCGACCCGGAACATGGCTGTTGTAATTGGGATGTAATCATTCAAGCTCTCTAGGATATAGCGAGTACGGTGGGGTTTGTGAGACCCTCGATCTAACACATTGCGATGCTCAGGAAATGCTTCCCCTATGCGAAGCCTCCTGAGAGACATGGTGTGATGATCGAGAATTATAGAGATGATTTTTCTCAGTCCCTTTGTTTGCAGTTACGGAGCTCTCAAACCTCCAGTCACCTGACACTACTTTCACCTGCTGCAGCCTAAGCTAGTGGCAGCCTTAGGTCGCCTGACAGGTTCACCTAGTACTATATAAACCCGTAGCTACCCTCCTTTAGCAATGAATCCAGTTCCTCATGCCTCTGGTGCTCCTCCTAGCTTCACACCTTCACTCTAGAACCTCTCTTGACTACTCGTAGGCAATGCGTTGTAGAGGTCGGAGAAGCTCTTGACTTTCTTACGGAATTGTAGTAAATGTACCGTCGTGGATATTGGAGGCCATGGCGTTGTGAGCGCTCTCATCGCAGCTATGTTCTCCGTATGCAAATTTCTTGGATGTCTTAATGTGCTGAGCGAAAGCTTGAATGTAGCTTTCTTGTGATGTTCTAAAGCACGCGCATGGCTTAAGGAGCCAATTTAATTAATAAACGAACGGAAAGCTCAGCTGTATATGATCGTGATAATATATGGCGATTAGAGCCCCAAAGTTCTAATCGGAAATGCTAAACTAGGGTTGAGACAGGGATAGTTTCTAGGTGTGAATCTATACTCAGTGTCGAAAACAATGCAACTCTCATATTACGAGATATTTCATGAAGACAAGCAGATGATACGGTTAGGAGAACTCCGTAACTGTGAATATACCTCCTTCTGGAACAATTTCTTGTGGCACACTTTAGAAGGCTAGATTGTTCTTGATGTGTCATTCCATTCAGGTAGTTTCCCAAGTTGGACAAGTCACTAGGGCACAGGATAATCGGGGTACTGCTCAGGTGTTGGCCTCGATTTGGCTGGCCCACCAACCGGGTGAAGGGCAAGGGAGCAAAGAGATGAAAGGGCTCCATGTAACTCTTGGCGAACGGAAGATTGCTTGGTGTTTGTAGACTTGTTACTTAATATCCGAGTTTAGAGCCTGGTGCTGTGCGGCTCTGGACTAACGCGAAAATTATATGGGTATTTGGGCTTTTCTGTATGAGTGCCGTGCAGCAGTCTGTATTTTCATTCAGAGTCGAGAAACAGGAGTGCGCGAGCGCTTAGCTTGTGTGAAAAGGGAGATCTTATATCTTTTTGCAGGGCTCCACTACCACAAATGATCCAGAGCACTGCGAAGGCGACCGGCTACCTACGGAGAGTGCAAAAATATACCACATGATGCAGTCTGGGGACCACTAGAGGGCATGAATGACGGTTGTGGAACTATATATAGAACTAGAAGCTCCTAGAAGAATACACATAATAAGTTGGATAATAAGTTAGCTCCGCGTAAGAAATCCCTATCAGGAACTGGAGGCTCCCGGCAAACTGTTGCAGGTGGCAGAAGGTCAACCTTCTTCCATGCACAGAAGAAGAGTATTAAGCGGATAGAAATGCACGCGCAACACACACATTGGGGACGAAGGGGAAAGTCTTACCATAAAGCACGAAAGGGTTCGAGAAAAGGCACTGAATTTCTGATTTATGAGGATACCTACCCATAAATCCGTGCATAACGGCACACGAGTTCCATGAGCTAAAGATGATTTTACCTTCGGATTACGTGTGGCAACATTGGCCTACGTACCACGATCATCACCGTTCTGCTACCTCTACCACGATCCCCGAGCGGAGGATAATTTCCCGGCCTGGCGTAATAATGAGTCGCGCTCGGAGGTGACCTGTTGGAGACTCGTGGTCAGAGAATTGTTCTCATTGATGAGGCGAACAATCTTAGCGTTGGCTGCAGCGAGATCCTCACGAAGACTGTCCAGCTTGGTCTCAGGAATAAGTTTGACTGGAATCTTGATCTGATTTGATTCAACCCTAGGCTTAGGATCCATAACCTGCAGCTCAACGTGCTCCGTCTCATTCTCGGCCATCTGACATGAGATGTCATTTGGGGTCAGCCCTCCCTTAAGCATCACCGCAACAGTGATCTTGAGCTCATCCAGACATTTCATCATCTTCTCTGGTATGCCTTTGCAAGAATTGAGACCTTCTAGCTGCTGGCGAAGTGCAGGCTCAAGCTTAGCTAGTTCAATGTATTCGGTTTCGAGGTTTTCCGATGTCTCAGCCTTGCGGAAGATCGATCGCATCAAGCCAAACGTAGTCCTACACCTTTTGTATTCCGGCCTGCCAGGCCTCTCCGGTGGTAGAATGGTGTACATATCATCGAGAATAGCTCGGATGCCAGAATGGCCGGGGCGGTGGAACGACCCAGCCGTCATAGAGAATTGATTGGTTGGTGCTTGCACAGATTGATTTTCCGAGTTGGGCGGGGTTGTATGCGGGCAGTAGGTAACCGGAAGGCTTGTCATTTTATGTAGAGGGTCCATATGAACACAATAGATAATTGTTGCGCTGTCCGACAATTATGGCTGCGCTTTATTCACTGGATGAAGGGAGTTGCCGAAACTGAGGCGTTATACTTGAGTTGTTTGCGAGTGGGCGTAATAGAAACTCCTAGAGATGGGTAGGGATTGTAGTTTGCAAGATACTGGGACAGGAGCGGCGGGTGTTTTCTATACTGCTTGGCGGTTCTGGAAGTGGCTTCCTGTGAACTTCAGATGGTGACTTCCCAGAAGGTGGAAATTTGCTGCCCTAGTTAATTGGAAGGAGCTGTTTAGACTATAAATGAATTTCATTGTAGTTCTAAAAGGTAAGTGTGCGCTATCAATTGGAGCCCGGTTAGTCTATCCATGTATCATTTGCGCTATATGGGAATAATTATGTTTTCTTAGTCCTCAATCATCCGGCACGTTTCCTACCCAAGTTCTTAAGCTCTATCAACCACTAGAGGCTCACATATCACTTAGTCCAAACTTAATAGAACCGTATTATGTAGTGGGCTCTCAAAGATTTCGAGAGAATCAGACCAGAATCATTGTAGTCTATTAGCTCGGGTATGCCTATTCCAGACGGTAGTATCATGGCAAGAACATGAGTGAAAACGGCCAGAGGTTCTTGTTTTCTTCCTTGGCGGTCGTTCTCTCCTAAATATGCTCTACCTGTGGCACCTTGCCTCCTGTTTCGCACGAATGCAGGTGAAAGGGCCTAGCACCATAGCTGAGTGTAGTCAAATCGCGATTCTCGTGACTCGCCGTTCCAAATTGCATCGAAGATTCTTCACCTTGAACGCAAAAATTAATTTTTTTTCAAATAAATTAGACTAAATACTACTGTACACTTGGGCGCATCGGCTAATGCATCACAGAAAACAGCTCGGTAAGTTCATGATAGCATCGAATACCATGCCTGACCCTCCCTACCAACACCCCATCAACGGCATTCGTTAAAACGTATAATCGAGAAGCGGGTGTGGCGCTGCAAAGCTTACGCCAGCAGCCAATACGAGCTATTCAACCAATCCAATCCGAGATGCCATTAAATGTCACTTGCAAGACCCTGCCACGTTTCATGACTCCGGGGTTCCAAGAGGGCGATGACCGAGACGGCTACACTATGATATATCATGCTGCCATTACAAGTTGGAAAGAGGAGACTGCGCCTTTAATCTCCTAGGCTTGGACCTCCCCGAGCAAGCACATGCGCCACTTCAGTCCGCTCAAGCCGCTCAGTTATTATTGCCAAGGCTGTTAGACAATACGGGGTGTAAATACAGGTATCTTCAAGATTATTCTCCTATTTCAGCAGTACTGTTTTACTCAGTATTATCATCGTAGTCACAATCACACATTTACCTCTCTTTCGCACCATCTGCACCAAGTCCCCGTTAATTACTCTACTAAAACTACTATACTTTCCAAGCTCTCCGCCTTCGCTCTTCTGGCGGCTTCCGCCATTTCCGTTCCAACGTCCATCACCGAGGAACAAAAACCTATTACTGGACCGTCACAGACTTCACAAGCACTTGTACAGCGGCAACCTGTTACTAAGGCTGCAGCGTAATGGGCGAAACCGGACCGCCTAGCCGACCATCATTCGATGCTTATGGATGCACTGGGGATCGTTTGCAAAGAGAGTTCAAGCACTGTGCGACGATTGGACCAGATGTCCCTGCCAATGCGGAGACCAATGAATTGAGCCTAGGGAGGGATGTCGGGGTGAATGTTGCCGTGAAGCTATCCCACCACCAGTGAGCTTAAAATTGTCCCGAGTATGGTGAGCTAACGCAAATACTTCGTAGGAGCGGCGTGTAGTACATCTATACTGGTAACCGAACTGTCGGCAACGCAAGTGGTGGTGGGCTAGTCCGACTCATCATCACCCCGCATATTGTTACAATTGTGCCTGACAGAGCATGAGGGTAGGGAATAGAATGAAATGGCCGACTAGGAATGTCTATTCTCATCTCATATTGATATATAGGGTTTTATAAAGTTGAGCTGCGTGGAGATTTGGATTAGAGATTGTTGAACAATCCGTAGTGTGGCTTCTATTTCACTTCACAACAAGCACCATCTCCACAGCAGAGTCTCCCATGATAATACCAACATTTTCTCAACTCCCTGGTAGTTAGCACTTTCTGGAACGAACCAACCAGCACGTGATTTAAACTATCATCACCTGTGCTATCATTCGCATTTCGGATGGTGTGCTCCCAGCCTTACCACTTCCTGCCACCGCTGAAATCAAGGATGGAGTATACTGAATCATAATTGTGATCCAATCCTCAGACAAGTGAGAGTCCTTGTGCGGCGTGCAGCTGCATGAAGGTGACGATGGCCGGAGAGGGACTAGCGCGACTACGCGAATGCCCAAGCCACCCCCTGAGATTTTCCTTCACCCTTCATCACACTAGGGGACTGCACCACCCCAAAACGAAATATTTACGAGAGGCAGAGATAGTTTTTGAATACAAAGAAGAGACGAAGGCGCTGCAGCCTTACACTTCCTAGGCAGTCGCATGGGTGCACGGAAGATGGTGAAACAGTTGCCTAGAAACATTAACATCCTCCCAAGCAGATCGCGGGCTGTTCCTATTTTGTCTTCTCCATGAGTTCAAATAAGAGATCCTTTCCTCCCAACTTCAAGATTGTTACAACGCATACAAAAGCCCAGAACTTCGCGATCTGACGAATTTTATCCCACAAGGCCACAGACGCTACAAGCGATGGCTTCTAGTATCACTTCAAAGCCTCCTAGTTGTGCAGACAACCGTATACAGGTAGTGCAGCCCCTGCCTTCAATGAAACTGTCCTAATCATGAAATAGCTTCCTGGCTTTGGTCGTCCTTTCAACCACTGGGGTTTCTTCCCAGTCGACGAATTGTTTCCAACGGCTGTCGAGACTTGGAACCACGATGTGATCACCATCCGTGAACGATGTATGCTTCACTTTATCAATCAAATTACAGACAAGCCGGAATGGAATCGCAAAGTGCATGACGAAGAAATCGTGGCCAAATGGAAGAAAGAAGCGATGGAACTAGACTGGGACGCCAAGGTGGTTAGGTATGGGGACATGAGCGAGCAAATGTTGGAATATGTAGGTCCTTAGGAGTGTTCAGTGGTCTGAGAATTTTTGCTAAGACGTTGGCAAGTGCATTAAGGAACTTCGCGATAAAGCCACGCTATACGAGAAAACGGGGATCATTCCAGTACTAGACGTAAACACTTGTGTTATCAAAACAGACTCAACCATACCGGCTCCCATTAAGGAAGCTCTGAAAAAAGCCGTTGCACGCCTCGAGAATGTTCCTGCAACGCAGAAAGACTGGCATCCAGGCTCTGATGATAAAGTCCTGGACCTCGTTCATCCATCTCTCTTCCCGCTTGTATATGGTCGTTCACGTGTACTTCCGACCTCTACCACAACTCTCGAGGACTGTCTTCAGAACATTGGGAAAGGTGAGATTGTGGCTAAACCTCAAAATACCGATGACGCTTTAGAAAATCTTACATGGGGAATCTTTTCCATACCTCGAAAAATTGAACTCTGGTCAACACGCTACCAATGGCTTCCATGCAACATCTCATTTCGCGATGGGAATGCTAGGATTGACTCATACATAAACAATCTTCATCCGGTCGACCACAGAGATTTGTATCAAGTTATCGAACAGATCATTACCGAATCAATTCCGCTTTGGAACATCATATACCAAAGCCACAATGAGGGGCGGCTCGTTCAGGGTAAACGCATCGAGTGCATGGACGTCGAGGGCGATGAGCCATTGGATGAAGAGGATGACGAAGATGAGGATAACGATGAGGACGAAAATGACGATGATGACAGTATCTCGAATAAGGCGGAAGAAAGACGCTCGAATGAACGGGTCATGGTTAAACCGGAGCCGAATGAATATAGACAGCCCTCTATCAAAGCCAAGGATGTTGAAGAATGTTTCACATTCCTGGGAGATGGAGAGAAGAAGATCCAGGTTATTGTCAAGTTGGCTAATATCCATCTCACGCCCGAGAAACCGAAGTACCACGGCGGAAGCTGGCACATCGAAGGCCAACTGAATGAGCACATATGTGCTACGACCTTATACTATTACGACAACCATAACATAACCGACTCGCACCTTGCATTTCGGACCAAGGTCGACGGCCGCGATCTCGAAGACGATCTCAACTATGAGCAAGGAGACGATGATGGAATCAGACGCATATTTGGTATAATTAATGGTCGTGCATCAGTCCAAGAGTTGGGCAAGATTCTCACTCGTGAAGATAGGCTGCTTGCCTTCCCTAATGTACTGCAACACCGCGTTGGTTCTTTCAAACTCGCAGATACTACGACACCTGGCCATCGCAAGATTTTAGCACTCTTCCTCGTCGACCCTAAGATTCCAATTCTCTCAACTGCTAATGTTCCGCCACAGCAAAGGGAATGGTGGATGAGAGAGGTCACCACGCAAGGTGGCAAGATGGGAAAACTTCCTGCTGAATTGGTGCAGATAGTTGAGGAGGCAGTAGAAGAGTTCCCGCTGGGAATGGAGGAGGCCAAAAAAATCCGCAAAGAATTGATGACGGAGCGAGCCAAATTGGACCAAGAAGCGACCAGCGCGGTAGAATGCTACGATTTTAGCTTCTGTGAACACTAAGAGTTAATTTTGTCTTTTCCGTATCACGAAACTCTTATTGTGTTCTTGCGGTTGACCTAATGGGGTTCTCTATGTTGCAACTCTGCTCTACCTGTTTCAGAGTTTCACTTCTCTCCACCTAATTCATTCCTTTTGATCTATGCGCTGCGCAAACGAGACAGAGCATGCGACTATCTTTTACAAATCTGCTCCCTTCTACTGCCATATATATGGAACTCAAGACGAGGTCATGTTGAAGCCCTATGGGTGCAGTACGTAGACCTTGGCACAGCTTCTCCTAGCAACTAGGGACGTAGTTGACTTCCTCAGCCTTCCTCAGCTATAATGTCATGAAAGGGTTGTTATTTCACCACTCGGCACATATGCCAACACACTCACTTCACCCCTCCTACGCTGGACCCTAGGTTTCCTTAGCACCTTTACCTGCTTTTGGAAATCCATCCTTCCCGAGATCGTCGCGTCAGGCCTTACCAAGCTGCTTTGTAGTTGCCATACTACCAGGATGTGCCCTTGGTTATTGTGACCTTAGAAACCACCCAATTCACACTCGAGCTTCTATAGAACTCAATGTCTACAAACAGCGTCGTTTTCTATTCAACATAAGCCAATCAGATTGACCAATACTGTTATGTTAATATCAGCGCATATTAGCAAATAATAGCACATGTTAACATTTACACAGCTGTTCGTAACACTCTTTACAACATTTTATTTTTTAAAATTGTATTCATAAACATTAAGTATAGTAGCTTCTAACGCTAATTTACTACATGTTACACTAGCGTTAGACTCTCTTAGTACAAAGTGTTATTAAATTGTACGCAAAGTGTAGCAGTGCAGCTTGCGTCGCATGCTCGCAAGCTCGAGCTTCTCCGCTTACCTACAATAGCGTACAAGCAAGAGATATATCTTTAAACCGCGTAGCAACTCCTCTGATCCTTAGTTTTTGTACGCCGAAGGGCTCTAGAATGGGCTCCTTAATCAACATTGGGCTTGGATTCTCATCATACTATATAAATAATATAGCTCCTCGGACCCTCAGTCCACAATACATGACTCTTGTCATAACTCGTCCCCCTTCAAGGCTACAGTTCTAATATAGTTGAATTACGTCACCTCTTACTTGTCGCTCGAGAATGCCAACTGTGGGCTAAAAGAAGACTTCTGCTCTATAGGAATATACTTGCTGCTGTACAAAGAAGAGGATACACTGTAGCTTTTCAGGGGGCATGCGTTATAATACAAGTGAGGTATTGTGGGCTGAGGGTCAGAGGAACTAAGTAATTTATAGTCCAGCTTACACCCTCCCTCAGCTTTAAGTGTAATGTAGGGGCTGTAGTAGATTTTGACATAGTGTAGTGGCAAAAGTAGTTAAATTCAAGCTTGTCTCTTGTCTAGTTTTTGTTACTACTCTTATCTACATTCCCACGGCTTGCATGGTTGATGTCTCCAGATCCGTAAGCACAGAAGGTGAACTCCACGGCCTTCCCTATTCACCGCTTAACCGCGCAGATTTACCCGAAGTTTTGAGTCGGCAACCCGGCCTAGCCGACACTCGAGCCCTCTCTCTAGTGACTTTACAAGAAAGAAGTCTTATATATTTCTTCAGCAGAACACTAGACCACAGTTCATTCATCAGCGCTGCGCAAAATATCTATCACCAAAGGGCCGGAAATCCGCCGCTTACACCCGCAAATACTCCAGGAGCAAATTCACGTGACCCTACTTCCCCAGCAACCTTTTTAGGATTAGCACGGTACATCCACTATCGGCCACGTCGGGGCTCAAGAGAGCTCCAGAGACCAGACCTTACACTACCACTCAATCTACCTATTTTGGCACTCGCTACCAAATTAAGCCTTCGAAACTCCATATGCCGGCTATCTATCAGCTCTAACCGCGTTGAGTTCAATATCTTGGGCAGGGGCTACTAGTGGAAGCCATGTGTATCTTTGACTACCCACATATTATCGATTCGTACTAGACTTGTATTCTTCAGTAAGTTATTCCTAATGATGAGTCACTTCAAACGCTGCAAATAGCATGATCAACTAAGAAATCTAGTGGAAGAGATAGCGACTTGCACATAGAGCTAGCAGAAGTCACGGTCATGCTATTAATTTCTCGTCAGATACTCTTGGCATTTCCTTGTAGTGAATATCATGTATAAGCTGATCATAGCTTCTTTGTTTGGGGTTTATGCGGAGGAAGATTTATGAAACTACCCTATACACTATGTAACGGTCGATTGGTTTCATGTTTACGCTGCCGTATCTTTTCAGTTGGCCACCGGAAACAAAGTCTCCTCCCTACTCTTTATTTACGTCTAAGGCTTTTCGCTATGTCTCCCTCCACTTGAAGGACCAGGCGTCACACATTGATCTCTTTAAAGCTGTGCGGCATCTTCAAGCACAAGATCACTCGCCTTCTCACTCAACATGTATGTTGCAACGGCCGGAAACGCGCCTGGACATCTCGGAAAAGCGCTCGCATCAACCACCCTCAGCCTTTCGACTCCTCGGACTCTCAGTCTCGTGTCTAGCACAGCTAGTGGATTGCTATCAGGCCCGACCGCACACGAGCTTGTGGGATGATGTCCAAAGATCTGGTTCTGAATCCACTCCCGGTCTGGTGTCGGGTCTTTGCAATAACCATCTTGCTGAATATCCGCGGCAGGACATGGTGGCTCAACAGGGGTGACTTGTCCTACCGGTGCCTCGGTGCCAAAGAATGCCTTCCGTCCAAACGCAACAGTGTCCAATATTGCGGCAAGATCTGTATCCGCACCCTCAACAAAGTGATTAAAGTTGATATCCGGCATATCCTGGGGATTATTGGATTTGATCTGGATCACACCAGCCGTATTTTGTGGATGTATCTTTACCGTGGACCAAGAGAAGGTCGTGGGCGGGTCGGTGGATGGCTGGTTAGTCGGTGGTGCAAAGCCCCGGAATGCTGCCCCACCACCGGTCGAGAAGATGAAGGTATCCCGTTCCCCATCGAGAGAGTGCTTAGATTTGAGAAGGAGGCCCCATGCGTTTTGACCAGCGTGTGCATATGGACCTTTACCTTGCCTCCAGAGATCCACGCAGGGATCACCTGGGGCGCCCTGGGTGCAGGCCGGACCGGTGGTGTTAACAGGGGTAGTCATATTAGTCTTCGCATGTCCGACCACGGGCATCTCGTAATTGTCTTGGAGGTTGCGGCCAACGCCCGGAAGATCGGCAATGACGGAGATGTTGTACTTTTGTAGGAGCGCTTTGGGGCCGATGCCAGAAAGCTGGAGCAGTTGCGGGGAGTTGAAAGTCCCACCGGATACGATAACTTCCTTTCGAGCAAATGCTTGACCTATCCTTCCTTTTGCTGCGGGGTTGAAGCGCGAATCGCCCTTGTACATGGCCGTCCCTTCTAGATACTCTACGCCAATTGCCTTGGGCTTGCCATGGCTATGGCCGCAAACTTCTTCGAAGAGGACCTTCGTTGCGAGAGACCTAAGCTGGAGATGGAGCTGGTACTTTTGGGTTCCATTCGCAGTCGTTTCATTCCGAGTCGCAAATATATAATCTCGTGGACTAAATCTCTTCCAGTTCTTTTCAGCATGAAATGGCAAGCCAAAGAGACCCTCAGCCTTATCTCTTTCAGCATCAAGATAGTTACCGTCGCTCGTGAGGTAGTCAATAACCTTCGAGGGATCTTTCCCGATGATTTTCAAAGCGGCCTGTAGTATGACGAGCTTGAGGCTGCTGGTGGGATAATCAATCTTTTCAGCATTATTAGTTTGCAACCAACCTTTAAAGCCGTGACCCGGGGCTCCTGGTTCAAGGTAGTTGTTATGCTCAATGCGTTCAAAGATCTTGCGCATGTCCTTTCCGCTGGACCATCGTCAACATCGAACATCGACGGCTCGAGACCATGACTTACCTCCAAATACCATCCCCGACACCTCGGTCGAAATAATCCCAATCCGAGTCGCTTGGCAGCCAAGTCGCCGCTGCATTCACAATCGCACTCCCTCCCAACGTTGCACCACGTGGATAGTACACACCCATCATCTTTGCATCTTTCTCCGGTGGTTCTCTGCCAACCCAGTAAGACCCATCGGCCAGCTTCCAAGTTAGCAAGTTATATTTTTTCGTTCGTTCGAGGTCATCGCTGTGACGCACGAAAAAGTCCCATTTTACGGGGCCATTGCCTCCATAGAAGGAGAGAATCTGGGTGCCGATATCTGCGGATTGATCATCTCCAGCTTCGACGAGAAGGACGGAGTAACCGTGGCGGGCGAGGTTTGTTGCGATGGTGCCCCCGCCCGGGCCGGAACCTGTGACGATGTAGTCGTAGGTATTAGAGTCGTTTCGCGCGAGAGGTTTAGGGCAGATAGGTTCGGGCGGAAGTGCAGTTACAATTGAAGCCAAGAATGAGGTACAAAATATGCAGCTGGTGACCTTCATATTTACTGTTTCTCGGTTTTCGAAACGGTGGTTTGGAACCAAGATCCCGAATATCCAGTGCAGGTCGATCTTATTAATGAATTTGATTAAGACGAGAAGATCTCGAGGCCCCACTCAACTGCTCCACAAGTCCTTGCAAATCATCCCACTCTCACATCTAATCTAAAGCCGAGTTCATATGCAGGTACTCAACCTCTCCGCTTCCCCTCACTCTAGCGACTGGGCATACCATTGTTCCGGGTCAGCCCTATATTTGCAGATGAGATATTTCAATCTCCGTAATTTATTCGCCCGTTCGTTCATTTCATTTGCTTTAACTTCTAAGCACTAATAAGATGGATTAGGGTTGCTCCTGGTGCATGCAAAACAGTTTCGAGTTGGCCATGCTTGTTCGCCTGGGTGATAGGGTCACATCGAGCTCATCTAGACTCGTTCAACCCCAACATTAATTATAGTTAGTATAAGACGCTACCCATAGAGTAGCAGTATTCGCTTCCTTGTATAACTACAACATGCTTCCTATACCTGGCGATGGAATGAAGAGTTATAAAGTCAAAGAGATAGAGACGAGCAAATTCAGGTGACTGTTTCTTCCTTGAGATGACCCAAGAGGGCATGAAGTTCAGCATCTTTGGACCACCATTCCCACTTCTTATTGCTATCCGCTGCTCATCTTCGATCCCCATGGACTTCAGCGAATACTAATAGGGTTTGAGACCTTATGAGAGCTTTTCAGCAACAGAGATCTGCCCACGCCCTTCAAATAAGTTTATGGGCCGTAGCAGCTTCAACTCTATGTAAGAAGGAAATCACCGCCTTCAGATTAAAATACATGAATGGAGAAAGAGAAGAGCAGGGAGTGCTGTTCAAACGGTGAGACATTTGGGTCCGGGAAAGCGAATGGAAAACTGAATGCAGGGTATCAGGAACTCGGACGATTCTTCGTCGATCAGTGCAAAGAGAGAAATAAGTTATTGAGCCCGAACCACCACTGATAGAAAAAGCTTTCTGGAATAGCAGTTGCCATAAACTGTCACGATATATATGGGCTAAGACATGCAAGCTGTGAGGATGCTATTTCACCCCACGCCGCGGACTTGTACTACCACATGGAAAGTCAGCGCGAAGAGCCGTAGCACAATTCTTCCTTGAGATGTCCCATGAAGGTAGAAACTAAAGGAAACAATGTAAAAGAAGTGACAGTCGGCGGTAGTGCTAGGACCAGAGGCATTAGGTCGACCTCACCACCCTAAATTGAGAAGGCTAGTGCAAGCATTGAGCTGCGACCCTAAACTTCGCCATTCGGGAGTATTCTCGTAGTGCAGGTTATCTTATCTTAATCCCTTCCGGCTAAGAATCCCGGACATGCTTGTCATTCGGTCTACTAAATTTGTGAGCGCATTTGTGAGGACAATATGACTCCTACTTAAATAATACGATATATCGCGGAGAATACAAATAAAGAGATCCCATTCCTTATCACCGGTATCATCGGTAGGTTCTACGAGGTCAGCAACTTGCAAAGTACGACGTCCCGAACAGTACAAGGCGCGCATAGAGCTCACCAATCTAGTTGAACGGTAAGCTGCAGGCTTCAACTTTATAGGGTGAAGACACAGCGATTCGAGTTTCTCAGAAGATTGCGAAGTCTGATTTTGATGATGATGACCTTGCCATGTGCAAGCTACTGCAAGCTGTCATAATTTCTAAGGCCTCAGCACTAGAGCGGGAAGAACTCTAGAGTCCCTGCAAACCATGGTTGTCTTTCTTCTCAACCTCCATTTTGAGGCAATTTTCTCGATTGTCTAGCGCGTCGAGGAAATGGTGGTAAGTGCAGAGCGTGAGGATAAGAAGCGTGAGCAATTCAGATGCTGAGCTCCATTGTGGACTCTCGAAGTGCTGACGGGCGAGTACGAAAAAATGCTAGGAGAGATAAATATGGTACTCTCTAATGACGAAATCGCGGCTACCAAACTGTAAAGCTTTTGGGAGCGCGAAGGCCATGAGGAACTGAGTTGATTGCTAAAAGGGCGTACCTAAGGGACAATATATGCAAAGGAGGGAGCTCTGTAGCATGGTGCTAGGGTAAGTAGCATATAACTAGGGTATGCAATAATAGCTAGTGAATACGAGTATGTGGTGGAGCTCAAAGAGCTCCACAACTGCAAACACACACTCCCACGTCCTCTAACCCGCCCTTTTGCTCAGTCTCTCGCATCCCCAATAATTAAATCCGCCGCCTTCTCCGCCACTGCATAAACTGTTGAACTCGTATGTGTCCCTGGAATCAACGGCATAACACTAGCATCTACTATCCTCAAACTCTGCACCCCATGAACCCTCAAACTTGGATCTACTACACCCCCAAGACTCTTTGGCATCAATGCTGCGGTCCCTACCGGGTGATAAAAGCTCGGTCTGACGCTTGTCTGTAACCACGTCCGCCAATCTTCGTCGGTTTTGACGGCGTCTCCTGGGGTGAGCTCCACCGGGCCGAGGGACTTTCCGCTAGGCGTGGCGAACATTCTGCGAATCATTTTAACGCCATGGACGGCCATTGTGAGATCGACTGGGTTTGTAAATGTGCGGTAGGAGACTAATGGTTCGGCTAGAGGGTCGGTTGGGTTGATATTGACGGTGCCGCGGGAGAGGGGTTTGAGGAATGCTTGAGGGGCACCGAAGGTAGAAATTGGATACTCGAAGACGGCAGCTTCTTTTGAGGAGAAGAGGTCTTTAAGAGCAGCGAGCTGTGAGGCGTAACCTTCGAGTATACTACGGTGGGTAGAATTCGGTAAGTAGGTTGCCGGAGATTGTGCTGTTAGGGCACTGATGATCGACCCCGTGTCGTTTGTCAGCGCCGAGAGGGGAAGAAAGGCACCGCTGTTGCCGCCGCTAAGGGTCAAAGGCCCTAATTAGGTTAATAAAGGTACTGCACACATTCTCGAAGAGACTAAGCCATACCTGTGCGATTCTGAGCATACTCTTTCTGTGCCTGTGCCATCAATGTTGAGTTCGTCAACATCGCCATCGCAGCTGGAGATGGTTCGGTAGTCACTACCCCCAATGGTAAGTCCTTGAGAATTGGCTTTGGGCACTGAGCGGCGGTTTTTTCGCTTACAATTGTAGAACAAGTTCGTTATGGGATGATCTTGGAAATTTTGACCAACACCAGGCAGCTCAATCTTTACACTGATATTTGCTGCTTTCAGTATATCGCTCGGGCCGACACCACTACGTTGCAAGATCCCCGGGGTATGGATCGCACCGGCAGCAAGAATAATTTCCTGGTCGCTGTGAATTTCGACTGCAGATGAATTGCCAGCCACAGCCTGGATTTTGACTCCTTGCGCCTGGAACCCCTTGTTGACCACTCCTGCATGTCCTATAATTACATCGGTGACTTTGTAGCCAACAAGGAGATGATAATTGGTCCTATTTGCGGCTGGGTCATAATGTCCTGTTCTCGCATACGAACGAGTTTGCGTCTTTGGGTCTTGAGAGCTTGGTAGCCAAAAGACGCCATATGCCTGGCCACCTGCTGCTTCCTTCGGGGATGGAATACCTAGCTCTTTCCATGCTTTTCGCATGATTTCTAAACAGGTATTAGTAAGGGTGAAACAGTTGGGTTCATTTTTAAGACTCTTACTTTCGCTCGGCCACTGAAAAGGAGGGTAGCATGCTTGAATCGGTCCATTCCCGCCATAAGCCTCATCAACGTCATATGTATATTCGTAATTTTTGACATCGTTAGCCGAAGGCGGTGTAAAAGTTGTACTCTTCACTTTATCAGGGTTTCTACATCTTACCGGATTTATGCTTGACTGAACTCACCTTGCGAAAGTATGGTAACAAACCGGCCCAATTCCACCCTGCTGCCTGATACTCTGGCCCCGCTACATATCCCCATGCATCGTAATCAGCTTTACTTCCACGGTCAAACATCTGTGCATTGATGGCGGAGCATCCACCAACAACCTTGCCCACCGTGACAGTGAAACTGCGATTCCCTAGACCGGGTTCGGGGTCGGAAAGGATGTTAAACGCATATCTAGGGTCGGGGACGGTGACGGCTGGCTGTAAGATTGCGGTGCTGTTTTCAAGGTCGCCATATTCCACGACAAGAACAGATCCTGGCCTAGTGAGCAGGGACGCTAATGAGGTAGCAGGACTGACGTTGTGGAAATGCGGCAGTGAGACGGTCTGCAACAGTTAAACCAGATGTACCGCCTCCTGCTATGATGTAGTCATAACGGGATGATAGCTGTGAAATGTGACGTTTGATCCAAGCACCAGGAGGAATGCTTGCTGCGAAAACGAGGGTGAGCACGTAGGAAAATGCTAAGATAGACCGAACTGGTGAAGTAAGTCGCGCCATGAAGGGCAATGGAAGCCTTGATGAGATTCTAAGTTAGAGTTTGCTAAGGTGGTGCCTATAACTTATGGTGATCGCGTCCAACGTATTTAACCTTCCCTAAGATTTCCGTGCGGAGATGGTGACATCAATTGGGGTTTGAATGTTGTGGAACCATTGCGAAGGACGCAAGGCGCCAGGTACTGGATCTCTCAGGAAGAATAAAAAGCTATATGCATGCCTCCACTCGGGGCTGGGATCGAGATGGTCAATGCCAGCTCAATCAGCCGACGAGGGGTTGGAAGAGTGCCCCCATGTAATTGAAATGGGTCACGGCATTAAACAGCCGTGGCTTAAAGTCGCTGCCACGTGGACGAAAGACCCAAGGCTAACTTGACAAGCGGTTATTGAGAACTTGCAGAGAAGCGCGACACCTTAATTGCACCCGGATAGCACGCCAAACAGGGTAGGATGAATGCATACAGATTTTGTGGGGTAACTGGGATGTTAGAGCCTCCGATTCGCTCGTGTCACAAGCCGCCAGAGGATCACCAGGGCGGAAGCTGACCATAATCGTGCGTTGTGAGAGAGATCCACTGTAGACATAGATTCGTTGTGGAAGCAGATGAAGGCGTTCAATTTTAGGTGCATGTGAGGGATCAATGTGGGGAGTCCAAAGTACAAGGCGGTAGATGCATACTTCTCATCATGAAATCGAAGTCCCCGCTTGCGAGAGTTCAGTTATATGTTCCTGCGTTACAATATATGCAAGGAAGCATAGTGGGGTAAATGTACTCTTCGCAGGTCGTGAACTAGGATGGGACGCCACAATTCCTCAGTGGCGTGAACGTTCCTCACTTATCGATGTCAATGAAACCCCTTGGACGGGGTAATATCTCTTTCTAATAGTTATTCTACGCAACCTTAACTTAACGTCAAGAATCCGAATCTAACCTCGCATCGCAAGTGTCGTGCGCTAATGCGCTATCTTCTCTTGCCCGGGGTTGGGCACTTTCCTGGCTCATCAAAGCTAGCAATGGGCCAAGTTGTCGCATATGGTTTAGAAGCGGCATGTGGATCGGGGAGAGTGTCTTAGCAAAAGCACCGCAGTTCAGGTGGCCAGGGCATACGGTAGACATGGCGCTCGAGAGATTTCTCCTCAGCGTTAAGAATCGAGGCAGGTCGGACGAAATTGTCCTTGAAGGTTAGTGGTGGTGTTAAGGGATGTAAAAGATTGTCCGAACGATACCAGTCCGCGCGCAGGATGAAGTCAACGAGGGGCGGGAAAAGGTGGGCGCTTACGAGATCCTGCATCTCACGATGACACCGCTCCTGCGGCTTTCCGCTTCGTACTAGTCACCCGAATCTCGCATAAGACCTCCTCGCAGGTGGTCCGTCGGCTTGCCTTGTAACCTATTCCTACACTCTAGCTCGTCCTAGGGCAGTTGCGACTCAAGAGAAGACATGAAACCGCACCCCACCTGGCTCCACTGGCCGCATGAACGGCCGCATCCTGGGCTGCACTACAGAAACACACAACCAATCGCAGTCGACTGACATCCCGCCGGCACACCCCACGTGATTGAACTGCAAAGCATAGAATCTGCACTAATCCAGTGTTCGCAGTGGTTCCAGACTTCGACGGCTTTCCGAGTCCTGCCTGAAATGGAAGGTTGCTCAAGCGGATCGAACGTGAAACCCGATTATGAAACATAGTCGCAATTGTTCTTCAGAGAACTGCACCCAAAGTACGTCGCGCAGTGACGAGAGTTTTCCATGCGAGCCTTGCAGACGTTGGGGCGGGACTTTATGATAAACTTCGCTTACGAAACCGTCGCCTGGATTATCCCTCTACCACCCCAGACACCCTCCCAAATCCCGCCACAGTCAACGACGTCTTGTCACTCTCTGTAGAGACCACACTTTGACTTTCATCCATCGCGTTCCTATGATATCAGTTCATGGAGGACTTCCGATCCGGGTTTTTCACGTCCAAAGGATCGTTGACTTGTCAACCTAGAGATCGTGGCAGATGATATCCTTCTAGCTCGAAATCACTAAGCAAATTGTACCTTGGAAGCTGCTCGTATTCAGAGAAGGGTTTGTAACCGCAGGCGGTTAAGTCCCGAGCTTTGCATGACGGCGGCATCACGGGTGTGACTGCGGGCCATTCGACGTCTGCAGTTCCGAAATAGACATTGTCAAAGGGTGCCATTAAAGCACCAGCTGACAGGAGAGAAACTCCACAAGAGGATGCCCAGGCACTATCAACGTTAATATATCCGTCGATTTTAAATGCGAAAGTGTCAAAGGAATGACTTTCACTCCCGATTCAGATGACCCGAGCGGAGGAGGTTGTTAAATATGTATTTTCCTTTCTCTAGTTGCTCAGGCCCGATCAAACACCAGTTCCAATCTCCGCAGTATCGACTGCAGCACCTCCTCTCAGTATCCGGGAGCAGGGAAGAAAGGCGGGGGAAATCCAGATCTAGGGTCAATTCGAAAACAGACTAAAGAGTTGGAGTTTATTAATATGACGATTGCCCACGTCGGACAAAGAAGCGAGGAAATCGAAGTTCAACCAGGTGATATCGGAGCGAGAGAATGGTTCTCGACACTTATCGCTATTATAATGTCCATTCTCTTATCCACGACTTCTTCTAGAGGTTCTGACTTGCAGGCTTCCTCCGCATCAACAGCGAAGCCCTATTCCTCAAGGAAGCAACACCACTAACAACTTCAACCAGCGGGAAACACGACATGGCTCCAACAAGCTTTACTATTGCTGCCCGAAGGAGGTTTTCTTAGAGTCTGTTCTGCGCGACTTTCTCAGCCCAGAATATCCCATTCTTTCCGATAAGTGACCACTCGCGTTCGGGACTAGATTGGGGTTTCTCCGGAATGCGACGGACGTTGACAAGGCAATATTCTTTATCTAAGTCCAGAGTATCGTTGTGGTTTTTGCCTCTAGTGTCATAGCGATTGACCTCATGGTCTCCCCAAATACAGCCACGCCTTGTAATTGTCCCAGGACCCTACACAAAGAGTAGATAGTTAATTGCATTGCATACCAATATAAGCAGAAACCTGCAAGCACTACGCTCATATACTATGGTCATAGATTGCTGGGGTGGAACTGAACGTCTGCATAGATGGCACATATGCTAAGGCTACACCTTCCTCCACCACAGCATCAAGGTGCGCGTATTCAACAGCATTGTCTCTAAAATAGTGCTCCGTGCCTGTGATAAGGTCGCACCAATTCATTGAGCATGGCCATTGAAGTTAACAACGGGGAGGTGCCGTGGTTTCACAATACGGAAGATGCGACACATCAGCGATAGGGACAAGTGATCCGTGTGTAAGAGGTAATCAAAGATCTCCACCTGGAGCCCCTCCGTAAGGATTTCGTGGATGCTGGGATGATGCGGCCTAGTGCGTGGCTATGTGAAGGAGTCGTGGAGAGATAAGTGTAGAATTGTTAAGGTGTTGGCGTCATGAGGTGAGCTATCGATAAGGAAAGTGTACTTAACGTTTGGCCGAGGCTTGATCAGCTCTACAGGTAGAGATTGCATCTCATGTTGATTATGTTCGAGACATGAAAGCTACGGCCTAGGTTATTCACTGATGAAAACAGCCACGGTTTCGCTTAATGGTCGTAATTAGAGCTGGTCACACAGAAGAATGTTTCTTGTTTTGTAGACGCACGTAGTCCGCGGAGGAGGTAAATTGTTCCGGCAGAAAGAGAGGAGCACTTCGAATGGAAGGTTGTAATGTTCACTGTTATGGGGCGCAACTCGTATTCTCCCTAGCGTCTTCAAGAAGTCCCGGTTTGCTGGGATTAGGAGCGCATATCCTAAAGGATCGATAGGCATTGGATCCTAGGGTTCTGTTCCGATATTTTCTGCGAAGGGTAAGGTCTTAGCTATAATTCTAGCATCCCATATAATTCTACAAAAGCTTGCCGGCATGGTTCACAGAAGTAACTAATTAAGGATAACAACTTAGAGGACTTCAACTTAGAGGATCATTATCCTCCCTATAAAACCTTCCTGTTACGGGTGAAAGGTAGAGTAACGACACGAGCCTAATATGAGTTCGTCGTAGACCTGTCGTGGTGTGACGTCGACTAGGTTCCTGTATGATCTGAATGACTTGAATAAGTAAACTCTCACGCCTATAAATAAGAGTACGTAGTCATTTCGCCAAATGCCGGCACCTGCAGTCAAATCGTCCTTAGCTTCACAGAAGAACCGCACTGGAAAACGTTCTCAAAATGCCCTTCTCATCTTTCTTCATTGCTGCTCTAGTAACCTCCACGTCCTCATTACCCGGACGATATGATTGAGCTTCTGAGCTCGAGGTTCATGCCAAGAATTGATGGTGTACTATTAATGTCGGTGGTTGCTCATGGTGTAGTGTCGATGGTCATGACTACTGCATGGTATTTATGCCTGGGGTAAGCTCGGTTGTTGATATCACTAAATTCCACATGTGTACTGACTTCATTTTCTCTGACAGTGCGGAGCTAAGACTCAGAGAGACCTGATTACTCCCGGCAGATCTGGAGAGCCAATACAGCTAACTGAGAGAACGGGCGGCGGTGACCGGTTCGGTTGGGCAAATCGCATATACGGGTGAATGTGTTTCATGCCAGCTGTATGGAGCGGCTTGTGTGGTGCTTTAGTTGGGGTAACCAGAACCCATGATTGCTCAACATTAAATCATACATTGACCTGTGTCGACCACAGTGCTAGTGAGAAATGGGCCCCTCTATCTTCATTTTATTCTCGGCCAAATTGCAATCCGAGACTCGGCCGTCCAGCTCTAGAGAAAGAGACGCAGCATGAAGACCGGGCCTACTTCATTTCTACGTTTTAGAATGACATCATGGTGTATCATTAGGAATGCAAATTTATTTTCCCCTCTAGCCGTTGTGCAAATTGACCTAGGTTTGCATCGGGTCAGGTCTTGCCGCATTGAGCGCGGAATGCGGATGCTCTTGAGACCATCCTGAACCCTGGTATTTCAAACATTCAAACATTTCTACAACATCAACACATTCCAACATTCCAAAACCGCAAGAGCACTACTTCTTTCAATGATATATGATAGTTTTGCAAAATGGCGAAGCAACGATTGCAGATCGGCTTTTCTGGTGCATGGAAAGGGTTTCGAAGGGTGACGCCGAGGAAGGCGCAGGCAGGACACGCAGATCCAATAGCGATGAAGTACTGTTACGGTAAAATTCCGTGAGGGATGGCGATTCGATGTGAGGATGTCAAAGCTGAGGGTTAAACGTTTCGCAAGTGGGGATTGGGATTGGCCCGATCCCGAGACAACCACACTGGACCAAAAAAGCCCGTTCACTCATAAAGTCTCCAGGTTTCTTCCATCCTGGTAATTAACCCTCCTCTACAGTTCACATTTCAACGAGTACAAGACCTTCGTTTCTCTTCATTTTAGAGGCCTTGCATCTCCTCTAACACAGAAACTCTATAGTTTCCTAAGAACTAGTTGTGCGACCTCACGATTCTCTCAGCTCAACCAGTGATCAATGGCGTCTCATCAATCTCCTTCCACAGCAAAGACTGGGAAAGGAACATCCCTCTCCCTACGAATCACCCGACCGCCCTGACCCCATCTAATTCGCCACAACCACCAAAAGCACTGAAGATTTCCAAATCAGGAAGCCCAATACCTGGGCTTCAAGGGTCACCCTTTGAGGCGACACATGTGGCACAGCAATCGACGGAAATCGTGGGAAGATACTTAAATTGGAAGGATGGACATGTGACTCGACCGCGATCGTTATGCAAAGGGTTGGTTCCAGCTGAAGGGAGAGGAGAGAGGATCGAGTGTTAGACAGTTCTCCGTGTGGAGGTAAAGTATCTCGGTAGCTGATTCTCGACGCTTGATTGGACGATGAGGAAAGCAGGCTTCGCCAATCAAGATACTTTCGAACCCACCCCAGAGTTGGAAACGACAACCCTTGATGATCTGACGGCAGCTTCGTTCGAAGTGTCTTAGAACACCTTTTATTTATGTAGCCGCTTCGGAAAGCAGTCCCCAGGCACCATCCCCTCCCACGTGATCGAAATTCCCTGTGCGACGGTTCCACCCGTGGTGGCGCACGCCTCCGTCTTCAACGCTTCTCCGCTCCCTAAGGGCAAACTTTCCGCGTCGGGAAAGAAAAAATATTATCTTTCGATCGTGGCACGTTTCCCACTCTGTGGGTGAAGTTCCATTGCAGCAGGCCAGGTTTCCTTGCATGCGCGAGATTAGCATAAAGCACGGACACAGGGCATTGGCGCGGATTGGGGATGTTGGGCCGGGGAATGGCCGATGCGCGGAAGTAAGTTTGCCATAAGAGATGGGAAGCTTGGTGAGATTGTAAGGCTGAGGTTTGTTAGTAAGAGATCGTATCATAGTCACGGAATTGGGTGATTGAAGGGAATATTTACCTGTCGCTCGATATCCAAGCCCACGCCAATTACATTGACCCATCTCAATAATTCAGACATGTCTGGACCATCTTCATTGCTTTAGAACGACGGTGTAGCCATGTGTTAACTATTGGCAGGGACTATCTTCAGAAATTCCCCTCATCTAATAACGATCAATAATTATGTGTCTACGCATGGCGTGTCAGCAATAGTCACAGAACACCCCGCAACGCAGAACAACCCTTCGAGTCGGGTAGCAACTGGCACATTATTTAGCCTCTCCCGGCTTAGGTCTTTCTGGAGGTGATGGGGTGCCCATTCCAGACCTCTATAGAAAGTGCTAGCTCTGACTCGGACATGCTAGATGCAAGGGAAAGATTGCATTGGAGGTGATGCTGGTGAGGTTGGTTCCGTCCGTAAAAGCTGACTTTAGTTTCGAAGAATGATAAATGGATAAGAGTGATGGGGGAGCAGTTTATGTGCCATTAGAGAAGGGGATTGATACCTCTCCAAAGAACGAAAGACTTTTATCACCTTAACCACATAGAGTATTAGCTCACGAAATCCGCTTAGACCGTTTCCGCGACAGCCGCTGTCGCTGTCCTCTGGATTTTGATGTTCCAAGAATTCTTGTCGGAAGATATAGGGATCCAACTTGATTCGAGGATTGAATATCCGTATAACAAACTTATGCGGCCTCTATGTGCCGTTTCGGGAATTACCTAACCCTAGGCTCTAGTACTTTGCTTGGAAATTATGGCAGTGGATCTATTCTTGATGATCTGGAAAGCGCCGGCAGAGGCAGTGAAGGAAGAAAGATGTGGTAGACCTAGGTGGTGGGTATAGATGCAAGGCTGGTGGTACACGCAGGGTGGTACACGCAAGGTTGTACGCAAGTTCGCCCGGTTGTGCAGCACGGCATCCTGAAATCATTACGCAAAGTCCTCGCTAAGAGTTTTAGAAGCCGAAAAAATGTAGGCTGTGTCGAGATCTTTCAGCTGTGCAACGTGAAGATTGAGGGCACGAAAAACATAACACGACCCGTCAGAGGTACAGAAAAAAGGGCACCTGAAGCCCTCTTAATAACTTTGGAAATACAGATTAGAAGATAAATTTTATCCATGAAAATACCATGCCATATCTCAATAAATGTTGCTTAAAAGGAGTTCAATGACGCTCACAATTCTTAACATCGCTTGATGTCACTTAGAGGTAGAGGGCGGTAGGTTGCCTTCTAACCATTTTCAACAAAGTCGAGTTTCCGCCAATTGTCGTGAAACCCGTACCCGCCGATATCGTTCCCGGGGAACCAGTGCTGAGCGGCAATGCAGAGGTAATGACCGGCGATTCGGTTGCGGTAGGTATGCCACTGTCTGACCCTGTAGAGGCCGGGTCGGAGTTTGTAGGGACATCAGTGACAGTGGGCTGGGAATCGGAAGTTACGGGGTCTTTAGTTGAGGTAGGTGTGGGCTTAAGCGTGCTAGTCTTGACGTTGTCGGGGCCAATACCCATGCAAGTGGTAAAGAGAGGCCATGATGTTTCCTACAAAAGATGTTAGGTAGTACTTGATCAAGTGAAAGCAAAACTTACGAAGAGATCTTTTCGGTAGTCAGGAGCTTGGTTGACTTTACCAGCATTAAGGTTCACGTTAATACCAACATTGGCTCCAAGGTTGACACCCTTCGTCTTTTGGGTACCGCAGACGCCGGCAGTGTTGACCTCCGCGCCAAATGTTGCCTCAAAGTAAGGTAGCTCGGCGTCTACCGAGGCTTGGTATCCCCACTCTATACATATATTAGTATGCTCCTCCCTGTACCGAATGAAGTCAGGTGTCACTTACTGCCTAAAACTTCTGCCTTAAGTTGAATGCCTAGTTCTGCCCAAGCTCTCACTCCTCCACTAATCTCGGCGCTGAATGAAGGGGGGATTTTCTCAAACTTGGGCGTCCAGCCCGAGATAGCGTTTTGATCCGGATGGCGAAGATCGACAGTCACCTTCGCCGCGTCGTCGAGAGTGGCACGAGCTCCAGTCGTGATTTTTGCAGTTCCTGTCAATTGTGTGGAACCAAAATGGATGCCCATGGTCACGAACGGGCCGATCTCGAGAAGTTTGCCGATCTTCAACGCCTCGACTGGGATCTCAATCTCGGGCTTCATAGTCCAGTCAATCGCCTTACCGAGCGTCCCATCGGCATTCATCGTAAGCGTGAAGTCGGCGTGGACTCCCTGAGGGTGGATGTTGATGTTGACATCAGTTGGGACCCAGAGCGTGGTTTTGACGTCGAGGTCAGCAATAATTTGACCACCTGTGGAAATCTCTGCATCTGCGCTGAGATCCAATCCTGTAGTATCACCTTTGGAAAGGTGGAATAGGTTGTGATTGAAGGAGTGGCTAATGTCCATTGTCTTGGTGCCGCGCTTCATGTGCATGAGATGTGGGTGGGTTTGATTGGCGTACTCCGGGTCGACAAATTCGTGACCAAGTTTAAGGTGGAAGGTATGGGCGATGTCCTTCCACTCCTTCTCCTGAGCGGTAAGCGAAGCTTCGAGCTTTGCATCGTCAAACTGGATGTTGGTGACGAGATACGGGGAGCGGTCGTCGCCAGGGTAGCACTGGTTTGGGCTTGTGACGAGGGTGAAGGTGTTGTTGTCTTTGTTGTTGACCCACTCCCATTGGCCTTTTGCGTAGTTGAAGGAGTCCTTGTCGTTGAACTCAATGACCATGGGCGCTGATGATGAACCGCAATGGATTGCTTTGAGTCTTTTGGCGAAGCTTTCAACTGGTAGAATGAATTCATTATCTCCGGGATTAGAGAGGGTGAAGTTGGCCATGTAGATGTTGTCGCCGGCTGCCAAGAATTAATAGTCTAATCTATCGTGGAAGTTGAAAGTATACCATAAGCCCCCCAGAAGAACGTGCTATCATTCTTGGGGTCGAAACATCCATTTCCAGGAACTTCGCGCTTGGCGCCATGTCCTGTCGTCAAAACAGACGGGTCTTCCAGTGGGACCAGTTCGAGAGGAGATGCACCACGCTTGGAAGAATGGCCCGGAATGATACTTGGTGGGCTAGATAGAGGTTGAAGGTCGAGAGCCCTGGTCTCCCAAGCAACGAAACAGACAAAAGCAGTGGCAAAGAGACTGCGGGAATTGAAAAACATATTGATCATCTAAAATGTTATGCCAATAGATGATGAAAACGAATGTAAGAACCAATCAAGGTCTGGTAGAGAACGACAGAGGAAAGGAACGACAGAGGAAAAGAAAGGCAGGCTAGAATGCTAGCGAATGAAGAGAAGTGACTTGCTGGCTTGCCTTAGGGTGAACATGGCTGACTTTTGTATGAAGGCCGATACTATCTAGGTCTGCGCGGTATCAGCACCCGGATACCAAGATGCAAACAAGGAGGAGATTAAACGTTCGTATCGCTTGCAGGTGAGGTCAGATACAAACCGGCCGCCAAAGGATACTAAGTTGAAGCCGGACTTGAAACATATGGCCGGCGGGAGGATTGCCTTGAATAGGGAATGAATAGATCTGCTCAGGGTTGGATTGAGGCCTGCGATGATCTGTGCATGAGGAACAAGATATGGAAACTTCCTCGCATAGAAATAGTGCATGACGATATGACAAAAGTAGCATCAAGGTGGTTCTCAGAAAGGGTGAAACGCGAGGACGTGGGGCTGAAGGATTGGAAGTCCGTCATCACGTGCCAGGACGCACTATTTGAGGTAAGCTCTGAGCCAAAATCGACGTCGGAGTGCTGACGCATCCATCTCACTCAGCTCGGATTGGCTGCAAGGTTTGAGGAGTGTAGGAACTGAGTATTCACAGACGTGATGCTGCACAGCGACGGAAATTAAGAAGAAATGGCCCCATGTGACCAGTCAATTGCCTCTAAGAGACGGGTTGGGCGCTACACTGAACGTAGCGATGGGAGGAGGTGCAGAAGGCGGAAACGAATCGATTTTAGATGAAAATGAGATGGGGGCGATGCGATGTTGGTGAGGGTATTGATGGTGTGGGTGAGTGTTGAAGAGGATGGTAGACATGGGAGCTTGCAAGGTCGGAGTTCGGAGGTGGACTGACTCATGATGCTCACAGAAAGTCCGAAGCGCTCATCACCAGCACTCGCCCACCTGCAGGCATTAAAAGAGTCGAGGGCAGAAATATGGAGAATGTTTGGTGCACGCAAGGTGCTTGCACATATTGTTGCCCAAGTAGAGCAGCTCGTGATGAGAGGGATCCACGATTTGGATTGAGGCGCAGAAGCAGAAATAGAAAAGGTGAAACACGGTGCCCATGGATACGAAGGGCTCAATAAGATGCAGCCAAGCTTTCGCCAATCTGGGCTGCCATGGGTGCTGCTGGTCGTATCGAATGCGCGGATGGCGTGTTGCCAACTGCGACCTCGGGCACTACGCCATGTCACCCAGAGCCAACACTGCCGGATAATTGCGGTATTAAGAGGTCCAGTCTGTAGCCGCTGCCTTCACACCCTTCGCTGTCGAGTTCTTTGTTCGCGACATGTCGCTCCTTTTCAGAGTATGGCCGGTCGGACTTGTCGCATTGCTCCATCGATACTCAGCCCAATACGACGTGGGCACTTGTCTGTTCATTGCCTAGCCCAGGAACTCACCACACCACCCTTTATTTTTGGGCGTTCGACACGAGCAACAATGCGGCTGAGTCTACCCCCATGCACTGGACACAGGAATTCACCGAAGCACGAAACATTGTCCTTCGCAGTGATTCGCGGGAGTCCCAGGTAAAGGAGCAAACAAGCTCATGCCGGCGCCTCCAGGCCAAGGCTTGTCTCCCTTAAAACATGCACCACCTGCGCTTTCTCTCCCAGGCCAAGATATCTTCCTCCCCACCTTGATTTCGTTGTCTCCTTCTCATCAAGAACCTTTGGCAGCTCCCTCTTCACACCTAACTCTCCGTCCTCCTCTAGCCTGCCCAGGATGCGCTCCTCACATTTCCTAGCCCTATGGGCTGCAGCTGTCTCGGCCCAGTCAAACGTCACTGTTCTCAATTTCCTATTTGACGACAAAACTCTCACTATCAAAGGCTCGAAGGACTCCACCACTACTTATGAACATGCCTGCCCAGCATCGACTAGTGGTGCTGCCTCATCTAGACCGGGTATGACCTGAGCACCTCGTGTGACTGCTTCTCGAATCTAACCGGAATTCAAGCCTCATCTGGTGAAGCCTCATCTGGTGCAGCACCCTCAAGCACCATAGACCTTGTCTCCACTATCACAGATTCTTCCATTATCGGCTCCGCAACTTCCGAAGGTGCTGGCACCCTCACCCTTGCGCCAATTACTGGGTTACCAACCAATTTCCCCATCCAGACCGCCAAAGCTCGTGTACGTCGCGACGACAATAGCACAGATTGCGAGCCGTATACCATCATTCAAGGGCCATCTACTTGGGAGTTCCATCTCACCGACCCCATCCCAGGGGCATGGACACTAGATATGAGTTGCACATTTGGTGATGGCGGTCTCACCACGGCAGACGCGACGTGCACTGGAGCAGCGCGCGGGGAAATTGTAGGCAACCAAACTGGAACTAGCACCGTTACATTTGCGCACACCGACCTAGTCAGTTCCAGTATATTTGAGACAGTTAATGTAGTCTCCGCTACCGGTGAGTAGTCAAAACACCTTCCTTACCGCAAGAATTCCGACTAATGATGGCTATTAGCGGCGCCGACGGGATCAGTTTCGAGCAGCCGTGCTTCAGGCTCTGCTCCAGGCCCTGCTTCAGGCTCAACAGCGTCTGCTACAGCTCACAGTACTGGTCTCGCGCCAGCCTTGCCTCTTCCAACCGGTGGTGTCATGGCCCTTGTAGGAGGTGCTGCTGGCATTTTTGCTGCGGCTCTTGCGTTGTGAGGGAAATTTGATTTGTATTTCATATCACTAAGCATGGAACAAAGTAGGCAAAAAAAGCAATATTTTGGCATCTGGTCCGTGAGTTCGAATATTGGCTTGCCTTCAAATCGGTCGGCCCTTATCCATTTTCATATAATACACGAATTGTATTCCCAAATCCAGTTCCTCGCGTCCTATTTCTGCCACATTTCAGGCTTGCACATCCATATCAAGCTATCGCGTTTATCTCTGTATTGTGTGCGATTCCATGCTCGAAGATCCTTTGATTACACAAACACGGGGGTGGGCGCGGTTCGTTAGTCACGTGCTAGCGCGCTGATGGGTCGTATGGGGCACTTTCACACAGTCTGTCTCATTCTATCTTGCCACCCGCGGTGTGACCAACCACAACGCACCCTCCTCCTCCATCCCATTGCCGTACAACGGCATTGACCGCAACTCGGCTTTTGTGTATTTGGTCAAATCCCTTGGTCTCTTTCAGTTTTATAATCAAGCACCTACTCTCACATTTAGACAAACCTGTCATACCTCCTAAAACAACATCCTCTAGGCCACGCACCTCTTCGCAATGGAAACCAAGCGGACCCGCAGTCATTCCTTCTCACAAGGAATGCCCCCACCCCCGAGAACCTTTGTTCGACGCCATTCACATTCAAGAGCCCCAACTCACAATGGATCTGCCTCTCCCACTAGCAGCGTTAATAGCGATCATTTTACCTCCATACTAGAAGAACAAACGAATGCTCCATCACCCATGTCCCGCGCGTGCCTTGAATCTGATCTAGGCAGCGCTAAAAGCATCATCACTCGCCTCCGCCTCGACCGCAATCACTGGTGCACACTTGCCAAACAGCAAGAAAAAAATCTGGACAATGCAGGACGACTCGAGAGAGTTGACCAAGAAATCGCTAACCCCACAGCCTTGAACGAGGATCTTGAGGAACGAGCTGACTTTGCCGTCATCACTGAGAAGTCACTTCTTGCAAAGTACCGCGATGTTGTCACAAAGCATGACAAGCTCGTCAACGACGTTAATGAAGCAGATCGTACCATCCTGCAGTTGAAGAAATCCGATCGTGCCAAAGAAAAGGTACACCAGAGGAACCTGCACTTAAAATCACTCATTGGAAGGAAGACAAATAAGGAAGAACTACTTCTTGAGGCACTTTCTGCCGCTGTAGAGCGGGTCGCGGAGCTGGAGGCAGCTGGAGAGAAACTCATAGATACTCTAGAGGAAGAGAGAGTCCGAAGCAGCGGGGGGAGTGGCCGGAGTGAAGGGGAAGTCCTCGATAGCGACTCCAGAGATGATGCCAAGGATGAAGGACGCTTGATACTAGACCCTTCGAATTCTTTGATTGAGGAGATTAGGTTCAGAGGCATACTTGATGATGATGAGTGGGAAGAGAAGAGGGAGATATGGAATGATTTGTTGGATGAGGAATCTTGAGGATACTCCCACCCTTATTCCCCTGATAACTTAGAATCCTCAGGGGAATTTTTCCAGTTTCGAGCTATCAACCCCACTCGTTGGCGTCAAATCCCGTACTGGCTTCATTTCCAGGAACCTTGCCTAGTACAAAGGCCAGTTCCCCAATAGCGCTTTGAGCTCAGTATCTAGTGCAAATTCTATAGCTTAATGTTTAGACTGCTCCAGACACGGCCACTCAAGGAAACGCTAAGCATTAGACTTTCTCTCTCCATTCCTACGCTTCTCACCTCAGAGTTTAACTCGATGAATTGATTTCCCTTGCTATCGAGACCAATTCCATCCCGCCAATGTATTTCACGATGCTCCCTCGAATACCCTATCCAAATAAGTTTACCACGGTAACTATATGTCTGGGGACTTTCGACTCCGGTTTTGGAGGTTTTCTGTCGCCACTTTCGGAGTCACTTACAACCCCGCACGCCCCGTCAGATTTTCTTCCCTAGTTCCTGCACCGCCTATCCTGGCTCGTTTCACGCTACCTCAAATTCATAACAACTAAACAAGCCCAAAAATGGACCCATATCCATTCTGTCAATATATTATCAACGCTTCCTCCGCTCTACCTCCCTCGCTAGAATATCGCCTTCTCCCTACTTAGAGAAGCCTAACATACGCATTTTCTCCCACTCTATTAACCAACTGTCTTTACTTGCACCCTATTGTTACGAATGAAACACGGAAAGCCTAAACTACGGACGACGAAGACTGGAATGTCTGAGGGCTCTTACGTGAATCCAATACAATTCTCATGGCTCGAAACGTAGACTTGGTGAAGTGAAGTTGAGTAGAGAAGTTGAATTTAAGAATACGAAGACGTAGGGTAGAAAAGTGCCTAAGTAGAAGAAGTCTATACACCCTAAAACCTAGTACTAAGACTATATGTTATACATCTACAAAGGTTGCCGGGTAGCTTGTTTATTATAGTATTGTGCTACACTATTGTTACAAGTTATAACTTAACTATTATTTAATTTGCTTAAAGTTTATAAATTAAATAAGCTCTTAGTTACTGTCGTGCGCTGACTATAATGAAATCAAATAAGCCCTTGCTTGATTTATACATTACTGGTAGATTCCGCTTCGAGGATTGCTTTATAGTGGTTGTGTATCGGACGGGTTAATGGTGAGCGGTGACGACCTCGACGCATGCCACAGAGGCCGGTTGTAGAATGAAGATGCATACTTCTTATCTTCGAAAGAGCCCCAGCGTTTTGTTTAGTGTTAGTCGAGTGTGATACGGCAGCAACTCCGGTGCGATATCGTAGTGTCCCATGCTGACACATAGTTAGCGCAATAGGAATACGTTTTCCTCATTCGGCCCGCTACTCCAACTCTAACTTCACTCCAGAACGGTCTCCAGACCTCCCAACACTTTTCGAATGGAGACATCTCGTGATGCTCTGACCTACGTCGATGAGCAAGCATCGTAGCTTCAAGGATGCCACCAAAGCCGTTCACCGCCTTCCACATGCTCTAGGCAACGTTTAACGCTTTCCCGAGCATTATCCATACATGCCACCCACCATTCGCTTCCCTATTATAGGCCTGCTAGAGTGTAGTAATCACCATGCGAGTCACAGAATGGTTGGCGAGCCATGAGACTATCTTTCATCACGGAATATTCCATCTCATAGATCCAAAGGTTAAAAAGTCAGCTAAAATCGGATCTCTATCCCATATATCATATTCTAGTCTTTGCTAGTTATTCTACAAACAGCGTCAGAATCTGCAGAGGTCTCGCTTAACTATCCGAATGCGATGTGCATACTGTGATACATGCAGCCAAGCTTCAGCCTAACCGTTTCGCCCGACCCGACCAGGCTGAACATTCACAGGGAATCTACACTTCACTCCTCTTTCGACGCTACGGAAATACCCTGTGCCATAAGTTCCAGCTGGCTCTGAGGAACGCTTGCCTCATGAAAGCCCCAGGAGAGATATTCGACATCCATCCCCGAACACCATGCCTTCCCTAAGCAGGGTGAGCGTAATGCCGGCCGTCGCCCACTCGAAATCGTCTTCCTCGAATAAAGGGCGGGCTGTGGGTTTCCTCAAAGATCCCGTCAGCGCGGTGTCACGACCTCTCGATTCTGCAGAAAGTTGGGCGGCGTATGACTTCGAGATGCACGCTCGAAAGTGTGCGTATTGTCACAATCCTTACGAGGTTCATCGATCTCATGAGCAATTATGCGAGCAAGGTCATCGCTTAGCTCAAGAAGTGGCTCGATATATATATCAAAGAGTGGACGGAGAAATATATAGTACAGTTGAAGAAGACCACAAACTGGTTCGGGTCGAGATTCCGGAGGAATATCAGCAGGTTCGCGGACTGCTCAAAGCTATTGAACGCAGTCTCCGTCATCGAAGCCGGAATCTGTTCGTTGCAATGGATAGAACGTACTACATTGCTTCCCGTACGCCTCAAAGAGCATGTTCGGTCAAAGTAGAACAAACTGAGGCGAAGCCACGACCACGGTCTGGCGAAATCATCGACTGGCCCAGGGCTTCTAGCCCACCGTCCAAGATCCTTGGCGAGGCGAGTGCTATTAGGTTTAAACAGGGCAATCTCTATGAGCGAGACCTCGCGGCCCAGCGCCGTAGTGCAAACCGGTTTCCAGTGGAGGTTAGAAAACCGTCATCGCAGAAAGAGGTGGAATCACAATGTCCATCATTACCAGATTTGCGCGGGCTTCGAGGCGACTTCGATTTTTCTCCGGTAGGGGATGGTACCACTACCAAGCCCTTTCACGAAGATGAAACAGACCTGGAAGTCGACCAGCCTCCCGAAGTTGAAGCGCAGCTTAGTATTGACCAGCCCGAGGAAATTGCCATGCCAAATCCCTTGATAGACTTCGATGAAAATAACTCTTCCTTAGCATCATCAAGTAGTGGGTCTGGCATTTACCAACCCGACGAAGATAGACTATGGGATCCTTTGAAACGCTTCTCCGGAGCCGACAATAAGTCCTCTGTAGCATCATCAAATGAAGGGTCTATCTTTTCGATTGCATCGCTAGCGTCCTCAGCGACGGATCTCTCGAAAGCGAGTGGATACTCCACAACCCAGATAGCGAATGCGACTCGGGAGCTACAGCTCATATTACGAGACGATGAGGTATTACAGCCACTGTATAAAACAGCCATTGAAGGCGATATCGGTCCTGATCGATTCGTGAACAACTTTCGGCGACTCCTCAAATTATACGCAGAAAACCTAAAAGAAGAGGCTCGTGATCGAATTGATTTCCTAGCTGCTCGACTCGTTGCAGTCAAGGCGAGACACCTCGCGGAATCCATTTTGGAGAGGTTTTGGAACAGCGCAGCGGCGCCAGCCTTACCCCCACTCGATTCGACGTCGAAGGCAAAATTTGAAAAAGAAGATAGCTCTGATGACGAAGGCGACGATAACGTCGAAGATGACCACACCTTTCAAGATCTCGTCATCGCCAGAGATTTTCTTGTTGAAAGTAATGCTTTCGACAATCTTCGATCCAGGTTCCGAGAATTCGTACACTCGCCAAAAGCATCCACAAAGAAGCCAACGGCCAAGGGTAAAGAGCGAGCTTTGGATCAAGAAGGCGATGGCTATTCGGGGAAAACCATTAGCGGTAGTGCTGCTGCTGCATTCTCCGACTGCCTAGGTCAAGACGAGCCAGGAGATCTCAACGTGAGGCGATTCGCCAAAGCTTTTGCGTATGACCCCGAGCTGCACGAACTTCATAGGGCTGCAATCGCCGAGCTTGGGGAGGAAGTCTTTGTGACAAAATACTCCCGTATCCTGATATTGTACTTCAAAGACCTTGGTGAGGAAGCGGAGCGTGAGACGGATCGAGCAATTATCCAGGATTTCCGGAAAAGATCGAACATCAAGACCATTATCAATGTTACTATTAACAATATCACTATAACAGAAGCACCCAATCACGTCGAGGCAAAAGAACGAGCACTGTCACAAAACGACTCCAGCTCCTTGACAAATTGGCTCGCTGAACAGCAACAGCATGATCACAACCACACCGAGCTGCGCAACAGCCCTGATGGTGAGCATATAGGAAGAGTAGGAGAAAGCCAAGGAGCTGAAAATAAATACCAGGAAATGGTGCAGCTTCTGAACAACGAGTTCCTGCAACAGAGCGTTGCGTTCCGCAAGCTGGCACTGAGTATCAGATTGCTATCTTTACCGACCTCGCTTCGCGAGATTATTGAGACAGTCCCCAAGAGCCTCGCCAAACTATCCTCGGTACACAATACGTCAGTTATCAACAAACTGAAGGGCTTTGCAGAAGATCGTATAGTACTCGAGTGGGACTGGTGGCCAATGGGACCTCGAATACCCAACCCGCAGCCTGGTACGCGGCGTCTGGAATGGAAAGTAAGTATCTGCTATCATTCTAAGACTGTCATAAATTTGCTGAGAACTGTTTAGTATTGTGAACAGCCTCTATATCGCATTGTATCGGAAGCACACGCAAATATTCTGCAGGAGGCTCTAGACAAAATGCCTGATCATCCACCACGTTGCCACTGTCGCTATTGCAATCCAGAGGTACAGGAAAGCGCCCATCCTTTCATGCATAGCGCAATTGCGACACTGTTGTGTGGCCTCCCAAATGACATGCAGCAGAATATCGAAGCATCTGGGGCGTGTGGGACGGCGTGTGCCAAAGCCAAGGAACTGAACGTGAAACTATTTTCGCCTAAATACTGGAGGATATCTTGGAATTCGTTATCACTTGCAATACCTGGGAATTTTCAGGTCATCTCGTCATTGCCCAAGAAAGCCCCCGGCAATTCGCCCGCTGGATCAAAGCCGTCGAAAGCTAGTGAACGATACACTCCTGGAAACTCATTGACCCCAGACTCCGCAACGCCAAGCGCTGGAAGTGGAAGGCAAAATACCGCTTCTGTGCCTAGCGGGTCGAGCAATAATGCTCCACCGCAAATCCAATGCCAAACACCAAACAACCCTCCACAGTCCGTTCCAGTAACATCTGCTTGGATACTCTTTGGTATTCAGGGCAACCGTTGGTCCCTAGAGCTTGAACAAATTACCGTTTCTAGCCTCATCAACGACCCAACATTTTTCCAGGAGCTTAAAGCCCGATATAAGAAGCACCGTGGCTGGCTTAGGATGCTTCTGTCTCCATTCCGTTTCCAGTTTTGTAGATTTGTCAAAGTCTGTCTTCTCAAATTTCTTCTTATTGCTCCTCCGTATACCCACTCAAATCAGTTCTAATACAAGATCACAGTTCGAGAAATTTGACGCCAACCGCGTCATCTCCCAAGGTGATGATCTTCCCGACTACCACGGTTTCGAGCACGATTACGACTACGCGCCCCGCCCGGGGAAAAATCCGCTCATAAACCCCAAAACTTTCGCTATATGCCTGAAGGCGTGCGACCCGCAATACTGCATCTGGTCGCGGCTAAGCCCATGGCACGATTGCATCAGGCTACCTTACCGGTCTGACAGAGTTCGTTGCATACCGAAGAAGAAAAGCAGATTCAATGTGGACTCTGATGATGTGGGGACCCTCGCTTGGGGCCTTGAGGCTGATTACGCCTTGTCTTTTGCGTTCCTGGCGGTGTATCATTTAGTGCCAGTGTTTGCCGCGCTAGGCTTCTGGGCGTATTGGCTTGCGACACATCCTGGGGACTGGCAAAATTCGTCAGTCCCGATATTGACTCTATTGGCACTGTTTGCGGCATTCTGGGTTCCTTTTGGAAAGCAGTTTTGAGTGTCTTGACCGCGCGATACTGCAATAGCAGCTGCAATGACATATTGGAAATATGATTCTGCGTGCCATCCATGCCGGAACAAAAACCATCGAAGATTCAAAGACTCGAGAGGGTGAGACTCAGAAGCTTCTCGCCAAGGTAGCTTTGATAGCGGAATGTGAGGGCCACGTGGCTCGAGTAGAACAGCGTGGTTTGATAGCTTGATGGAAGAGAACTTCCAACAATTCTAATGTAATAATCCACATTCAATGGTATTTTACCTCAGCCTACGCACACATCGCTGCGTATCCACTAGAGGCTCAGGCGAGGCCTGAGCTTGTCAAGGCGAGAATCTTGCAAGGTAAGCGACCTCAGTAGCTAGTCATTGTGGAAGAGAGGGCCCGTTCGTTGCTCCTCTTCTACAATGGCATGTGTGATCGCCTTAAGGTGTAGAACAGAGTTCGGAGTTCCCGTATAGTTTGATCCACGTCGTTTTCGTTACTGGAGTACTGCCCGCTGGTGTACTTTTGATGGATTTTGGAAAGAATGAATTGAGCTTCTCCCACCACCTCTTGTCTCCAATCTTCATACGTTCGATAGTCAGCTAAGGAATCCTTCCATAGAGAGGGAGAGAGAACGGCCTAAAGGGATGTTGTCGAACTCATCACAGAATGTTGGAATCGGCATCTTGTTCGCTTTGAAGGTCGTGCGTGTTTTATTCGCTTGCTTCACGATGTAGCTGCGTTCAGCTTCGGACAAGGTTTGCATAAACTAAAAATCTTGACTCAATCTTCGGTGGGCCTGAATGCATTCTGCGTAAATGAAAATGTTCAGTGCCCTCGAATCTCGTACGTCGGGTGCTAGAGCAGCTGAAGCTAAAGTACCTATGCTTGCGCCTACACTATCTGCTCCAAAACGGCCGAAGTATCGATGCCAGCGCGATATGTTCCTTAGGCGTTTTTATCGGAGAGTTAAAAGCAGTGCTACGGCTAATTTCAAGCCTTAATGTCCTTTATGGCCTTTTCTTTCTTCTACTTTGTTTTAAGGCTCTAGCAGTAACAAGGCCCTTCTTATTACAAGAGATGTAGCCCTAGACATAAACTTAGAGTAGCCTTTCCACCTCTCGTAAATATACCAATGTATAAAATGCCTTATCTACCTGCCACTCGATTTAATAGCCTCTCTAATAATAGAGAAGAATTATAGGCGTCTTATTAGATTAGATTAGATCCTTAAACTCTTCTATTATCTAATTTGTTATAATCTGAATACTACTTCAGTCTATTTTTTCTTTCTATTAACCTAGGCTCCCTTGTAGGCTTTATCTTCCCAAATTCTACTTTCTTAAGCACTTGCTAGACTGTTGGAGCAGATATATCAAACCCTTCTTAACCAATAGAACCAGCAATACTAGCGCATGCTTTCTCTTATCCATATCTATTAGTTTCTACTTTTAAATAATAGAATTACAAACTTTTTCTATCCACTTAACTAACCTACTAGAACGAGGGGCATTTTATTGGCATTGGTAACGGATTTTAACGGGAAGATTATTAGAGTTAAGTCCTGGTTCAATCACTCGCGCGTTGATTGAATTTATCATACGTGCTGAAATACCCGTCTTTTTAGCAATCTCAGAGGTCGTCTTGCCTCCAAAAAGAGACGTGAAGGCAACAATAAAGGCGCAAGTAGCAATATCAGCATTTAGAGCCACAATAGTGACGATTTTTAGTAGATTGAATGAGTTTCTGAGGCCAAGTCAGCTGAACGATCGGCAGCCAAGAGTAGTAGCTTTGGTGGCGTCAAACCCTTGTGGGACAAGTGCTTTTGAAAGGCACCTCCGTAGGGAGGGGAGATCGTTTTATAGACGTTAAAAGCGGCTGGTTGATAGAGCGAGGAGCGATGCCTGATATGGATAAGCGATGGACTGTACTAAACCCGAAGAGGGAATCCCCGGATAGAAATTACTGAGAACTAGCTTTCGGTCTAACACATAAGCATCTAACTCTCCTTCGATTTCACTTTTCTAAATTACCATCACCTGTTCCTGCACTAATTCCCTTCCATACCCCAATAGATCGAGACTGATGACGGGGAAAGCTGAGCACTCCGCCAAGCTCCAACATGGGAAAACGGCTAAACTGCCTTACACCCAATCACCACCAGTTCCGGAGGTCCGGAATCCCGGGAATATATCGAATCCTGTGATGATAGATATGCGATGACAATCTTCAGTAAGTGTTCCAAATGACGGCTCACTTTCGCCAATCTGATCTCCAATTTCTCTAAATGCTGCACGTGGATTTGAGAATAGCCGCAAGGGACAAGAGGGTTGGGATAGAGGAGAGTCAATTAGAATGCGTAAGTCAAGACGGCTATTTGGGAGAGGCTGTTGTTAACCCGGGTTTGGTGTGGAGAGACTGGAGGATGCGGCTCGAATATATAGGGATCACCACCGTTCCGTTGAAGTCTGGTTCAAAACCAGGCCTCCGCCGCGGATCTAGCCAACCATTGAACGAAGAAGTTCTGCTCAGTTCAAGATGAAGTTCACGGCCATCACCACCGCCCTCGTTCTCACGAGCACCATCACTGCAAATCCAATCTGGAATGAAGTCCGACAAGCTACGGGCCTTGACGCCGCCATGCGCGCCCGGAACCGCTCCTACATCGGTACATCCCTCACCATCCGCTCGGACACCTCAGAATCAAACATTATCAAGAATAAAGCCGAATTCGGCTCCATCACGCCCGAGAATGCGATGAAATGGGACGCCACTGAGGCCAGCAAGGGCTCGTTCTCTTTCTCCGGCGCCGACCAGGTTGCCAACTTTGCCACGCAGAATGGAAAGCAGATGCGCTGCCATACGCTAGTCTGGTATTCGCAGCTACCGAGTTGGGTGTCGTCGATCAGTAGTAATACTACGTTAATGCAGGTTATGACGAACCATATCAATACGGTAATGGGGAGGTATAAAGGGAAATGTACACATTGGGATGTTGTTAACGAAGGTAAGATTTCCCTAGCTGATTATAATCAAGATATAGAACCTCCAGAGTAGAAGATAGACTAATGGGAAATTTCCAGCCCTAAATGAGGACGGCACGTACCGCGATAACGTCTTTCTTAAAGTCATCGGTGAAAGCTACCTCCCGATCGCCTTCCGCCTCGCGGCAGCTGCTGACCCAGCTGCAAAACTCTACTACAACGATTACAATCTCGAATACGGAGAGAAGAAATACGAAGGTGCGCTCCGCATCGTCAAGCTCGTTCAATCCTGGGGTGTCAAGATCGACGGCGTTGGGCTACAGGGACATCTCGTATCTGAGACAACTAAGACTCAAAGCGTATCCACTCCATCCGTTGACGTTCTGACCGGTGTTTTGAAGGGGTTTGCGGATTTGGGTGTCGATGTTGCGTACACCGAATTGGATATTCGCATGAATACCCCCACTACAACTGCGAAGTTACAGGCACAAGCAGATGCCTATACTAGGGTTGTTAAGAGTTGTATTAACGTGGAAAGGTGTGTGGGAATCACACTCTGGGGCGTTAGCGATAAATACTCTTGGGTGCCGAATACGTTTTCAGGAGAAGGTGCTGCGTTATTATGGGATAATAGCTATAACAAGAAGCCTTCGTATACGGCGTTCTTAAATGCGCTTTCAGCAACCTAAAAGTTTTGAGAAAAGAGGAGATTGGAAGCGCATCTGATCACTTAGTTGTATATATAAAACGATTCCGTCATCTCGTCCTGAATTTTTGCCTTCCTACCATCCACACTAGTCCCTAAGTGCTTTACCTTCTTTTCAGCATCCGTCTATATGCCATACACATTCAGCTCTTCCAATAATCATCCTTCCCTGCCCCCTCTACACTTCATATATCTTATTCCTCGTTGGCCCTGAAACCCATATCTCTCTGAAATATTTCCCTAAGCTCAACACTGAGTGGAGCATTTTTCGTACCTCTCAGGTTCGTCAACCTTTATTACAATGCCAAGATCCTTTTGATGCTGCCGCGATACAATTGTGGGGAGAATTTAATCCTAAGCGTAGCCGCATCTTCAATCGGGTGACAAGCACCTACACTAATCTAGCGTCATCGGATGCGTAGCAATTCTCGGAATTACCACAACGCCTTTCTTCTAATACTGATACGACTTTTAGACCAAAAAACATTAGAGACGGATATCCTCCGAAAATCTCAAGCGCGCCGAAACCCCTGGGTCTAGCTCTGAATAGGGTGCAAAGTTCCCACTTATGGCCTCATAGTTTCAGCATTCGTCATCGGAGCCCGAGGCTGAGCGAAGGAAGAAACAGTAGAAAGAGAGAATCTCGCCCATGAGGTAGGGAGAGGAAACGATTTTTCCGTGGTTTTAACAGGTCCAGTACTGGAGTACTAAGTCTAAGGCGTAGTAGCAGAGATCATGCTTGTCAACGAATGGGGGCAGTGACATTTGTATGGAGGCATGGGGATGCGGAGACTGTTTTTTGAGGGATAGCCTCTCGTTATGGTCTGAAGAGCGTATGGATGTGATATTAGCTTTTTGAACGAGGCGATGGGAAGGAGAGAGGCTTAAACTAATATCATCCGTGTCCATAGCCAAGTCATGTTTGGCAGACTCCCTACTAACGATGGTGATGAGAACACCCTCGATATAAATATCCACACACGTATTATCCAACAATGACTTCGCCGAAATTCCTTCACCCTCGGTAAGAGCCGGGCTCATATGCATATCACCAATATCCTCCCGACAGAACTAATAATAGGGCCTTTCGATCCTGGTCCGCACGAATTCCCTCCTTCACTGTTCTTCGCAAGGGGATTACATATCCCACCTCTTTTCATAATCCTCCAACTCTACCTCGTTAATCCTTTCTCCAGTCTTCCCCTTCTTCAATATCAGTTGCTGTAATTCCACCGGCCTTCCTACATCAATATCTGCGCCTCATCGATGCGATACTTTGGAACCATTTACATCGCAGGAAATTGCGGTTCCCAACTCGCTAGCGAAATGCGCGTGTTCAGAGATAGCACAGCTGAAAGACTATCAAGCCCGTCTCTAATTATTGCTACGGATAGGAAATGAAAAATAGAATGGTTTGGTGTTTTCCATAACGGAAAGGATCGTCGCGGAGGATCGAGAGAGATGGAACAATCGCGTATACATTCTCTAAGTATTCTGCACTTCGGTCTCATATCTTCCCTGCTTTTGCGCTACTGTGGCGGCTACTTAGGTGGCGAAAGGCATATGCCGACCTAATTTGGACTTGGGAGGAAGATCTTCGTCAGGCGGTGATCAGGTGGGTGTTTTGTGTTAACGTACAGGTCATCCCGTGATGAGGATTGCAAGGCTTGTGGTGGTTGGCTAGTCCAACACTTCTCATAGTTATTGGATACATCACATGAAAACACGAACATTAGATTTGAATTTAGGGGCTTTGTCAAATACTACCGTGATCGAGTACAATAGATTTGATTAATGGTGAAGAATCTCATCTCACAATATTAGTCGCACGATATGCCGCTCCGAATTTACCTAAAGGCTCCGGACGGCCCTAAGTGTCCAGGAATTCAGGTAAACTACAACAGCGAAGCTAACGTAGTCCGTCTGGAATAAGAGAATCATGTCTGGGGACATCTGCAAACCCCATTTCCTTTGGAGACTTTCTCTCCATCCGCTCGTTCTCTAGAAACTCAAGGTACTGCTTGACAACGTCCAACACCATCCGGTCAAATCCATAGAAGCCCATCTCAAACACCCTGTTCGTCTTCCTTGTATCCCACTGCACGATTCCACTTGGCATGTCCCCAGCCCTGAGCGCCCCGCTCTCAAAAGCTCGTGGAAAATGTTTCCTAGCAATGTCGATAGCGTCGTTGAATATTATAGCCGATGTGACAGCGTAGTCCTGGTTTCCGGGAATGGTGTCATACATCGCCTTGATATGCACAGTCACGACGTCGTCAATATGCGCAGCTTGTGCAATGATGGGGTGACTTGTTCTGTGACCCAAAAGAAGGGCAAGAAGCATTCGGTTGGAGAAATGTGCGAGAAGATCACCAGTACTTTCAGCCATTTGGTTGCGCCCAAAAACGAAGGGGAGGAGGATGTTGATGACGTCAAACGGCAATTTATTGCTTTGCACAAATTTGTGACTATTGTTCCGGAGATTTATTCTGGAGGCCTGGTATGCAGCAGAAACAGTTGACCAAGGTTCTGATGGAATCGAGACTCGAGTGGTAGGGCAGAATGGTCCATCCCCGTGGAGGGGTGTACATGCTGAAATTGACGAAGTCAGAATGATTCGTTTCAAGAAATGTGACGTGCGGGCTGCGTCAAAGATGGCGGCGGCCATGCGGTCTGTCGCTACCAGTATGTCCCGCACCGGGTCGAGACATTTCCATGGAAGTGGTCCGGCGACGTGGATCAGCACTTCGACGCCGCACAGTGCGACTTTCCAACTGCCAACATCCGAAAAATCTGGAATATGGGCGAAATCAACTAGTCCTTGCTGATAACGCGCCCCGATGGATTCGTTCTTTAACAGCGTTGTAATTTGTTCGGTAGATCGAACAACGGCTCGCACGGGGACCCAGTGTAGGTCAGGGTGTAGTAAGATGTGATAGCCAATAAAGCCTGTGACTCCAGTAATGAGAACGATTTTGCGCATGCTGTGTGGAGTCTTGAGATAAGGAAAGAACTTTGGGTCCTTGAAAGCTAGAAAATGAAGAGAATCGGAATTTTTATGGGACGGAGTAGTGAAGAGCAAGTGCAAAAGCACCTTTGTCAGCCGTTTAAACCTATTTCAAACTTAGATAATGCGCAATCTGGCGCCTTCCAAAACCGGAAGAGGGAACCCGTTATAGGAAATTCATATACCACTCACCTTTTCACTTAATGGGCCCCAATTGCTCAATAGCAAGTATTAGGCTTACCCCAAACACCTCACTCAATATTCATTCGTCTCTTCCGAATCACAAGCCAGAGTTATGTCAGCTAAAGGATGAAGCCCGGAAGCCAAACGGATTGAAGTACAAGAATTAGACTAGGTCTTAGTCGCATCCCCCCTCTGTCCCCATACTAATATGCAGGGTATGCGAACGGCGTAGGCATGGCGTCGAAAGTGTGTCGAAAGCCGGTGGAGGAGCGACCAGAAGAAATCTGTAATCAAGCTAAATACACCGTGGCACAATATAGATAGTGGTATCGATACGCGCCATCAAAATTGTTGAGTGGTTGGGCCAGACAGCCTGTTTAGTTTATCACCCGACCTCCGCTTAATTCTCCAAAGATTATTTAGCTGAACAGGGCCTGGTGGTAGCTACTCTGATTCCTGATGTCTATCGAATTGATCGTGTTCGATGTCTACTTAGGGTACATCTAACCGTAGCTTCAGTGCTTAAAGATTACTCCTTACTTGAGCCTTCATCCTTGCTTGATACCGGTCTCTCATTTCTCTTCTCAACATTTTGCCCGACGGTGTTCTTGGAATCTACTCCTGTCAGCAATTGAGTACTAGAGGTTCGAAAACACTTCCTACTCACTGAATCGACTGTTTCCACACCGCCCGTCAACCACTTGTGTCTGCTTAGTCGCTGTCTTACCCACTGGTCTAGCTTTTTTGCCACCGGTCCCTCTCCCTGCTTTTGGCCTTCATCAGTTAATACTATCCAAGCTCTAACGAATAGACTGCCATCACCACGCCCATTGTCTACACCTGCTACACAGGCGTCTCTTACTAATCCCTCCGGATGCCCTAGCAAACAATCTTCGACTTCGGTTGCCGCAACCTGCAGACCCTTCACCTTAATCATCTCTTTTAGCCGATCAAGATAATGGATCCGGTCCTTTTCATCTCGCATTACTAGATCGCCTGTCCTCAGCCACCCGGGTTCAGTGAAAATCTCCGCGGTTGCTTTAGCATCCTTGAAATACCCTGGGGTAACCACCTTCCCGCGGGCCCAAAGCTCTCCTTTTTGTCCCTTTGGGACATCTTTCAATGTGTTAGGATCCACGACCCGGGCTTCAATTCCCGGTAGAAGATATCCGATCGTCCCAGGAGGTGCGGGTTCAAGCCCAAAGATGCCTGGTGGCCCCGGGCTTGCTATACTGGCCGCCTCACTCAATCCATATCCGCTTGGAATCGGTGCCCTTGCTCCTTGCGGTAGTTTCTTTGCAAGCTGGTAGGCAACATCTGGTGGAAGATATGCCGCACCCGACGCTGCTCCAACCACAGAGCTAAGATCGTATTTTTCAGTCAACGGGCTCTGTGCTAATTGTCGCACTAGCGGGGGAACTAGAGGTAAGAGTGTGAGTTTATATTTTTGGATACTCTCCAGCCCGAGTTCGATATCCCATTTCGGCAGCATGACATTTGTCAATTGCATTAGATTGATTCTTAGAATCCAGAGAATCATGCCGTAGGAGTGATACGCTGGAACAACGCCCAATACACGCTGGGGCTGGAGGGGCTCGACACCCATGAACCGCGCACCTTGCGTACCGGTGATCATGCCTTGGAGACCGCTGTGGATTCCGTTTTTGTGCGATATCATCATTGCTTTGGGAAGGCCAGATGTCCCGGATGATTGGAACAGGTATGCCATTCTATCTCCACCCAGAAGCTTCCTAGATACTTCTGGCAAATTGTTACCATAGCGAACAAAGGACTCAACGGTTCGGTAACCAGAAATGGTGTCAAGATTGGGGTCGTCGCTGAGAATGATAATATTTCTAGGGTCGAGAACAAGAAGCAAGGAACACCCTTTGTCGGCTTCCCCGCTACCAAGATTCATCGCTTCGCGAAGGATAGGGAGGAGAGTCTCGTGGCACACGAAGCTTGTTATCTGCATCTTACGCAATACCCACCATAGCTCGTAAGGTGTAGACGCAGGACTGATTCCCCCGAAGACGAGTTCAGCGCGGAAACAAGCATGCGCAAGCATGGGGTAGTGAATATGGTTTCTTGAGAATAGCCCAATGATCTCTCCATCTTCTTTATCATCGACAGGGCTCTTTCTCAACTCCAACGGATTTGGTCCGTCGTGTCGTAGAACCCGTGCCAGAGCGCATACTCGGGCGTAGAATTGATGCAGAGTCACGCGCTCGTCCGTCACAGCATTGATGAAGAGGTCATAGTCCGGTGGCAGCAGGTTGTTTGGCGGAAAGCAGAACTCATGGATATTGAGATCTGGAGGCGTCGGCGGAAACGATCCATACGGTGACGAGAATATAGCTCGGGAATGAGATTCGTACTTGAAGGACTTTGGATCTGGAGATTGGGGGCCAAGAAAGCGGGACCAGTGTGGCTTCAAGATGTTGGCCGTCATCATCTCCGTAGAGATCTTTCAAAGCGATGAAAATAAGCAGATATTTTCAATTGAAATCGCAAAAAGAAAGAAGGGGTTAGAAATGAGGGAACTTGAGTGAGACTGGTTTTCGGTGATTCTCTGCGTCCATGCAAATTCGTCGGACTTCCGAGGTGGCTTGAGCTGTCCCCGCGTTTGCCATCTGACAACCCGTCTTCGAGTAATCTAATGGCAAGCCGTTGTAATGTTAATATCTTCGCGAGTACCTATATGACGAAGGGTTCGAAGTTCTAGTATCAAAAGCATGCGAAGAGATGTAGAAAATGTTATTTTTTAACATCGTATAAATGTGGAATCCACATGCCGAATATGCATGTGAGCGCTGAAACGAGGCGGTTGGGGAAAGAGTTATAAATCAAGGAATGAAGGGCGCAGAGATGTAGGTTGCCTTCGAGGCCCTAATGAGATTTCACCGAGGAATGTCATTGCTGGCGGGATGGTGCGACGAGGTCAAGAGAGTTCAGTGGAGTTGTTTGTAAGCGAATAGAATTGGGGATCAAGAGATGCTCCAGAGCCTAAAAATAAGGGAAGTCCCAAAGCCTAAGATAATTGAGAAAACCAAGGATGAAATGAACCGACTGCCTGGCTCTTGTATTCCTCGTCTGCCTTGCAGGAGGATTTTGTGTCAAGATAAACTCCAAACTGACTGTCACTCCCAAGACTCTGGGCATTTGGTGATGCAACTAAAGGATACGCCTCGCAGCACTAAGCATTAGTAAATAATTAAGGCCAAGGACTGCAGGTAGTGGTTTCTCAAAATGGCGCAATGGTCCATCTGTGAAAGCAGAAATATAGAAGAAAAGCAAGGACGGATGTGACACCAATCAAATAATCTGCCTACATGACGCTCGAAGGAATTCATAGATAGCTTAAGGCCGCAATGTAGCTTCGGAACCTTATTGTAGCAGCTCTATGCGGTATTATAGCAGTCATATTCCTAAGGAAGAGATATGAGTCAAGGAAGAACGTCGAGGCTGTGCGGATAGCTGGCTTTCCCGTGATTTATTCACTTTATGAAGCTTCTTCTCGCTTTGCAAGCCACTTTGCAAACGATACACTGAGAGTTTATTAGACCGAATAGGGGTATCTGCTGTTGTACCCATTGCTTTTACCTGTCCTCGGATTTCTAACTATAGGCGTGGATAGAGATATAGCTGACTTATGACTCGGAAACATTGATTAGTACCCTCAAGTAATAGGCGGCTTGGTGGCCATAGTTGATAGAGACTGATGCACAGCAGGATGTCCTAATTGTAGAACATGTGGTGCGTGGGTCATGTGCCCTTCACCCCCGTGAATAGAGACCCGTTCATCCCCTCTTCTTCGGAGGGAAACATGCTATGGACGTGCGAGAATACAGATATTTGCACTCTTCATCCACACGCGAGACTCCAGACTCCAGCGGAGCAATTCACCTTCTGGGCTGTATATGGGCCAACTATTGGCTCTATAGACAGAGAAAAGCGCAAGATCCATAGGCGCCTAATAAATGCAGCGTTCAATCTAGCCATCAACCCATCCGTCTGGGACAAGAAAATCCTAGGCAGATGCAATGGTACGATGATGGATTGGAACAAAAGGCGCCGTTTAGCTGGTAAAGAAATAGATGAGTAGTACGTTGGCATTGGACATCATTCCAGGGATGTTCCTCAACCGCTATCCCCAATGGAGCGATAAAAACGACACAGCCCTGGTACCGGATTTCCATAAGCTCGACTTTAAGAGAGCTCTACTGCTAGCCGTAATGCAGTCAGGTATCCTTTTTATGACGCTTAAGGTGGTGCTGAGAAATGCGCCGTTGAAATGTTTTGGGAGGCGAACGGTGCATTCGAGGAACGAACGAGGTACATGTTGAAACTGATGGTTGATACCTTGCCAAAATTGCTGAAAGTGCTATTTAACAAGAAAAAAGTCTTGGTTGGTCGTGAGCGGCAATTCGTGGTCGACAAGTGATGCTAGCCGGATTATAAGGAGTTAGTCGTGTGGGCCGGAACCCTAGTAGAACTACAGAAAAGAGTGCTCTGGGAAAAAATTTCTCACGCTGTTGACTGGACATGAAATCGCAGGGAGTACCACAGCCTTTAGGACATTCATTGCTTGTCATATGCCTAGATTACCAACGCAAACTCGAGAAGGAGCTGGACCATTAGCTAGGCGGTTGTGCGAAAGAAGATTGGACAGTTGAACGAGATTAATGAGTCCTTTAGAAGGGATATCTCGGCATAGTCTAGATAGAAGCTTTGTGAATATATAGAGATATCCAGTTGATATTGAGGAAAGCTATGGCTCCTAGAGCGGTAGGCGTGCGTCTTGGAGACTTCTGCTTCTTTCAGATATCCAAAAAAATATTTGGACAAGAAGCGAGATGCCTCCCGGAAAAAGAGAAACTTGGCACGACTCGCCTGCACTCAATTGTAATCCATCATGATGGCGCGATGGCAGCGTGAAAGCAGTCATGGATAACGTTTCAGGTTTTCGGTCATTCGGGCAGGACTGAGATCTTACCTGGGAAAGGGATTCGCTCAAATCGAGATTATCGCGGAAATATTGACAATGTTCAAAGAGTGAAATCTCGAGCTTGTGGTGAAAGACACTACGTTAGATGCATGTGATAAAGATGTAGAGAAGGCAAGGGACAAGACTAGGGATTGGCGATCAAGACAATGGTCGGTAGTGTCGACGCTTATATCGCCATTTAGATTTTGAAAGAGCATATATCCGAGTGATCCGGCAGTCGAAGATGGAGGCAAGTGTGAACGGCAGATATTGACAGTGAGCGTCTTAAGGGCTTAATTCAAGCCTTCAGAAGGCGTAGCCAAAGCACCGAGCGCCACGAAGAGCATTGATCTAAGGGACTGAATAAAAGCTGATATTCGTAACATCCCCAGGTTCCCAACCTTCCAAGGTTAGCGGCTGATCACGTGATTGCGCAGCATTGACCTCGGAACTTCGGTGGCCATGGGGAGCGTCTTGGATAGGCTTTGCTAGAGGCCAATCAACCTCATCACGGCAAAATGTTTGCCGAGTCGACTTAACTAATAAGTATACCGGGTGAGCGCTAAAGGCCAGTCTGCCTTGGCTCACAATTGGTAGCTTCCATCGACGGAAAGAACGACATCCGAATAGGGTCGCGTTCAAAAGGGTGATCGTGCGTTTTGCGGACTGCAACGTCGACAGGAAAACATGGACAATTGCTCAGGAGGTGGCGCCTACCGAAGGAGGAATCGAAGCTGAGGCAGTGGGTTGCGACATCGTGCGCCAGAATAATAGTAGGAAACCTAAGGACACAAAATCAAACAAAAGGTGAGGCAGAAGGAAACGCCAGTTGTGCATGAGAAACGAGGAGACTTTTGTCCATATATGTGTTGTTGACACAGAGTTCTGACGTTATGAGCGGCGTATCCAGGTGATGAAACCGGGCCGGTTTGAGCCCCACCAGATGACCACCGTCGGAAATGGGGGCGTAAGAACAAATGCAGCTAATCTTAATGGAATGGGAGAAGATTTCCTAAACAACTTGGAAACTGCGAATGCATTATGATGGGAGAGCTAAGTTTGGGGACACGATGAAGGGTGAACGATGCGATGGAGGCGAGGAGCGCTGATTCGATCGCTAGGGTCGGAAAATTGTGGCACCGACCCCTGAATCCTGGTACCCGGCGCCGCTGACTAACCCGATATTTCACCCGCCTGCCGCCACGATGCACACCCTTACTTGAGATCGCTACAAGAAACTCAAACGCATAACACTCAATCCGTCTGCTATTCTGGACTCCTGGCTGTTTTCAAACCGCGGGCAACATGTTCATCTCGCTCGCCCCATTCGCAGACAGTGCCGGCGTCAAACAGGGCGTCCAGCGCTCCTGTCAATCCATCGAATCCCTCGAATACCACCTCAGGACCCTGATTCCTTGAACAACTTCGCCACCACGTGAAGAACTGCGCCTGTTGAGGCAATTTGCAAGGAATCAGGCACCATCTACCGTTTCGGAAGCAAGCGTCTATTCTCGATTCTACGTCCGTTAGTGTCAGGTTGATTCACTCCTGAACAAATTCCGAAAGAGGTGCATAATATAAAGACACCCAAAGAAGCGTTGAGAGCCTATCTTTACCATCAACCTTCTCACATTCTCTATATCTATATTCTTATCCTACTTCCAGGCGAAGCCGGCCGGTCCTTACGTTCTATTCTTACCTTCCTTAAACCTAAATTTGCCCCCAAACCCCTTCGCAATGGCTCCTCTCTTCAAAATTACAGCTTTCTTGGGCCGTAAGTTCTCCTCTCTTAAACTAGACATCGATGATATTGATTCCTGTAGTTTCTCTCCTTGTTGCCTCACAAGGCACTCAATTCATTACGGGACCATGCCAATCCGACGCCGAATGCGCCTCAGGGTGCTGCGGGTTCAACACTGGAAAATGCGCTGGGCCGGTCGTTGCCCAGCAGCGGGATGGAGGCTGCGGCTTTGGTGACCCCACACCCAACGCCAACGCTGCAATTGCTCTCGGATTCCAACCCCAATCGAGCACCCCCGCACAAGCTCTAGCAGCACCTGCCCCAACCACGCCTGCCCCTTCGGGAGCCAATGGAGCTGGAAACGGCCAAGGCACGCAATTCATCACTGGAGCATGCACGTCTGATAAAGACTGTGGTTCTGGATGCTGCGGATTCAAAACTGGAAAGTGCGCCGGTGCGGTTGTTGCACAGGAACGTGATGGAGGATGCGGTTTCGGAGACGCCCAACCGAATGCAAATGCTGCAGCTGCACTTGGATTCACCGGCACTCCGGGTGGTGGCGCGGCCGCTCAGGCTCAGGCTCCAGCAGCATCAGCGGCTCCGGCACCTGCTGCTGGAAATAATGGCAATGTCGGTACTGGGACACAGTTCATCACTGGACCTTGCACATCAGATGCCGACTGTGCGTCAGGGTGCTGTGGCTTCAAATCTGGCAAATGTGCCGGCGCGATTGTGGCCCAGGAACGCGATGGAGGATGTGGATTTGGTAATCCTGAGCCGAACGATAATGCCGCGCAGGCGCTGCGGGGGCAAAGGCTTGGAAAGAGGGGTGTTGTTTACTGGATGTAAAGTTGTAATGGAAAAACGATAAGTCAGGGCTGGGACAAAGGGAGGTGCGAGGGATTGAGTCCTCTCACGGACACGCTGAGCGTACAAAAAGGGTATACAAGTGGTCTTGCTGGGCAGGCGGATCTAATGGGGCATTCTCTTCTTCTATGCCTTGTTCATATAAAAATTTTGAGTATACCATATCAAAATGGATCTTCGTTTCTCAATTCGGTTAGGAAACTACCCGTTTATAATCTAGTCAGAATAGCCGACAACAGTAAAAGTAAATTCGGCCTATATTGAGAGCAGGTTCTCTAACGTCCGTCCCTGGGTCGCGCAAAACCCACCGTGCCGCAAAATATGAGGGATACTTTGACTTCAAGCGACTATAATCCTACGTACACACTAATATTCACTATAATTCTATATAAGTCGCGTGCTGCAGCTACTTTTACATATTTAAAACCTCTTCTACCAAAAAAATACGTTCGCATTGTCGCCTTCGCGCCTGATGCGTAGAGAGCCTTAATTTAGAGCATTACAATGTTCCTTCTCTAGAGCCCTACTGTTAAGCTCTTAGCACTCCATAATACTTATAAACGGTCTTATTTGAGTCTTAGAGACTTACTATAATGCTAGAGAGTCATCATCAGCCTTATGTCTGCTGTGGCGCGCAAATTCATGTACGATCGCTACCCCGGTCGGTACTTCTGATCAAAGCGGTTTCCAATCCTGGTTAGTGCGAAACGACTCCGCACGTCTAACACAATAATCGCCTGTGTAATATGGCTGTGCAAAGACTTGGCAAGAGAACCAATCTCAGCCCCGCAGCCTTGCGATCTAAGTCAACCTTGGCTTCTGTAAGCCTCTCATCAACTAGTTAACTCACTCTTATAGATTCGCCACCTCACAAGGTCATGGCAGGTGCGAGTCGGCCGTCCTCCCTGCTAGCTTCATCGGAGGTGTTCATTTGCCTGTGACGAGGCTCAAGTGGTAAGTCTTCAACACGTGCTTCTATGTAGAACCTTCTCGAAGCTTCGCTGTGGCAAATCAGCTAGGTTGATCCCCGGGCCTCCATGAAATAGAGAGAGCAAATTAATATGAGATAGGAATAAATATTAATATAAACGTTCTGTGAATTTACGTAAGCTCAACTTTGCATATCCACACCCTTCCTGTGCCAACACCAATACCGATTATATTCCTTGACACCACCGAGGATGATGGCCGATGCTCTGAGGGTAGCCATACTAGCTTCTCTGAATTATATGTTATCCATGCACCATCCGCACTCAGAGCGAGGCCTTGATATTGAGGACTACGAGGCTCTAAAATAGTTAGAAGTGACAGTGAACCTGGCCGAGCAGGAATATCGATAGCGCCAATTTCAGTGCGAAGATATGAGTCGGTAATGTCAAATGAAATACGGTAAAGCCGCTTGCCAATACTGAGCGTCTGGAGGCAGTCGCCGCTGCTCGCATCCCAGATCTTGACCGTATTGTCGTCGGACGCCGACGCGAGCCGGGCCGAGTTGTGCGAGAAGGCTACCGAGATGACGGAGTCACTATGCCCCTTGAGCGTCTGGAGGCAGTCGCTGCTGCTCGCATCCCAGATCTTGACCGTCTTGTCCCACGACGCCGATGCGAGCCAGGCCAAGTCGTGCGAGAAGACTACCGAGTTGACAACGCCGCTATGCCCCTTGAGCATCTGGAGGCAGTCGCCGCTGCTCGCATCCCAGATCTTGACCGTCTTGTCGC